ATAAGTGGAGTCAAATAGGAAAAGGCACCCTTTCTGCCTTCAAACTTATGCATGTCATGCCAGATCTTAATAGAGCTTTGAAGTATTGGATTGTCCCTTACTTTGGGAAGGGCAGTTTTTTTTACTAGTGAGTTCCCCTAGTAATCTAAATGGGACACAAACCCATGATTCGATTCCCTTTAAATAGCAGTGAACCCATTCATATATGAATCTGCTATAACAGGCCCAATTGTATAATATAATAACAGGGAATGCTAGACCTTCACTGTCTTTTGGGAGCTGTAAAGTTTTCATACTTAACCTAGGTTTTTCTTTTGCCAAATGAACTTTGAGAAGTCCCTTTCAACCTCTCTTGCTACCTTTTTAGAAATAAACAGAGGCAACATCTGAATGGGATAAAACAGCGGAGGTAGAACATTAATTTTTCAAGTTAATTCTGCCCATCCAAGAAATTGGCAATTTCATCCACCTGTTAAGATCGCTCTTGATATCTTTATGTACAGTGTTGAATTTCTTCTCAATAAATTCTTAATATTCTGGGATACAGAAATACCTAAGTATGAGAATCCTGAGGTAGACCAAAAGAATGGAAAGTTTGGTATGTTTGGCACGTTATGACCATATCCTATTGGCATGGCCATTTACTTACTAACATTAATCTTGTATCCAGAGAAGGATCCAAAGGTCTGAATAACAGACATTATCGGTGGTATGGACTCATCTGGACTGGTGCGAAAAAGAAGAACATCATCTGCATATAATGCAGTCTTATATGATGTGGATTTAATTTGGAAAGCCGCTATGCTGTTATGGCTTCTAATAGCCTCTGCCAGTGGTTCAATGGCCAATGCAAAAATAAGCGGGGACAAAGGGTCCCCTTGCCGAGTGGACCTCCCTAACTTAAACTCTGATGATTTTATACCATTTACAAGTACACTTGCTCTGGGTGAAAAATATATCAGCTTAATGAGTTTAATAAACCCCTTGCCCAGTCCAAATTTTTCCCTGATGGTGAATAAGGCCACTCCACGCGATCAAATGCCTTTTCGGCGTTGAGTGAGATAACAAGACCTTGTGCCTCATTAGTATTTGCATGCTGAATGATATTAAGTAATTTTCTCATATTGGTAAAAGAGTTCCTGCTTTTCATAAAGCCCGTCTGTTCAGATCCGATTAAGAGTGGTAAGTAGTTCTCAAGTCTTTTCGCTAAATATTTTACTGTCCACATTCATCAGGCTAATAGGGCGGTATGAGCTACACTCGTCAGGGGGTTTTCCCTTTTTAAGGATTAAAGATATATTGGCAGCATATAATGAGCCTGGTAGGGAACCTTTCTTTATTGAATGAAGGTACATCCTTGGCAGAGGTCCATCTATGGAGTTTAATAATTTTTTATAAAATTCTGGACCATAACCATCCGGTCCCAGAACTATTCCGTTCTGCAGAGAATTGATTTCATTTTTATCTCTTCACTGGTTATGGTCTTCCAAGAGCGGATTTATCTGCTTCTGATAAGGATGGGAGATTAAGCTTTTCTAGAAAACTCTGTATACAATATGATGATGTAGTAGATTCTAGGTGTAAAGTTTTTCATAAAAGCTCTTCGTTATCTCCACCATCGTTCGTTGATTTTTCCTAGTTTCGTCTTTCAAGGAGGAGATAGCCCTAACGTTACGCCAACCAGCTGCTAAGCGTGCAAGTAGTCACCCTGGTTTATCACCCATTTCAAACAGTCTGTGCTTTGCATAGAAGATACTTGCTTCTGCCTTTTACGTCAAGAGTTGGTTAAGAGCTGACCGTGTGGCTTCTGCTTTTTTGAACAGGGTTGCAGAGTAATTATCCTTTAGTTGTTTATCAAGATCAGCCAATTGTCTCTGTAAATTCTGCTGCTCTCTCAAAACTTCCCTTTTCCTGGCTGTGCTATATGAAATTATGGCTCCCCTCAAGTAAGCCTTGAGCGTATCCCAAAGTATTGATGACCTCTTACTTGTAGAAAATGACGAGTAATAAATTTGTCCTACCCATTCTCTCTTAAGTTTTTCATGTTCCTTGTCATCCAAATGGGTTTCTTGTAACAGGACTATGTTAGCTTTTTCCTTCTTTAGCCAGCATAATAGTTTCTTAAGTTTAACAGCATTATTTATTCCCTTTATGTTAAACGAGACATACTTAGTGGTATTCAGCATTCTACCCAGTTAGATGACTGACTATGAGTGCATCTAGCCTTAAAGCAAGACACATAAAATAAATAGTACAAAGGCACAAAAGGAGGAGAAAAAAATAGAACTAAGATAAGGAAAATAAGAAAATATAAAAAAATGGAAAAATAGGGTCCCAGACCTAACTCACTCTCTTTAAACTTATCTTCAAATAACACAATTACCAGGAACGTGTACTCGTCATTGAACACATTCAGCTGAAACGAACGTGTCCCTTTGGACGCAACACGAACAGTCCTCTCAGGGATACAAAACAAAGGGTCCCTTGGAGCTGGGAGGAAACAATGCGCGTTGTGAGCGCACTTGACCATGGTCCACAGTTGTTCTCTGTGAAATGCAGCTGTCATGACACCCACTCTCTCCCGTCTCGAGCCCCCACAATAAAGTCACCTTATGTGTAGCCAGTACATCACAAAGTCAGCTTGTGTGTAGCAGCCCATAGGGCACTGTGAGCATGGGGTGGCATATAGATTCACCTGAATAGAGCACACCTACGTTAAACATAATGTTATATAAGTTTACTTGTGCACCAAACCACCCCAATCAGCGTATGCTGCTGTAACTCTTCACAGTACTCACGGAACCATATCCATTTCCCCAATAACGTGAGCAGCCTCCTCAGCTGTGTCAAAGGAGAAATCCTTGTTGTTGTAGGACATTTTGCGGGATGTCCTGACGAATGGAGATCCTGGCCCCTTCGTATTGCGGGATGTCCTGACGAATGGAGATCCTGGCCCCTTCGAATTTGAGCTTCTGTTTCGCACCAAGCGCTAATATCTGAATTTTATCCGCCGGGAAATGAAGCTTAATGACAACTATGTGGGGCATCCTGGGTTTAGGTCGACTGAGACCTCTGTGGCACCTGTCCAGTTGGATCCTGCCTTTCTTGGTTTCCATGTGAAGAAGTTTGGGCAGCCATGTTTCAAAGAAAAGTAGCACATTGCTCCCTTCAATCCCTTCTTTGACACCAAAGATCCTGATATTATCCGTCCGGGATCTTGCCTCATGGTCATCCATGCGGTTAGTGAGGGCAGCAAGTTTATTTTCTGTGTCTGCTAGCCTGCCTTCCAAATCAGCAATGATGTCTTCAGCACTAGAAATGCGGTTTTCTACCTCCTCAATATGCTGTGATTCACTTTCCAGCTTGGCCGTAATGATATCCAGTTTGTTGGAAATCATGGACATCTTCTCTTCCATGACGGCCGCAACTTTACCCATAGTCTCCGCCGCTACCGCAGCTACAAGGTTAGCTCCTGCTACCTCGCCATCTTTAGCAGTAGCTCCACTGTCGACTTGCTGGCTAGTAGTTCTCTGGACCGGCACTTTTGCAGTCTTGTTTGTCTGCATTTCTCGGCCAGAGATGTTCATCGACCACTCATGTTTCAATATATTAAGTATTGCTACAAATATGACTCTTAAAATATAAGTTTGTGGATAATTCTGCCGGGAGCTAACTGGCCTCGCTCCTCTCAGTACGACGTCATCACCGGAACCAGGAACCTTTTTATAAAACATGTGAATTCCTTTTTTACAACAGTCAACTGCCTCCATAATAATAATGTTATAAGGAGTTCGGTCTAGAACTGCTCTATTTGAAAAGTGTCCTGAGATAACTTCTGTAATGAATTGGTGCTATACAAATAAAACTGAATTGAATTGAATTGAATGTCACCTGGTAAAGGGTTAGAGAGACTTTTATTTTGTAGGGGAAGAGGTGAGTGAAGGGTTAAAGTGTTTCAGTCATAACTGCAGATGCTGCAGATACACTCGCTTTGCGCCTCTGGTGTGTGTAGCATTTTAATGTGACACTGATTAAATTTGTCAGCAGAGAAAAAGAAGAGCAGCTGAGAGGAGAAGAAGAACATGCCCCTCTTCTCATTTCTCAGTTTCTACATCCTCGTCTCCTGTCCTCGTCTCTTCTCCTCGTCTCCTGTCCTCCTCTCCTGTCCTCGTCTCCTCTCCTCGTCTCCTTTCCTTGTCTCCTCTCCTCGTCTCCTGTCCTCATCTCCTGTCATAACGTTGACAGCAGTGTGAACAGTAAAGCAGTTGAAGTGTCAGGGCACCAGTGGGGTCGGTAGTTGTATTTATTTAAATTGTTAAACCTATATTTAACAAAAAAACCTCAATGAGATTAAGAATCTGCTGTTTTCTGGCCGACAGGCAGCAAAGTCCCAGTTACAAACAACAGAAAACACAGAATATGACCCGAAATCTGAAATAGGATTATAAAACCATGAATAACATGTCTCATACAGCTCTAACCCATTTACAAGATTTAATTCTAAAAACTAACATTAATGTCACCTTAAAACAACACAGGAGCTATAAAACCACAACAATCCCTAATCTAGAACAACTTAATAAAGACACATTGAGTCTGAGACACCTTAAAATCTTCAGCGGACAGAAAATGATCAGAGCTGATGATTAGTTAGTTAAAAGACATTCTGATCTAAAAAAAATTTAACATATTATTGTTTGAATGAGAAACTGATAGACAATGTTCAGGGAGACAAAGACACAGAACGTCTGTCCACAGTGAGTTACTATATGATAAGTTACCTGAAAAGGAGCAACAGTGGAAACACCAGTGCCTTTCTGAAAAGTTTAAAAAGGGATTTTCAACCAGTAACACTTGGAGCAGTCACACAGAAAGATTAAGCTTTCTCAAAACAGAAGCTGTGTGAATGTGTTTTTTCCTCTAGAATGCAGAAAGCTGACCCTGTCATCAATGTTCAAATCAAGTAGGAAGATCTGTAAAATGATGATGTCTTCCTCAAGGTGGAGCTTACTGGGAATGTGCAGGACTTCAAATACAGAGAAGCAAGGAAGCATGGCCTCTTGTTCTGAACAATCAACAGCACAGACGGGCATGGCTACAACCAGTCATCGGCCTGGAGAGAAAAATGTTTCCATCCACAAAGGTACATTACATTCAACATTTACACAAAGTGCAAACAGAGCGCAATGTCATCCAAAACTGATCATTTCCATTCCACCAGCTACTGCTCCCATGCTTGTGAGAACAACAGTCCATCCCGATTCACTGTTATGGGGATGGACAGACCTCAGTAAGGGGCCTCACTCAGTCCCTGTTAAGGTTCAGGTGGTGCCTGATGTTCACTCACTGTCAACCAGGTGAGCAGTGGCCCCTTCAACTGAGAGTCTGATGAGGAGATAGCATACCAGTGTTAGGAGAGAGAGACAAGTCCATGCAGACAGAACAGTGGTGAGACAGCTGAACATGTTGATGTAAAAACCTGTCACTCCTTTCTTGTGTGTTTGTGTGTGTAAGGCAATAGTAATAATGTTAATGTTAATCATAATGAAGCATTTCTCTCTCAGCAGTGTATATTTGGACCTGTTTCTGCCTCTCCACTCTGCATTGACAAGTGGCCTGTCTTACCTGTCCAGGTGAGTCGGTCGGTCTATCTATCTCTCTGCCAATTTAACTTACTTTAATAACTGTCTCCTTTCTTGCTTTAGGTGATGAAGGAAGTTCATCCCTCCTTCTTCTCTTCACGGTTTTCTTCCAGATTCACTCTACTGACCGACTACAGACACAGTAAGATCTGTCTTTCTGTCTCCCTGTCTGTCTGTGGCTGGTTGTAATATTGTGTTTTTGCTAATGTTCAGAAACAGAATCAGACTCAGAGTCAGATTTATTGCCAGGTAGGTTTTTACACATTCAAGGAATTTGTCTTGGTGCAATGGTGCATAAAATATACAATCACACAAAAATATACAAATCACACAAAATTTACACAAGAATAAAGTACTTTTAAAATATAAATAAATAAAGATAAGAAAGATAAGAAAACTGTACAGAAGATGGGAGTGCATTAATGTAATGCATATATATAGGGTGGTTATAAGAGCCAGTGTCAGTGGGGGATTCAATTCAATTCAATTCAATTCAATTTTATTTGTATAGCGCCAATTCATAACAGAAGTTATCTCAGGACACTTTTCAAATAGAGCAGGTCTAGACCGAACTCTTTAACATTAATTACAGAGACCCAACAGTACCACCATGAGCAAGCACTTGGCGACAAGGCAAGGAAAACTGCCTGTTAAAAGGCAGAAACCTAGACAGATCCTCCGGCCTAGGTGGTGGCGTCTGTCTCGACCAGTTGGGGTGAGAGAGAGAGAGAGAGAGAGAGAGGAGAGCACAGACAGACAGGTGCACAGCAACAACAGTATTGGCAATGGCAGTCAAGCAGGACCATGGCAGGAGGCTCCACCAGGATCCATGAGAACCGCGAGACGAGAACACAAGAACTCCGGGAAGAAGGGAGTTAGTAACATGCATTATTGGGGATCCAGGTCTTGTTAATGAGGCCAGCTGCAGATTGAAAGAAACTGTTCTTGTGGCGTGAGGTTTTGGTAATGATGGACTGCAGCCTCCTGCCAGAGGGGAGTGATTCAAAGAGTTTGTGACCAGGGTGGGAGGGGTCAGCCACAATCTTGCCAGCACGCACCAGGGTCCTAGAGGCGTACAGGTCCTGGAGGGATGGCAGATTGCGGCTGATCACCTTCTCAGCAGATTGAATGATACCCTGCAGTCTGCCCTTGTCCTTGGCAGTGGCAGCAGCATACCAGATGGTGATGGAAGAGGTGAGGATGGACTCAATGATGGCGGTGTAGAAGTGCACCATCATCGTCTTTGGCAGGTTGAACTTCCCCAGCTGCCACAGGAAATACATCCTCTGCTGGGCTTTCTTGGGGAGGGAGCTGATGTTCAGCCACTTTAGGTCCTGGGTAATGATGGTACCCAGGAAGCAGAAGGACTCCACAGACTCAACTGGGGAGTCACACAGGATGATGGGGGCGGTATTTTTGGACCCAGCAGCCTACATAAATATCTTAGTCCGTCACCTGAGAATCTGTATCTCTCAATGAGATAGTCATCTCCAACGGCCAATGGGTCTGACCTGTCCTGGAAGACTCTTTCATGCCTAAATGCTCGTCTAAAGATTAGGGCTTCCTCATCCAATACATCCTCCAAGAAGCAAGCCATTATGAAGAGGGAATAGGTGAATGGGAGTTGGATAGATAGATAGATAGATAGATAGATAGATAGATAGATAGATAGATAGATAGATAGATATTTCTTTATTTGTCCCGCAATGGGGAAATTCCAATGTAACAGCAGCAAGGTGGATAGAGAGAAAACAGTATAAATAAACAGTAAGAGCAGGGAAATAATAAAAACACTATGTACTAGATGTGTGTGTATATATATAGTATGTATATATATACATACTATATTGCCCTTGTCACAGATTTCATTGAAAACACCTTTGCAACTTCATCAGCTGTGTTTTGTAATCTCAATTACTGCAATAAAACACATATTTATGAAACCTCTGACGGCATTTTGACAAGCAGTCTTCATTAGCATAGCAATATAACACTTGTCCTGAGTAATAATGCTACCACTTGAATCAATATAAAAAGACTGTTGCAATTACAAACAGCCAACAGATTTAAATGAAATGAGAAATGACAATATATGTAATATTTTAATGCAGGATAATTAAAATGATGCAACATACTTAGAAAGACCATGGACATGCTGTAAAACACATTAATTCCTCACAGGATTGACGATGGAAATACAGGTGAATCACTAGGATTAATCTTAGCCTGGTTGTTAGCCTGGTCTGGAGCAGGCTAGCTGCAGAGAATAAATCACCATAGTAACTTGGCGGGGATAAGTTTGACCTGTTTTCATGCAACAGACTTGAGGCTAAATTCAGCCAGGATAACCAACATATCCCGGCTTAATCCCTTATCTTGGTTTTGTGCAATACCCCTCTGGTGATGTTCTGATGTTGGTAATGTGGTGATGTTGTTGGCGATGTGATGTTCTTGGTAATGTTGTGATGTTGTTGGTGTTGTTGCGATGTTGTTGGTAATGTGTTGTTGTTGGTAATGTTGTTGGTGATGTTCTTTGTGTTGTTGCGATGTTGTTGGTAATGTTGTGATGTTGTTGGTAATGTTGTGATGTTGGAAATGGGAAGTTGTTGGTGAGGTGATGTTGTTGGTAATGTGATGTTCTTGGTAATGTTGTTGCTGTTGTTGTGATGTTCTTGGTAATGTTGTGATGTTGGTGATGTTATAATGATGTTATAATGTTGTTATGTTCTTGGTATTGTTGTGATATTGTTGGTTATGTTGTTGGTGATGTTGTTGGTGATGTTGTGATGTTGGTAATGTTGTTGGTAATGTTGTATTGATGTTGTTGGCAAGGTTGGTGATGTTGTGATGTTGGTGATGTTCTGATGTTGGTAATGTTGTGATGTTGTTGGCGATGTGATGTTCTTGGTAATGTTGTGATGTTGGTGTTGTTCAATTCAATTCAATTCAATTTTATTTGTATAGCACCAATTCATAACAGAAGTTATCTCAGGACATTGTGATGTTGTGATGTTGTTGGTAATGTTGTTGGTAATGTTGTTGGTGATGTTGTTGGTATTGTTGTGATGTTGTAAATGTGAAGTTGTTGGTGATGTGATGTTGTTGGTAATCTGATGTTGTTGGTAATGTTGTTGGTGTTGTTGTGATGTTGTGATGTTGTTGGTGATGTTATAATGATGTTGTTGTAATGTTGTTGTGATGTTGTTGTAATGTCATGTTCTTGGTATTGTGACATTGTTGGTTATGTTGTTGGTGGTGTTGTTGTGATGTTGTTGGTGATGTTGTGATGTTGGTAATGTTGTTGTGATGTTATTGTCATGTTGTTGTGATGTTGTTGCTAATGTTGTTGGTAATGTTGTGATGTTAGTAATGTGATGTTGTTGGTAATGTTGGATGACTTTGTGATGTTGGCAAATTAAGTTTTATAACTAGGTTCGTGAACAAAGACCACTCCCCGAACTCATCTCATTTCTGTTCAATACATATTTAAGCACACCTTTTCCGTTTACTCCCTCCTTGGCTAATTTTCTACAACGTCAGAACCAAAATACGAAAACGAAAGCAATACCTAAAATCATGGAAAACGAAATCATACTCAACCCGTCAGACAGCAAACTGTTTGACGACATCCCAGAGTCCTCTTCTTCACCTATCATCCCTCCTCGTCAGCCAGCCCGGACCCTTTCAACCATCCACGCTGTCAGGCGCTCCCAGCCTCCGTCCAACGGCGGCTCCAACGCCATCTGGCCTTATCCCCCCCACAGCTCCAGGGGAAGATCTCATGCCCGACGTCCGACCGACACTCCTTCCTTGAGCCGCTCCGGGCAAAGCCTCCGCAACCCTTCCCCACCTCGCCGTCTCGCTGATCGTCCCTCGGCTCCAAACATCTCGGAGCGGACAGTCGTTCGCCTGAAGCACGCCCTCACTCAGCGGAACATAACCTTCCACAGCACCGACAATAAGGCGAAACTGTTCCAGCTCTTCAAAAACTACCAGCAGAGCAGCACCCCACATCGCAGAACTCCACGGCCACTTCCGGGTTCACAGCCTCGCGCCCGCGGCAGCACCAGTGACGTCATCATGCACCCAGCCCAGCCTCCCTCACCGGCCCTCCCAGAGGGCCAGGTCATACTGAACCCAGATCATGCATTTCTCGCTCCTAATACATCTTCTTCCGTACCCCACACTTTACCAACAACCCGAGCACATGCATCCCTTCATCCCAGCATCCTTTCTTCTTCTCTAATTCCTAACTTCCCTGTCCCTCCTGCTTCGGCTATAATTCCTACTCTGATTGCACAGAGCGTGCCCATAATAACGGTCCACGGCAACATTGTCAGTCAAAACCCATACTTTCCTCCTGTCTCTTCTTTAACCCTAACCTTAACCACTGAGGCTTTAAAAAAATCACCCTGACCATATGTTAATGTCAATTACCTCATCCAAGGATTCAAAAACGGATTTCACCCAGGTTTACAAGTCATACCAGATTCCTCTCACACATGCCACAACCTGCAGTCTGCCACCTCCCAGCCCGATATGGTCGACAAACTCTTGGACAAAGAAATCAAAGATAGATTCATTATCGGTCCATTCTACATTCCACCGTTCAGTCCATTTAGAATCAGCCCAATCGGGATCGCCACCAGGAAATATTCAGGAAAAAAGAGACTCATCATAGACCTCTCATCCCCCCACAGCTCCCCAGTCCCAAGCATCAACAGCTTAATCCCCAGCCCAGGCTTTTCCATGCACTACGCAACAATAGATCACGCCATCTCCCTCATCAGCACAGCTGGCCAAGGAGCATGGTTGGCTAAAGCAGACATCACCAGCACATTCAAAGTCCTTCCCATCTGCCCAGACTTCTGGCATCTCTTAGGCATTCAGTGGAAGGGCGCATACTACTTCGCCGTGCGCCTCACCAAAAGCAGCCCAAAAATATTTGATACATTATCTGAATCTTGTTTAACAAATACAGACTCCCCTACATCGTTCACCTCCTAGACGACTTCCTTACAGTGATGCCATCCTCTTCTCCCCCGTCACACGGTCTCAATACCCTGATCTCTGCTTTCAACGAGCTCGGAGTCCCTCTGTCCCCGGAGAAAACTGAGGGCCCCAGCACATCCCTGGAATTCCTCAGGCATTACTCTCAACTCCGTTTCACTCCAAGCATCCCTGCCCACCAAAAAAAGTACACCGGATTTCTTTAATCATTTCAAATTTCCTCCTGGCTCACAAAACGTCAACTTCTCTCGCTGCTTGGCCACCTCAACTACGCAATCTGCATCATCCCCCAAGGTCGATCCTTTTTGTCACACCTGCTTTCCATAGCCTCCTCCGTCCCATCTCTCCACGACAACGTCACACTGGACAACGCATGTAAAATGGAGCTAAAATTATGGCACCAGTTCCTCTTGTCATGGAATGGCATCTCTTTCTTGTATGACACACACATCACTTCACAAGACATCCAGCTTTTCACAGACGCAGCTCCTTCCGTCGGATTTGGCGGCTACTTTAGCGGCAAGTGGTTTTCAGCCAAATGGCCCCCCGAGTTCTCATCGCTCTCCCCTTCCTCCACCATCTATGAAATGTACCCTGTCATCATCGCAGCTTTTCTTTGGGGCCACAAATGGTCAAAGAAAAGTGATCACCATCCACTCCAATAACAGCGCCGTCGTAGACATCATCAACAAGGGACGTTCACAATGCCTAGACATCATGCAGTTCGTCAGGAAGCTCACCTTAGTTTCGGCACAACACCAATTCGTCATCAGAGCATCTCACATCCCTGGCCATAAAAACACAATCACTGACGCACTCTCTTGCTTTTTTTCTACTTAAGTGGTATAAACTTTTTTATCAAACTATCCTCCGGAGCACCATGCCAAGCCACTTCTCATTCCCATATCATCATGATAATCAAAGGTCTCCGCAAATCATAAACGCATCCCTCACCAAAACACTTGCCCTTAACTTCAGACCTTCTCACTCGCTGCATCAGAACTCTCCAAGAAGGCTATTCATCCCTGTATATTGATAAGGTCCTGGAATCCATGTTCCTTCTAGCTTTCTTTGGTTTTCTGCGCTGCTCCGAATTCACAGCTTCTATCCTCAAACATGATCCTTCTCACCATGCTTCCATGTCTGACTATTCCTTTCATTCCAATCATGAAAGGAATGTTGTGATATTGTTGGTTATGTTGTTGTAACTTTGATGTGTTGTTCTTGGTAATGTTGTTGGCATTGTTCTTGTTGATGAATTCACCAAGATCCAGAGACAAGGTTATTTTACTTTACAGAATGTGGTCTGAGTTTAGGATTGTGTCACTGATGGTTTCTGACAACACAGTCACATGACCATGTGTCTGCTGTCACAATGTCTCATCTTTTAACGGAGGATCAACGTTAGCCGCAGGAACTCACTTCTTCTGTCACATCTTATCGCTTTCTTTTTCTTTAACCGAAGAAAATGTTGGTTTCAGTTCAGGTCTAAGAGTTAAATAAAGTTCCAGTCTCAGATGATGGTGGAGGTGTAGTTCAGTTCTTCAGATCAGTGACTGTTTGTTTCTCTCAGCAGTTTCAATAAAGTTTTATTCTTTCAGAGAAGCAAGGGATGAGTGGAGGAAAAGTCTCTTATGAAGGAGCTTTACTGCTGAGGACAGGGAGAATGGACGACAACAAACAGGTGAGTCCTCACCTCCATCAGCTGAGTGTTACACCGTGTCCTTTGGGGGTCTTTGGAGGCCTCTAGGTACAAACAAACACCCTGTATTACAGTGCACTGTATATATAAAAACATATCTTTTTAAAATGAAAACCTATTAAAATCACCTTTCTGTTGCTGCTGTGGTTGGAGCTTCTTTCAATGTACAGTTAGTTTAGTTAAGTGGTTCCCAATCTGTGCCCTGGGCCCTAAACAGGTCACCAGATCAATCTGGGGTTCAGTACTGTAGTACTTTAACATACTGTGTATATATTCTGAGTATCCAGTACTGTAGTACTTTAACATACTGTGTACATATTCTGAGTAAAACACTTTTTAATCAATAATCAATTGTAGAAATATTGATTATTATTTGTCAGGTCATTTTTACATTTAACTGAGCTCTAACAGACTTCTCTGGACCAGTAATCAATGACCAATAATCAGGAGGTTATTGATTACTGATTACTTCCCCTGCTGATTAACTAATGATTGTTTGACTGATTGATTGATTGGTGTATGTGTGCAGTATGTTGGTGTGTCTGCAGACAGAGGAGAGGAGGAAGACGAGGAAGATGAGGAGGAGGGAAGTGTAAGGAAAGACAAACGTCCTGTCGCTTCCACTCCAGTCCCAGGGTCGCCATGGTAACTGCAGCTCTGTCTCACACACACACACACACACACACACACACACACAATGTTTCTACTGTTTTCTGACTCTAATGTTCCTTCAGCTGTTACCGTGACGACCAACTGATGGTCTGACCAACAGTGTCTGTCTGTCTGTCTGTCTGTCTGTCTGCGGGATAATGCCCTTCGAAGAGCTTCACAGTCGGACGGCTCTGGCCAAAAACTGATAATACCTCGTTGGGCATTATCCCTTACTTACATTATATATATCTTATATTGTATTGTATTGTATTATATTATATTATATTATATTATGTTATGTTATATTATATTGTAATATATTATATTAGATTAAATTATATCATATTATATTTTATGAAATTGTATTATATTATATTATATTATTGTCCTATGAAGAGAAAATAATGCATCAGTAAGATATGTTGAGTTTTCAGTCTCACCAGCGTTGCTCTGTTTTAACCTGTCTGGTTACCATGGTAACAGATGCTGCACACCTGAGCTGATATATTGTGTGTGCCACTGAGGATGTTTTTACACTGCTGCTACTGCATTGATGGGTCTATTAGTATTGATCAAAGATAATACTAATTGTTTTCTTCTTTTCTATCTATTTTATTATAACCATTTGATATGGTTCAGACATTGAATGCAGGCCTGTGATTGGTCCATTTAATGTTAACGCAGACTGAGTTCAACTGGTTCCACATGACCCCCCTCTGGACTTTGGTTGACTCTGATAAGAACACTAACTGGGGCGTTCAGAATCTGTGAATCTGTGTGTGTGTGTGTGTGTGCTCAGGTGTGTGGTCTGGACTGGAGACGACCGGGTCTTCTTCTTTAATCCTACAATGCACCTCTCGGTCTGGGAGAGACCAGGAGAGCTGATTGGTCGAGACATCAGCCGCATCATCGAGGACCCACCCCACAAGAGGAAGAGGACAACACCTGCTGGTCTGTCATCTCACCTGTGTCCGTTCACCTGTCTGTCACATTACCTGTCTGTCATCTCACCCATCTGTAATCTAGACTAGTTTGATCTGAGAGTGGTGCATTAAGCTGGACGACTCACTGAGAAGATGATGATGATGATGATGATGATGATATACTTTATTGATCCCCTAGGGGAAATTGTTCTTTTCACTCTTTTTTATACACACACACACAGGCTGAAATGCACACTTCATGCACTTGTGGACATGCAAAGGGGAGAGAGATGGTGGAGTGATGGGGCTGCAACGTTAATCGCGCCCGATGAGCAGGTTTTGGGGTTAGGGCACCTCTGCAGTACACCTCTGCAGTACACGGGAGGTGAAACTGGAACCTCTCCAGCTACCAGTCCACACTCCATATTTTGTGGTCTGTGGGACTTGAACCGGCGAACCTCCGGTTCCCAAGCCAAGTCCCTACACACTGTGCTACTGCCGCAAGAATGAGCTGTCAATCACAAGGTAGCCCCGCCCTAAAGCATACCCTGCTTTATGGTCTATTTTACTCTGCTGCTGTATGGAAGAAGAAATTAGAGACTGAGACCAGAAATTCATCAGGAAACTGTTTACTGAGCTCATTCTCCCTTAGAGTGAATGGGTTTATATTGCAGCCAGTGGAGCTCCCCCTGTCATCTCACCTGTTTGTAAACTCATCTGTCTGTCACCTTACTTGTCTGTTGTTTCACCTGTCTGTCATCTCACCTGTCTGTCACTTCACCTGTTTGTAAACTCACCTGTCTGTCACCTTACCTGTCTGTTGTTTCACCTGTCTGTTGAATCTCTTTCTGACAGACAGCAGCTCTGGCTGTCAATCATCTGGTCGCCACGGTAACAATGAAGATGATGAACATGAACACAACTTCAAAAGGAACAGGTGAGTCAGATGGAGCCAATCAGAGAGCAGCACAGATGTTAAAGGTCAAAAGAATTTGTTTGTTTTAGTTTATTATTGTTTTTTATGTAAAATATTGTGATGTCATCATCAATGTTGTGATTGGTTAAATGTTGACTTTGTCTCTCTCTTTCTCTCTCTCTCTAGAATAGAGGAACCAATGTCTCTCGTCCCTCATCCAGGAGAAGTTAAACTCCTCCCACTGGAGCTTCGTGTGGCTCATTTTAGAGAAATGATGCTTGAAAGAGGGGTAATACACATATATTCAATTCAATTCAATTCAATTTTATTTGTATAGCGCCAATTCATAACAGAAGTTATCTCAGGACACTTTTCAAATAGAGCAGGTCTAGACCGAACTCTTTATAACATTAATTACAGAGACCCAACAGTACCACCATGAGCAAGCACTTGGCGACAAGGGCAAGGAAAAACTGCCTGTTAAAAGGCAGAAACCTAGGACAGATCCTCCGGCTCTAGGTGGGTGGTCGTCTGTCTCGACCAGTTGGGGTGAGAGAGAGAGAGAGAGACAGAGAGAGAGAGAGAGAGAGGCAGAGAGAGAGAGAGACAGACAGACAGACAGGTGCACAGCAACAACAGTATTGGCAATGGCAGTCAAGCAGGACCATGGCAGGAGGCTCCACCAGGATCCATGAGAACCTGCGAGACGAGAAAGCACAAGAACTCCGGGGAAGAAGTGGAGTTAGTAACATGCATTAATGGGACATGAATGAGTGCAGAAAGAGAGAGGAAGAGAGTAGCTCAGTGCACCATGGGAAATCCCCCGATAGTCTAGGCCTATAGCAGCAAATATGTATTATACATGAGTATATAAACACATATATATACATATATATATATATATATATATTGGGGGGGGGGGATTGTGAAGTCATGTGTCTGAGACCTGATAGGGAGTCCGGGGTCATTCAGTCTTTAAGATAAATCTGTACACTTTAATGCATTTTGAGAGTAAGAATAATCACTTATTGTTATAATATCAGAAATAAAATACTGTAAATGTAGTTTGTTACATCCGTATCATGGACAGTACTTTTTGTTCACACTCTAACCATGGAAACAGACAAACAACAATCATACTGAAGGAAAAGTCTTATGAGCAGCTCAGAGCGCTTTGTTTGTTATATACACCTGTGTATATTTTCACTCAGTGAACTGTAAAAGATGGTTATTGACAGACAAATCCAATCCAATCCAATCCAACTTCATTTGTTAAGCACTTTAAAAACAACCAACGTTGACCAAAGTGCTGTACAGGAGAATAAATAAGACATCATTAATGTAAACAGTGATAAATACATTGATCTGCGTCTGTCCCGAGGTGTCGGCATTCTCCACCTGGGAGAAGGAACTCCATAAGATGGTGTTTGACCCTCGATACCTGCTGCTGACCTCAGATCAGAGGAAACAGGTTTGAATACACAACAAACAACAAACAGTTTGAGATTAATTCACATTGTTGTCTTATACACATCTGTGTTTGTGTGTGTGCATGTGCGTACAGGTGTTTGATAAGTTTGTGAAGAGCAGGGTGAAGGACGAGTACAAAGAGAAGAAGAGTAAACTGCAGAAAGCCAGAGAAGATTTCAAACAGTTGCTGGAGGAGGCAAAGATCACCAGCAGGTATCTCATTAATTATTCCGCTGTGTTTCTGTAAAATCTGACCAGAGTACAGCTCCTCCTCACCTGGAGCAGTGTGGTGTTTGTCTGTCTGTCAGATCACACCTGTTGTCTCTGTTTATTCAGCTAGAACAAAAATACTGAGTTCATCTTATTCAGACTGCAGTATGGGTGTCCACCTCTAAGAGGATCTGATACATATCCAGATACCTGGACCTCGATACCATTCAGGGACATTTTAATCTGGAACAATGAGATATGATCTGATACAGTTCTTAACATTGGTTTAATGTAGACATTTATTTTACATTCTAAATTAAAATAAGTTAATAAAAGTAACATTGCTTACCTTCAGATACATATATTTTATAAAATACCAGCGAATCCCAAGTATTTCTGGGAAAAAACTAATTCAGTTGAGTTACAGTCATTGTGTTTGTTGCTTTTCCAACAGACAGACAGACACATGTTCTGCACTGATTATACCATAGACCTCGTCCAGTTGGAGCAACGTTGTGTCTGGAAAGTGTTTAATATCTTGCGTGTCGTTGCTTGTGCTAGCTGTGTTAGCAGCCACGGACTCCTCATCGTTCTCGAGAACCTCTCATGCGGTTGACCTCACTCTTGGCAGTGCTCTCCTATTGGTCCTCAGTAACACAGTTGCCAAGTGATGCTGCTATAGCGCCATCTATTAGCCAAATGGCACCAAATTGGTGACAGTCACTCAGACCACCAAATGTAAATAGTAAATGGACTGTACTTGTATAGCACCTTTCTAGTCTTCCGACCACTCAAAGCATTGTACACTACATGCCACATTCACCATCCGGTCACAATCATACACTTATGGCTACCATGCAAGGTGCCAACTGCTCATCAGAACAGAAACTAAGCATTCAATTTGGTGTCTGGTGCAATAAGAGGTGCCAGGGATCGAATCACCAACCTTCTGAATAGTGGACTACACACCTACCGCAACCACACCTTCCTGCTCCAACAGAGAGTGAAGTAAATGTATATATGGTAGATGGACTGTACTTGTACAGTGCCTTTTTAGTCTTCTGACCACTAAAATTGCTTTTACACTACAGCCACATTCACCCTTACACACATATTCACACAGTGATGCCAAAGACCAGCAAACAGAAACTAACTAATTCATTCACATTCACACAATTCAATTCAATTCATTTCAATTCAATTCAATTTTATTTGTACAGCGTCAATTCATAAAAGAAGTTATCTCAGGACACTTTTCAAATAGAGCAGGTCTAGACCGAACTCTTTATAACATTATTTACAGAGACCCAACAGTACCACCATGAGCAAGCACTTGGCGACAAGGGCAAGGAAAAACTGCCTGTTAAAAGGCAGAAACCTAGGACAGATCCTCCGGCTCTAGGTGGGTGGTCGTCTGTCACGACCAGTTGGGGTGAGAGAGAGAGAGAGAGAGAGACACACAGACAGACAGACAGACAGACAAACAGACAGACAGAGAGAGAGAGAGAGAGAGACAGAAACAGAAACAGAAACAGAGAAAGACAGACAGGTGCACAGTAACAACAGTATTGGCAATGGAACTCTAGCAGGACCATGGCAGGAGGCTCCACCAGGATCGATAAGAACCTGCGAGACGAGAAAGCACAAGAACTCCGGGGAAGAAGTGAAGTTAGTAACATGCATTAAAGGGACATGAATGAGTGCAGAAAGAGAGAGGAAGAGAGGAGCTCAGTGCACCATGGGAAATCCCCTGATAGTCTAGGCCTATAGCAGCATAACTAAGGGATGGTTCAGGACTCACCTGATCCAGCTCTAACTATAAGCTTTATCAAAGAGGAATGTCTTAAGCCTACTCTTGAATGTGGTGAGGGTGTCTGCCTCCCGAACCACAACTGGAAGCTGGTTCCACAGGAGAGGAGCTTGGTAACTGAAGGCTCTGGCTCCTGTTCTACTTTTAGAGACTATAGGAACCACAAGTAGCCCTGCATTTAGAGAACGTAGTGTTCTAGAGGGGTAATAGGGTACTATGAGCTCTTTAAGATATGAATGGGCCTGACCATGAAGAGCTTTATAGGTGAGGAGGAGGATTTTAAATTCTATTCTACATTTTATAGGGAGCCAGTGCAGAGAAGCTAGTACAGGAGAGATGTGATCTCTTTTTCTAGTTCCTGTCAGTACTCGTGCTGCAGCGTTCTGAATTAATTGGAGCATTTTAATGGACTTATTGGGGCAACCTGATAATAAAGAGTTGCAGTAATCCAGCCTTGAAGTAACAAATGCATGGATTAGTTTTTCTGCATCTGTCTGTGATAGGATGTGTCTAATTTTTCTAATATTACGTAAATGAAAGAAGGCAGTCCTAGAGGTCTGCTTTATGTGGGAGTTAAATGACAAATCCTGTACAAGTCCAGTAAATAAACTACACTTAATACAAGAACCAATATCATTAAAGGAGGCAGAGGAATAACTAAACATCTGACACACTGAGCAGGACAGAGGAGAGGGAGAGGAAGAAGCCATAGCTAACTGCTAATGCTAATGAAGGTAGCGTGTATGAAAAACTTTTGAAAGTATCCAATCCAATCCAACTTTATTTGTTAAGCACTTTAAAAACAACCAAAGTTGACGAAGTGCTGTACAGGAGAATACATATGACATCATAAATGTAAACAGTGATGGTGATGATGAAGACCACTGTGAGGAATATAGACAGTGATGGCGATAACACTGGAAAGCTCCCGTGGCAGACAACACGGACGAAGTCCGACGGCGACGAGCTCGATGTCCGGGCTGCAGACTCGCTCTTTCACACAGACGTGCCCGTTGTTACACCACCTGTTGTTGATGAGCACGGACAGTCCCCCTCCTTTCTTCATGCCGGTCGCGATGGTGTCCCTGTCGGCTCGAACCGTCTGGAAGCAGGGAATGGTGATGTTGGAGTCCAGTATCTGCTCGTGTAGCCACTTTTGTAGGGTTTAAACCTCCTCTTCTTCATCCTCCGTTTAACCCCCGCTCTGCAGCCTCACCGTCTCCTCAGCTCCTCCGGTATTGAGGGTCTCTCTCCAGTCAGGATGCTCGGGGGCCGCAGGGCGATCATCTGGTCGTAAACAATGCGACTCGCCATCGCCACGGAGACCCGTGCAAACAAAAAATAAAAAGTGCTCAAAAATGCCAAAAAAGTATTTAGGCGACGTGAAAAAAGTAGTAAGAAAGTAAGAAAGTAAGAAAACAGTTAAAAATAGCTAAAAACACTGAAAACACACATAAACTACAACAATGATAGGAGCTGCCATGACAGGCTGCCGTTGTTGCCGGCGCCATTCCATGGAATGAATGAATGAATTTTAGCGAAAAGTCGCTAAAAGAAGGAGTAACTCCAAGTGTTTAGGTAGAAATAGTCTACGTATAAATGTTAAGCGGGAAAATAACCACTGTAACGAGTAAAACAAATTTAGATTTAGCGTTCACTGACAGATCTACAGCACCAAACAGTGTACACAGAGCAGGAAGTAAACCGGAAATGAGTCAGTACGCTTACCGTAGCACGTCACACAACACTGATGACATCGAGAGCACCAGCACCATCTTTCTGCCCCAAAGAACCCCATCCCAATTCAAGTATTACTGCACCGTTAGTAATCAAACATAACTATTTTATGGGTTAGGGTTAGGGTTAGGAGTTACATGTATATATGAAAAAATTGTAAATAAGACATAGAAAGGAAAATAATGATCACAAAATTAAGTAAGTACAATAAATGAACGCTACATGAATAAATAAAATGTAGTAGACTATTAAAAAAGTATACAATTGTAAGACTAATATGTAATACATTGTTGCCATGTAGCATTCCATTTCTGAGCAAACCCTCTTGTAGAGTAGTGAATTTTTATCTATTATAAAATGGTGTGTGGAGTCTATCATATTTTTGCTTGATGACTGAGATGCATATCTTGTGGAGCTGCTCCAAATATTGCAATAACAATAAAGGGTTCTATGGGTACTTCCAAAACATCTGAAAAGGCTTTAAATATTAATTGCCAGAAATTATTTAGTTTTGAAAAAGATCAAAACATATGCGAGAGGGTGGCTGGTGCTTGTTTGCATTGGTCACATGTAGGATCGACACTGAACGTGGACTTAGCAAGTTTAGTTTTAGACCAGCAAAGGTGATGCAAGACCTTGAACTGAATGACTGTATGTCATTAACAAACTGAAGAGGAATCCGCATCCCGAATTCTTCTTCCCACTGATTCCTTAACCCTGTAATGCAAAGCGTATCATATTTGATACGAGTTTTTGAGAACTCTACATCATAAGTGTGATATATATTTTTTTCTAAATAAAGAGGTTGTGAACCATAAAATGAACCAAACTGAAAAGTTCTTCTTCCACCGTGCCAGTTCCATTGATGGGTTTGTAATTGCTGTGTCATAGCTTAATTTCCGCAGATTCAGAAAATGTCTGACGTTGTTGTGCAATATGGAAAAAATGCTCTTTTGTATGTTTAAATTTACTTGAGGAAAATTTTTAAAGGAAACTTAAAGTTTAATGGGTTAAAAATGTTGTGTTTTATATGTTTTTGTTTGTTTAAGATAAATTGCACAAAAATACCGGGTGTAGTAAAAATTATACAAATTAAAACTCAAATATGCAAATTGATATTTAATTTCTTTTTTATAATTTGTCAGAAAGTCCATAAAGAACTTAGAATTTTTGAGAAATTATTTCATTGTTCTGACATTACAGGGTTAACTTAATTCTGTGAATTTAGGAGGAAGACACTGTCCTAATAGACCTTTTGGAACTATTCATTTTTAGTGATAGATGTTTATTAGTTTCATTAGTGGATGTTTATTTGTTTTTATGATATTTTGATCAGTTGGTTTTTGTCAGGTTGTTCAGCAGCTGCCTGTAGGTGAATTATTAATTAATAGATACACTTTTTGCCAATCACATCACTGGACTCATTGCTCTGAAACAGCTGAGCCTATCCCAGTGAAGATGAAGACAAATTAAGGGCATTGTTCTTCAATAAATCAACCAGCTGCTGTTTCACTGTTAATCAGTAATTGTAGTAGTTTAAGATAGAATAGAATAATTAATAAATCTGTTATAATCAGTGGTTAAGGGGGAAACTAGAAACTGTTTTTCTCCACAGATCAACCTTTAAGGAGTTCTGTGCTCGTTACCGTGGCGATCAGCGGTTCAACGCCCTTAACAGGAAGAAGGAACAGGAAGTTCTCTTTGAGCATTACATCACTTCCTTAAAGAAACGGGACAAAGAGAACCGAGCCAGACTGAGGAAGATGAGATGAGAACACTGTTCTACCGTCCAGAACCATCTAGAACCCTTGTAGAACTCATCCAAGACCTTCCAGAACCTTCAAAAGAGCCTTCCAGGAACTTCTGTTCCACCACACCGAGCAGATCCTCTACTGTGGACCGGAACCACAGAGACCAGATGGGACCAGAGGATCTATGTGGTTCTCACTTGTTGTTTGTGGTTTTATAGATTATCCAGGATAGGAAGAGGACCAGCAGCATCAGACTGGATTCTGGATTCTGGACTGTAGTGGATTGATGTCATCTTGACCTGCTGAACTGAATCTAGACTGACTAAACTGAGCCAAGTCAGACTGGACTAAACTGGACTTCAAAAAGAATCAGAGCACAAAAAAGATGTCTGTCTGTCTGTCTGTCTGTCTGTCTGTCTGTCCCTTGTGCCTGGCTGGACCAACCAACCAACCAACCAACCAATCAATCATGGTAAAGCAGTTTCGTACAGGTCAATGCTGATGATAAAATAGTCCAAACTAAAATAATCTGAGACAAGAAATAAAAATGACTATATATATTTGAATTCATCCTGTACCACAAATAACTTTATTATATCACACTAAAGGTCAGTATTCTTGTAGGAAATAAAATCAACCCTCTGACCCCCCTTACTGCCCTCTATACCACCTAGAGCGGGGGTCCGTCCAAGGTTTCCGCCTCTTAAAAGGAAGTTTTTCCTTGCCGCTGTCACCAAGGTCTTGGTCATGGTGGGTACTGTTGGGTCTCTGTAAATAATGTTATAAAGAGTTCAGTCTAGACCTGCTCTATTTGAAAAGTGTCCTGAGATAACTTCTGTTATGAATTGATGCTATACAAATAAAACTGAATTGAATTAGTACTGTAACTGTTACTATGATGACCCAAAAATAATACACCTACTTTTAAATTCAAACAGCAGGGAGGGAGTAAAAACAAAACTAACAGCTACATGTAAATCCTCCTTAAAAAATAATTGCATCATAAACAAGACAAAAAACTTAATTCCAGTATTCTATTGTATATTGGTCCTCCGGCCCAGCATGGTGGGGATTTACATCTCCATGACAACAGGGCTACCTGCTGGAAGGTGTGTCTTTACAGGCAGAGAGAGCCATGGTGGTCGAGACCGCAGTGAATCAGATAAAATAAAACATTTCTGATTGTTTCACAGCGGTTAAGTTCTAAAGCACAAATAACGGCCACCTTGTTCCTGCAGTATGTAGAGTCATTTTTATTGAAGAAAAGCTGCTAACAAATTCCTTCTTTACAATAAAAGTCCCTGGTTACTTTGTTATTTAAACGCTTTTATTATGAAGCAGCAAAATCAGGAAGTGTTGGGTTTTCATCAGCAGTAATTTAACACAACCCAGATATCTGAAAACACAAACAGGAGAAACTTCAACCCACAGAGGTTCAGTTAGAAGATACACAAGAACTGAGAGCTGACAACAATGTTTGTCTGCTTTCTGTACAGACAACAGTTTAGTAACACGCATGTTTGAGGGGCAGAAGTGGGGTCACGTGGTTGTCCATGGTAGGCGAAACATCACTGCAGCCTGCTTGGAGGCGGGTTGGGTGCACTTTACCCCAGGGTAGGCCCATCTCGGGTGTGACAATCAATAAATTAGCACAGCATGGTTTGACTCGGTGCAGCCAAAAGCACTAATGGTAATCCCCTATTAGTGACCGGAGGGGGCCATGGGTCCATGGGGCATATTCACATTATCAGCCACTCAATATATGATCTATCAGCCACATTTTACCACATTTCACCAGCTGGTGAAAAATACATATTCTAAATCATACAAAATACAACTATTCAAAGTTGTCTTTCCCTCCCATACTTGCAATAGTAAAAGTTAAATTCAAATTGCTCCCCAATGCTTAAAATATCATTTGTGTTTCATTTGGTTTTGGGAAGGGGGGGGGCCCTTCCCAAAACCAAATGAAACCACATAATGAAATGTAATAAAACCATCACACAGGTTGATGTTCTAAACGCACTGTTCACATTCTAAATATTACATTAGCCATGAGCCTCAGCTGCTGTTGCTGTAGTCAGTCAAAGGTTTATATAAATTGTGTAATTGAGCTTTAGGTTGTCAGTCGACAACGACTGAAGCTCTGTGATGGCTGTTAGTGAAATGCAAAGACAATATTATCTGACACAGGTAATGATTTTGTGTTACCTGTTGATGGTCCTCAGAGGAGGACCTTGGACCAGCCAGGACAGGGACGACTCCACATCTGTAAACCACATCAATACAAACTGAACCCAATTCGCCTCCTTCCTGTCTCACAAGTTTTTATATAGACATATTGTTATGATGTAAGCCCTGCCCCCTCCACTGTCAGCACCATGCTGAGCTGTGATTGGAAGATTTCCTGTCTTAATATCCTGATTGGATGTTTTCTAGTGTCCTGACTTCTCATTCAACAGTGTCTGTGTGATGATCTTTGTGTTTTGACATTTCATTGGCTGTTGTTCATGACTTGTTTTAAATTAAATTGTCCCTTAAACATACCTGTTGTTATTGTTCTTATTGTTCTTATTGTTGCGCTCATGGACGCAGCGGCCCCTCAGGCTCCTACTAATGGTGCTAATTCCTGTCCGAATGTGCTGGAATGCTTGTACTACCCGTACCCACGACCTACTACACAGACAGCTACCGTTCATGATTTTTATAATATCCATTTATTATTTCTACTTACATACAGATATTCAAAATGTTATCTAGCTTTTAACGTTTGTAGTGTGTATGATGCCTGTGATTGCTGTTTTTTATGTGTTTATTATTTATATTCATGTAGCACTACCGGACCGCCAGAAACAACATTTCATCCCTGTGCGTGGAAGTAACAATAAACAACCTTAACCTTGAACCAACATATTCTGACCTTCCGAATGTACACCCCAATGTCAGCCATCCTTCACCCCAACGTCAGCCGCCTCTCACCCTATCATGGCCGTCGCTATACCACTGCCTTTTCTTTGTTGTACCTTGTGTTTGCCCATCCTGTGTCTCCTGTCTGTCTGTGTCTGTGTGTCATGGATGAGGTCTCCCCTCCTGCCTTCCAGCTCTGCTCCACACACCTATCTGCAATCAATTCATCAGCTCTCCCAGTCTGCTCACCTGCCTTCAATCAAATGCGTTTGTTGTTCCTTTGTGTTGTAGTTTTTTGTAGTTTTACAAATAGTTTCCTGCGTAGAACTCTTGACTAATTGCTACTCTTGTGCTCTAGGATTTCACCTCACCTGTCTGCCTGCCAGTCAACCATCTCTCCAACCCTCTCATCATCAGCACCATCACCTTTTGTCTGGAATAAAACCTACTTACCCTCACCGAACTCTGAATCAGCATCTTGGCTGGCTAGATTGCCATTGCCAATACTGTTGTTGCTGTGCACCTGTCTGTCTGTCTCTCTCTCTCTCTCTCCCTCTCTCTCTCTCTCTCTCTCTCACCCCAACTGGTCGAGACAGACGACCACCCACCTAGAGCCGGAGGATCTGTCCTAGGTTTCTGCCTTTTAACAGGCAGTTTTTCCTTGCCCTTGTCGCCAAGTGCTTGCTCATGGTGGTACTGTTGGGTCTCTGTAATTAATGTTTTAAAGAGTTCGGTCTAGACCTGCTCTATTTGAAAAGTGTCCTGAGATAACTTCTGTTATAAATTGGCGCTATACAAATAAAATTGAATTGAACTGAATTGAATTGAATTGAATCTTGCATTTGTGTCCACACCTTTTATCAAACGTGACACACCCCAACGTTAGACGCGTCTTGTCTCTTGTGATTGTTATCACTTAGAAATATACAACTGCTCTCCTCACTATAACCAATTAAATTAATCAATAGTCAATAAGCATTATTAATCCCCAGTAATGTAATAACCTGAAACCTAAAATAGTATCAAGCATCATCATAGCAGACAGTGTGAACAATACTTACCACACACACAATTCAATTCAATTCAATTAAATTTTATTTGTATAACGCCAATTCATAACAGAAGTTATCTCAGGACACTTTTCAAATAGAGCAGGTCTAGACCGAACTCCTTATAACATTTACAGAGACCCAACAATTCCACCATGAGCAAGCACTTGGCGACGGGGGGCAAAGAAAAACTGCCTTTTAAGAGGCAGAAGTGTAGGATAGATCCTTCTGCTCTAGGTGGGTGGACGTCTGCCTCAACAATGCTACGTGGCTAGGTAACGCAGTGGTTGTTGAAGTTCTCCAGACAGCAAGTGCTGAACCACTCCATCAACCGAACGAACTGACAGAATCTGGATTCATATCTGATCAGTTCTGCCTAGTTTGACAGTTTCTGAGTTTGGTGCGTTGAACTGAACGGACTCACTCAGAATGAGCTGTCAATCACAAGGTAGCCCCACCGTAAAGCATACTCTGTTTTATGGTCTATTTTACTCTAAATGGGACCATCATTTACTAAATGAACATCATGCTGTATGGAAGAAGACTGAAACTAGAGACTGAGACCATAAACCATTAAATCAGGTTCTCCATAAGACCAGGGAGATGGAGGACTAAACTCTCCTCCCCCACTCTCCTCCCTTCCTCTCGTTCTCATATTAAAACTGTCAAATCATCTTGACAGTAAAATGTTTCTCCAGAAGCATCTGAGTGTTTCACCAGCAAATTACCTGTCAAAATGTGTGTGTGTGTGTGTGTGTGTGTGTGTGTCTGTGTTTTGGGGTTGGTTCGAGACGTTTCACCCACTGGATACAAATTCAGCTTTTAGCTCCTCATTGGTATTCACACACACACACACACACACACACACACACACACACAGATAGAGGTTATATACTAGTGAGGACCCTCTCTGACTTTATAAACAGAAGTAATCAGTAATCTTTTAATTGTTTTACGATTTATTAACTCTATCTTAATATTTGTTTTTATCTCTAACAATGTAATTTATACTGTAATACTGCAGTTATTTGGTATACAGCTCCACTAGATGTGACTCATTTGCTCTCAATCACAGTTTGCTCATACACACACTATTATACAGGTTGCTTTTGTTTCAAAGGCAAATTTTACATCAGCAGATGTAAAGTAAAGAAGGAAAGTGTGTGTGGCACGTACAATTAACATTTCTGTGTGTGTATTTATTAACCACAACAACAGGACATTTCTCCAATGGGCTTTCATGAGAATTGTACTTGCGTTTCCGGAAAATAAACAGACTTAACAACAGACGATGTAATTATAAATCAACTTCCTTTGTCTTCCTTTTGCATTCAATTTAAATCAAACATGCAGGATGCCAAAAAGTGAAAGCATCCTTTGTGTTAACACGATAATTGGAACAGTTTTAATTAAAAGCTGCTCTGAACATTCATGACCACAAGAGAAAATAAACCCTGTAACCTTTCCTCTAGCAGCATAAAGCCAAACTCAGTTCTCATAAGACAGAATCTCCTGAACTGTTAGTCAAATGGGCCAACGTTTGTCTGTTCTCAGCTAAGCTGGACAACAAAGGCATTCATTTTATTTAACAGTATTGTTACTAAATAAAAAACATTGCCCAAAAGATTTGGTATGCTTTATGAATGTCTTTAATCCAAAGGGATCATATCTGTGCACTTTTTGTGACATGATAACAGCTTGTGAGAATGTTTGTCATCAAGCAGAAATTATAGAGCTACAGAAACGCTCATAATAATAGGCTCAATGTTATAGTCAGTGGTATTCTCCTCCTTGGTTTCCCTGTGTCTCTGTGTGTGTTTGGACTCCTATCACTCTCCTTGATTACCTGCTCACCTGTCTGACTGCTCAAACCTGCCAGCCATCAGCCCTGCAGTATTTAAACCCCGGTTCTCCTTCCACTCTCGTCCCAGATCATTGGATCTACAAACCTGGTAGTAACCTTCTAGATAGATAGATAGATAGATAGATAGATAGATAGATAGATACTTTATTTATCCCAAGGGAAATTCAAGTATCCAGTAGCATACAAAATACAAAACATATATTACAAACATTAAGCTAAAATTAAAAACCCTAACCTTAAGAATAACATTAAAAATGAAAGCTGCAAGCAGCGTTGGACGGGATCTCGCACCCGGTGGGTGTCGGGGTGTGCTGCGACCGCGTCACATGCTGTCGGGGTGTCCTGCGGCCACGTCACGTGCCGTCGTAACAAGCGCATACCACAACATGAAAATGTCACGTAAATCAGCTCAAAATCGCCACGCAGCACTTACTTCCTGTTGCCACTAGGTGGCGCTATCACTATGTGTTCAGGGTGGGACTCTTATCAGACATGTGAAGTTTCGTTGCAGTCGGATCATGTATGCTAAAGTTATGACGAATCCCTCTTTCATGGCAAAAGTTTGAAATTGGATGCCACGGGACGCCACGCCACGGGCACAATGTTCTACGAAACAAACTGAGGAGCACAACTTTTAATGGTGAATGTGTTTAGATGGCTGTGTCCAAATCTGAAGTCGGTCCGACGCATGTAAATCGCCAAAAATGGCCACAAAATCCAAAATGGCCGACTTCCTGTTGGGTTTGAGGTATGGGTCCTTGAGACTTTTCTGCTTCTTTTATCATGATACACATGCGTAGCAATTTTCGTACATGTCCTTACGGGTCTTGGGGGCTGATTCTGGGGGGTGTGGCTTAGCCGTTTGGCGGCGCCCGTGCACGGGGACAATGTCATATCGGTATTTTCGCTACGTTTGAATTTTGTGCAAATTTTCATGACTTTTTGAGCATGTTGCGGGGGCCAAATATGCGTTAGAAGGCGGCTAAAAATAATAATAGTTCCTTGGGTTACAATAGGGTCTTGCACTTGTCAGTGCTCGATCCCTAATAAAATAAAAGATCAAATATAATCTTCCAGTTCCTCTCTGCCTGGGGTCTAGCCATATCGTCTCACCACTGCTAGCAGGAGCTACACCAAACCATTTCATTCCCCGGATTTTCAATTAAGCCGGTCTTGAGGAATCGTTCCAACCGAGTTTGTGGTCTGCTTTTGGGTTCTTCTGTTTAACGTAACACTCTGAGACAGAGCACAGTGCATGGTTTTATCATGTTAAGCCCTATTCGCACGGGACTAGTATTACCTGGGGACCTCATGTGATTTAGTAATTGCCCCACCACGTCTGTGTTTCGTGCGGCGCAGAGGGGGGAGTGGGGGTAGAGCAGGGAGGGAGTTGAGTCTCCTGACCGCCTGGTGAAAGAAACTGTCCTTGAGCCTGCTGATTTTGGCCCAGAGACTCCGCAGTCTCCTCCCCGACGGCAGCAGGCTGAAGAGGCTGTGAGATGGGTGGGTGGGGTCACCTGCAATCCTGATGGCTTTGCCAGTGAGGCGGGTGCTGTAAATATCCAGAAGGGGGGGAGAGAGAGACACCAAAGATCCTCTCAGCTGCTCTCACGATGCGCTGCAGAGTCTTGCGGCAGGACACGGTGCAGGCGCCGTACCACACGGTGATGCAGCTTGTCAGGATGCTCTCTATAGTGCCTCTGTGAAAAAAACTCTTGCAACATTATTATTATAGTTAAGTTGTTGTAACCCAGAGAGGGTTAATCAGACAAACCAAACTAAACCGAAAAATCTTATCGGCATCAAGTCTATTTTTTCTGGAATCATGATCAGAATTCTCATGAACAAACAATTTCTATTGTTTTTTTCAGTTCAAACAATGTTGGTGTAAATTTTAACTAATATTAAAGTTCTTCGGAGCACCACACTTAAATAAGGGAAACAAAAAATGCCCAAAAAAAAACCCAAAATGTATTGATTCAGTCTCATAAAATACACTTAACAATTAATTTAGAAATCTGATTAATAATTCAATTAAAAACTACAACCAAAATCATGATAAATAGTTAAAGTAAAAGGATTTGGAGTTCTTCATAGAAGGGGCTGGTATCACCCACTCTTGTATGAAATTAAATAGGTCAGCATGTATAAACACAAGCATTTATTGATGAGATAGTAAAAGCAAAACTGAGAAAACACACAATATACAATCTAACTTAAATTAACTATCTGAGATCTGAGAGTGAAGATCAATGAGGCTAAGGTGAAATACAGGAGGAAGATGGAGTGGAAACTGCAGCACAACCTGAGGGAGGTCTGGAATGGGATGAAGACCATCACTGGTTTCAGACCCACTGGCAGAAGAGGAATTAAAGGAAGCATGGACAGGGCCAACAAGCTTAATCTGTTCTTCAACAGATTTGACATGATGGCGCTTGGTTATCCCCCCCAATTTATCCGTTGTCTGCCCCAAAACACCTCCTGCTCCACTGCCACTCCCTCCCTCTCCTCCTCACAGCCCCCCACTGAGTACAGGACCGTGGTGGGTAACTTTGTTTGTCATCAAACTGTACAACTCCTCCCTCAGACAGTCAAAACTCCGAGTGATCAGTCATCAAATTGGTGTTGTTAATGTGCAATAAATTGATTAAGGGGCAATACACCAGATTATTCTGTATTATTCTGTCATTCTTGTAAAAATCTAAGTAAAAAAAAACTTTGGCAACACCACAATCTTTAAAACTCATTTCTATTTGATTTCTGTCGGTACATACTGTGGAATACATTTACATTTGCTTTGTATATATTAGCATATATTTTGTATATATTTTATTACTTTAAGGTACATAGGCTCATAATTGTTTACTTAGGGTTAGGTTACCTATATGTATATACCTATAAATACATTTCTATTCTATTTATTGTGTTACTTATTGTAATATAAGTATTATTCCTTTTCTTTAACATTGTGTGAGTAGAATAACTGTAACAAACAAATGTTGTGTATCACCCAGTATGGGTGAGCGAGGTGAGCAAGAGAGCGGAGAGGTAAGAGGGTAAGAGAGAGAATAACGGCATGTCCACTGGTTTTGTCACCTGGACATAGCGCACAATCAAGTCGTCTCAGGCTACGGTCCCAGGAAGTGACCAATAAGGTGACAGGAAGTGACCCATCACAATAAATGTTCAGTTAAATCGCACTGTCCACAGAAACCTCTCTGAGCTCAACTTCTCCAGGGTCGAAGAGCTTTTTTCAGTTCCAAGCCAATAGATCTGCTCTGAAGATGAATGTAAAGATATCCTAACTCTAAACCCTGGATCACTTCCCAAATGAAACAGTGCCTGAAGGAAAAACATAAAGCCTTCACCCTCAAAGACTGGACTGGCCACAAATTGGCTAATTGGAAAATAAAAAATGTCTTTCCAGAAAGTTAAATTTCTAAGTGGATGTGAAACTGAACCCAACCACAGTGCAATAAACAACTCAGAATCCCTTGCAGTTGAACTGAACACCTTCTTTGCCCGCTTTGACAACAGGACTTCTCTGCAGTGGGTGAGGAATGGCTGAGAAATCTCCCTCCACCAGACCCTGCAGAGCCAGACCCTTTTTCAGAGGAGGGCATAAGGAAACAACTAAGATGATTCAAGCAAGGAAAAACCCCAGGGCCTGACGGCATCCCAGCTAGGGTGCTGAAGTGCTGTGCCCTGGAGCTTGACGCAATTTTCCACTCACTCTTCTGTGAATCTTACTGCACAGCCACAATACCCACCCTCTAGAAAACTGCCACCATCATCCCAGTACCCACAAAACCCCGGCCTAAAAAACTCATCATTGCTTCTCCGACACCACAGCACCCCATTACTATCAATAACCCAACAGTTGAAATGGTTGACAGTTTTAAATACCTTGGAGTAACTCTGGACTATAAACTTAGTTTCAACCAACACACCACTGACATCTTCAAAAGGAGCCAGAAAAGACTATCTGTCATCCGTAAACTCAAAGGACTTTATGTTTCCCCCCATCTTCTCCTACTACTGTATCAAGGTATCATCCAGCCCATCCTCATTCAGCTCCTCCTGTTTCTACAACTTGCTAAATGTCACCAACCGGACAAAATTCATAAGCATCGCCAACACAGCAGCCAAGATAATCGGACTACCCACACCCAGGACCATCTCACGTATTGCAACCACAATAGAATTGGACATTACACACCCACTCAACCAATATCTCACCCCACTGCCTTCTGAGGTGCAAGAAAGTTTGCTACGGAAAAAGCCTGATCCCTGCAGCTATTGCTGCTCTAAACAAAGGGGCGCGCTGAATGTGTAACCTGTCATGTATTGTTTGTTTGTTTCTTTGTGGATTTGTTAATTGTAGATGGTGTGTTTCTTTGTTGAGTGTATGGTGTTGGTATAGTGCAGTGATGTGGACATGAATTTCCCCCTTGGAGGACAATAAATTGAACTGATTGGTGTAGATGTTTCTGTTTAAATGTGTAAAACCGTTAAAACCGTCAATGTGATGGTGTTACATGTACATGAATGGTTTCAATGTCTGCTGATTGTTCTGTTTCTACCTGCACAGATGGAAGTGAGCTAATATCATCTCGTCTCATTAATAATAAAAATAATAATTAAACAGGTAATTAAAGATTAGAGTAAACTTGTTTGACCCTGGTTTTACTTTTATCTAAGTACATTTTTACTTGTATTTTTACAAGAGTATCTGAGTACATTCCTGGATGATGCTGTGATGATGCTGTGATGATGCTGTGATAATGGAGAACGTCCAGCAGAGGGAGGCAGAGCTCTGATGCTCCAGCTCTGTCTCACTGAAGGATGCTGGGAGGAGGAGGAGGATGACGCCAGCAGAGGCTGCAGAGATGCTAACAGCATCGACACACAAACACACACAAACAGGAGCTAACTGCTAATACAGACAGACAGGCAGACAGGCAGACAGGCAGACAGACAGTCAGTCAGACAGAGAGCAAGACAGACAGGTGGAGAAAGGCTGATGCTGACAGCAGCACTCAAACACACACACACACACACACACAGTGAGCTGCAGTGAAGCTAGCTGTTAGCATGCTCAGGATAGGAGGCTAACCTGCTGACACAAACGCACACACACACACACACACAGTGATGCAGTGTCTGAGGCTTCCTATTGGACGGTGAGTGATCTTCATCGTTTCGTGTGTGTTCAGGCCTGTTTAGTTAGGCCTGAACTGTGTGTGTGTGTGTGTGTGTGTGTGTGTGTGTGTTGCTATGGAAACAGTCATGTTTTGCTGCTCTGTGTCATTCACCTGTCCATCAAACACGTGATCAGTTTCAGGTGAATCAGCAAGTAAAAGTACTGATACTACTACTACTACTACTACTACTACTACTACTACTGATACTACTACTTCTATTGTTATTACTACTACTACTACTACTACTACTACTACTAATACTGTTCCATTCAATTCAATTTTATATGTTTAACGCAATTAATAACCAAAATTATCTCAGGACAGGCAAATAGAGTAGGTACTAGACTAGACCATGGCCCTTATAAAATAATTTACAGAGAACCAACAGTTCCCTCCATGAGCAAGCACTCATAAAAAACATCCTTTTATGAGGCAGAAACATAGGATAGACCCCAGCTCTGGGTTGGCTGCCGTCTGCCTCGACCAGTTGGGGTTAGAGAGAGAGAGGGTTCATAGTTCCTGTCAGTATTCGTGCTGCAGCATTCTGAATTAATTGGAGCGTCTTAATGGACTTATTGGGGCCGCATGATAATAAGGAATTGCTAGTAATCCAGCCTAGTAGTAACAAATGCATGGATTAGTTTTTCTGCTCATGGTGGGAACGGTTGAGTCTCTGTAAATAATTCTATAAAGTGTTCGGTCTAGACCTGCTCTATTTGAAAAGTGTCCTGAGATAACTTCTGTTATGAATTGGCGCTATACAAATAAAATTGATTTGAATTGGATCTGTCTGTCAAAGGTAACAGTGGTGCTGGAGGCAAGGTAATACCATCTAGAATAACTATATCTTTAGACAGTGAGTTTCAGAGGTGTTCGGGGCCAAGTACAAGAACTTCAGTTTTGTCTGAGTTTAACGATAGATTGATTGATAGATATAACTGGGTATCATCTGCATAACAGTGAAAGTTAATGGAGTGATTCCTAATAATGTTGCCTAAGGGAAGCATATATAAAGTGAATAGAACTAGTCCAAGCACAGAACCTTGTGGAACTCCATTTATGGAAGATTCATCGTTAACATGTACAAACTGAGAACGATCTGATAAGTATGACCTAAACCAGGTCTAATAATACAAGTACATTGTCGGAAGCAATTAAAAGGTTATTAACTTTAACCAGTGCTGTCTCTGTGCTGTGATGAATTCTAAATCCTGACTGAAAATCCTCAAATAAGATGTTGCTATGTAGAAAGTCACACAACTGTTTGGCTACTACTAATACTGTGTCACGACTGAATTATGGACCAGAACCCATATGCACAACTCTCAGATGAAAGTTTCAAAATAAGGTTTTTATTAACTAAACAAAAATCACGTGAGGTAATACTAAGACTAAGGAAACAAACAGAAAATCGATCTTTACGAGGTAAAGCTAAGACTAAGAAAACAAACAGAAAATCACAAACAAAGTAACAAGACCTGACAATGGCAGTGGTATAGATAATTGTGGTTCTCTGACACATGGGACAAGACGAACTGGCACAGGACAAAGGGAGACACGGACTATATATACACACAAGGTAAGGGCAAAGGTGGAAACAATCAGGGCGGAGACAGGTAATCCCAAGAGCGTGAAAACAGACAAAAGGGAGAAAGTAAAACTGGTGACAAGAGACAGACAGGAAGTGGAACCAAAATAAAACAAGAAATCACAAGACAACATAGACACGAGACAAAAGTGAATGAATTAACTTAAAGTTTCCTGGACATGACATACTGATACTTCTATTGATACTACTGATACTTCTACTGATACTACTACTGATACTTTTACTGATACTACTACTCTTATTGCTATTGAATGGTGTTTATTATTATTATTTGTTCATGTCATGGTAACTTTTATGTCTCTAAAATTCAACTTGGATCATTTTTATTAGATTTGGTTCCCTCATCAATGATATTGATTGATAAATACTGTGTGTACCTGACAGGTCCAGATGTAGTCAGACTTTAGATTGACGGACAGCTCGTTGGGGGGGCAGAGCCTGCAGGTGGTGGTGATGTCAAAGCGAGGAGCTGGGGGGCGGGGAAAGGGGGAGCGACCTGACGCCATGGCAACTCTTCAAGCAGCCAATGAGGAGCTAAGAGCCAAACTGACAGACATCCAGATAGAACTACAACAAGAGAAGAACAAGGTAAGGACTACAAAACTGTTACTGCTACTGTAGTTCTAGTACTACTGATGTAAAAGTACTGAATGGTACTGTGGTGGCAATTAGTTTAATAAAACATACAAAGTGTGATCTTGTCTTTCTGTAAGGTTTTATTCAAGTCATGCATGAATGGTCTCAACGCAACCGTCACACACTCTCGTATGTGAAAGTCCGAAGAGCCCCGATTGGCAGAAATTGAGCATAGCGTTAGTTCAGGCAGGGCACGAAGTCAGGCTTAGCTTTCAGTTACAGCTATATCATACGAGCACAGCTAGTCATAAACATACATCAGCTGATTCCTCTAAGCTTCCCATTGGATACCATACACAGTCAGCTGACAGCTCACCTGATTTCCTCAAGCATCCAATTGGCAAACATCATGCATGGCGCCTTATTTAAGCTGCTTTAGCCTGCCTGCCTATCTCTGCTGCTCCCTCTACAAGCCTTTTGCACCCACCTCCACCCCAGCTCCTCCTTTTTATGTTGTTTCTAATTAATCAGTGTCATTTTATGATTGCCATTGATGCTTGCTCTGTTCTCTACCCTGGGTCTCTGCTGCCGCTCTCCTTGTCTTAAACTTTTCCATGTATGCACATGGAAGGGCAGGGAGGTGTGCTCTCCCTGCCTTAAGGTTTTCCACGTAGGCACGCGGAAGGACAAGGAGGTCCCAGAACAGAGCCATACCGCCAAATGTAATTCTGCTTGGAATATAAGATATTTTGACGAAAGTGGTCCTGACTGAAGTAGTATGGTTTTATCCCTGTTGGAGCACACAGTTACACATTCCTGAGTTGTGGGACAGTAAACAGACAGTGTGGTGAGATGATCATGTCCTTGGCTTCTTAGTGAAGTCTCAACATCACGCTGTTTACTTGGACATAGAGTGTAGTTAGAAACAGGGCTAAAGGTTATATGCATATAATAGCCTCTCTAACAGTTGCGTATCGTTTTACAATGACCAGGTCAAAGGGTTGTATAGGTACTTAACAATTGCCATTACAGTACTACTATAGTAGTTCTACTACTACTGATGTAAAAGTACTGAATGGTACTACTGTAGTTCTACTACTACTGATGTAAAAGTACTGAATAGTACTACTATAGTAGTTCTACTCCTACTGATGTAAAAGTACTGAATGGTACTACTGCATGTCCTCAGGTCAGTCGTCTGGAGAGAGAGAAGAGTCAGGAACTGAAGGCGGAGCATCACCGGGCGACAGTCACCCTGACGGAGCTAAAGACCAAACTCCACGAGGAGAAGCAGAAGGAGCTAGCGATTACCAGGGAGACATTGCTACGACAACACGAGATGGAGCTGATGAGAGTCATCAAGATCAAAGATGGAGAGATTCAACGTCTGAACGGACTGGTGCTAACGCTGAGGGACGGATCCATGGACAAGGTGATCCGCACCTGTCTGTCTGCATATTTATTCTTGTACAATCTCTGGCAAGGTCCTGCTGAAGCTGCGTGGAACAGTTGCAGTCAGGTGATGGTGACATTGCCTTTAGTCGACTTCCCACCATTGTGAACCAGAAATGTTGAGTATACAGTTTTCTGTTAGCATCTGTCAGTCTGTAAATGCTGGGGACCCATGCTATACATTTTTAACTCACATATGTTGGACAATTAGTATTTAGCAAATCATTCCACTGGGAGTTGAAATTATTGCCACTTCTGGTTTTCAGTTAAAATACAATACTGAGGTCTCCCTGGCTGCTGCTTCAGACTGAATATCACAAACTGAGTGACAGGAACTTCCCTGGAGTCCGACACCCATTGACACGGTCTAACTTCCGGCTGACAATACAAATGCAGGATGAACAGATGTGAAGGGTTGTCTGGCTCTCTGTCCTCTCATTCCTCAGGTAAGGAGCGCCCTGCTGGCAGAGGTGGAGGAAACGAGACGGAGCTGGGAGGTGGAGCGTTGTCGCCTGCAGCAGGAAATTCAGGAGCTGAGAGGAGCCAAGAGGAGCGCTGAGGATGCTCTGACATCGGCTCAGCAGGCCTGCCAGGCCCGAGCCGCTGAACTGAGATCAGCTCATCACCAACACCAGGAGGAGCTGAACCGGACCAAGAGAGACTGTGAGAGGGAGATCCGGAGACTGGTACGAGTCGACACCACTGTAGACGCACACTACTGTAAATACACACACTACTGTAAACATACACACTACTATAAACACACACACCACTGTAAACACACACACTACTGTAAACACACACACTACTGAAAACACACACACTACGGTAAATACACACTACTGTAAACACACACAACTGTAAACACACACACACTGTAAATACACACACTGTAAACACACACTACTGTAAATACACACTGCTGTAAACACACACACACTGTAAATACACACTACTGTAAACACACACTACTGTAAAAACACACACAACTGTAAATACACACACTACTGTAAATACAAACCCACTGTAAATACACACACTACTTTAAATACACACTACTGTAAATACAAACCCACTGTAAATACACACTACTGTAAATACACACACTACTTTAAATACATACTACTGTAAATACAAACCCACTGTAAATACACACTACTGTAAATACACACACTACTTTAAAGACACACTACTGTAAATACACGCACTGTAAACACAAACACTACTGTAAATACACACACTACTGTAAATACACACTACTGTAAATACACGCACTGTAAACACACACAACTGTAAATACACACACTACTGTAAATACACACTACTGTAAATACACACACACTGTAAATACACGCTACTGTAAATAAACACACTGTAAATACACACATTACTGTAAATACACACAACAGTTAATACACACACACTGTAAATACACACAACTGTAAATACACCCACTACTGTAAATACACACAACTGTAAATATACCCACTACTGTAAATACACACCCACTGTAAATACACACAACTGTAAACACACACACGTAAATACACACTACTGTAAACACACACAACTGTAAACACACACACGTAAATACACACTACTGTAAACACACACACACACACTGTAAATACACACTACTGTAAACACACACACACTACTGTAAATACACACACAACTGTAAATACACACACTACTGTAAATACAAACCCACTGTAAATACACACTACTGTAAATACACACTACTTTAAATATACACTACTGTAAATACACACACTACTTTAAATATACACTACTGTAAATACACACACTGTAAATACACACCCACTGTAAACACAAACACTACTGTAAATACACGCACTACTGTAAATACACACAACTGTAAATACACACACTACTGTAAATACACACTACTGTAAATACACACACACTGTAAATACACACTACTGTAAATAAACACACTGTAAATACACCCACTACTGTAAATACACACTACTGTAAATACACACAACTGTAAATTTACCCACTACTGTAAATACACACCCACTGTAAATACACACAACTGTAAACACACACAATACTGTAAATGCACACACACTGTAAATACACACAACTGTAAATACACACACACTGTAAATACACACACTACTGTAAATACACACACTATTGTAAATACAGACAACTGTAAATACACATTACTGTAAATACACACACTACTGTAAATACACACACACTGTAAATACACACTACTGTAAATACACACTACTGTAAGTACACACACAACTGTAAATACACACACACACTGTAAATACAGACAACTGTAAATACACACTACTGTAAATACAGACAACTGTAAATACACATTACTGTAAATACAAACACTACTGTAAATACACACAACTGTTAATACACACAACTGTAAATACACCCACTACTGTAAATACACACTACTGTAAATCTACCCACTACTGTAAATACACACAACTGTTAATACACACTACTGTAAATACACACAACTGTTAATACACACACACTGTAAATACACACACTACTGTAAATACACACTACTGTAAGTACACACACAACTGTAAATACACACACACTGTAAATACAGACAACTGTAAATACACACTACTGTAAATGCACACACACTGTAAATACAGACAACTGTAAATACACATTACTGTAAATACACACACTACTGTAAATGCACACACACTGTAAATATACGCACTACTGTAAATACACACTACTGTAAGTACACACATTACTGTAAATACACACCCACTGTAAATACACACACAACTGTAAATACACACACTACTGTAAATACATACACTACTGTTAATACACACATTACTGTAAATACACACCCACTATAAATGCACACTACTGTAATCAGAATCAGAATCAGACATACTTTAATAATCCCGTGGGGAAATTACTTGGGGGGGGGAGAAAAACAAGAGGAGAGGGGAGGAGAAAAAAAGCAGCTCCCAGACTCTGCTCCTGTAGGGGAGTACAGTGTGGGACTGGGAAAAAACCTCAGCAACATAAGCACATATGAGCACACTTTACAACATAAAAACTCAAAACAACTTGCAACGCAGACAGGCAGCCGCGGCGCAGCCAGCATCGGCGCAGCCAGCATCGGCGCAGCCAGCGGGACCCCGCTTGTCGCACTGAGGGTAAAAAGCGGCGAAGGCAGGGGTGGGGGTGGGTAGAGGGGTGTGTTGCATATGCGCATGTGTAAGTGTCCATGGGTGCGTGTGTGCACATAAGCCTGGAGAGTCGCTTCGTCTAGCCTCTCAATCAGTATCTCAGTTCACATGGTGTCATCGCGATAACACAGCAGGTTGCCATGGAGACGTCCGTGATCAGGTCCTAAACAGAGTCAACTATCAACAGGTGTCCGTGTGGGAAGGGAGGGATAGGGCTGGCTGCACAAGTCTAATTTAAGGCTCTCACAAATAAATAGTATGGGTATATTATACATTTTCTGAATCATCAGAGTGCCTTGAGTATTGAAGTTGTTGAGTTTGGTGTCCCTGGTGTTCTTTCATGCCCCAGGGATAAAAGAAAGCATACAGTTTAGGCGGAAATTGTGAGAAAATGTGTATTATTTCTGGTTTAAAGAAGTCATGTGACCTCTGTGTTTGTCAGACAGATTCAGTACTGGGCTTAAATGAAAGCCTAAAAGGTCCTCTTTCCAACGATACCAAGCACCATATTATAGAATATTGACAATATCCCTACCATGAGCCTAAACCAGATATACACCAGATTTCAAAAACGGAATTTATCTTAGGGGGTTAGTAACTTCATGAGCAGAAAAAAGTGATTTCGCTACCACCCCTGCACTGCTATCGTGATTTTTCTAGTACTAGGGGTGTATACCTTGCCAAAAATCACTACGAGACTTTGTCCCCCCAGATGATACCGATGGCCCAAATTTGGGGCCCTGGCTCATGGACTACTAATCCAATCAGCAGATAGCCTGTTATCATGGTTCCGAATATGTAGAGATCCTCGATGTCCTCTACGAAAACAATCGACAGGCACACGACCCTCCACTTCTTCCAGGAGTCCATCGTGTAACCAGCGGCAAACGTTCCTTCAGGGCAGGCTGGTTCCCCCGAACCCGAGCTTCTCGTCGAGAAAATTCTGTCAATTGCGTTGAGAGACCAGTTGACTAATTCCATGATTTAAATGTGGAGAGCAATGCGGGGAGAGGCTCCTAAAAGTTAGAGACAAGACAGTACGAAACTTGAGAAGCAAAGCAGGAAAGATAAGGGAGACGGGAGGGAGAGAGAGAGATGCGTCCGCCTTCGTTGAGAGCAAGAAGGAAAAGGTTAGAGCAAGAAGGAAAAGGATAATACACACTAGTGTAAATACACGCACTGTAAACACAAACACTACTGTAAATACACACACTGTAAATACACACAACTGTAAATACACACACTACTTTAAATATACACTACTGTAAATACACACTACTGTAAATACACACTACTGTAAATACACACAACTGTAAATATACCCACTACTGTAAATACACACCCACTGTAAATACACACGCACTGTAAAAACAAGCACTACTGTAAATACAGACACTGTAAATACACACACACACACACACACACTGTAAATAAACACACTGTAAATACACACACTACTGTAAATACACACAACTGTAAATACACACACACTGTAAATACACACAACTGTAAATACACCCACTACTGTAAATACACACACACTGTAAATACACACAACTGTAAATACACCCACTACTGTAAATACACACAAACTGTAAATACACGCAACTGTAAATATACCCACTACTGTAAATACACACCCACTGTAAATACACACTACTGTAAATACATACACACTGTAAATACACACACTGTAAATACACACACACTGTACACACACACTACTGTAAATACACACGCTGTAAATACACACTACTGTAAATACACACACACTGTAAATACACACACACACACACACACACACACACACTGTAAATACACACACTACTGTAAATACACACACAACTGTAAATACACACACACACACTGTATATACACACACTACTGTAAATACACACACACTGTAAATACACACTACTGTAAATACACACACACACACACACACTGTTAATACACACACACTATACACACATACTCACACACTGTAAACACAAACTACTGTAAATACACTAAATGTCTGTTTTTCCTAATTTAATATATTGTACATTATTATATTATTAATATAATATAATGGGACTGTATTAATTAATTCTTCTAATAGTGTTCACACCAAATGCAAACCTAATTTTCGCCTATTTGTCCTTCAATCGATCTCACTGCGGCAGTATGAGCCCAAAATAAACACAGTTAATGTCAATTCAATTAAATTAATTTCAGTTTTATTTGTATAGCATCAATTCATAACGTTATATCAGACCATGAGAAAGCACTTGGTGACGGCGGCAAGGAAAAACTTAATTTTAAGAGGCAGAAAGGGATCAAAAAGAAGGAATAACTCAATCATACATTCATACATCGTCGTCTGTCTCCAAGACGATGAGCAAACAACTTTTAAAATGCTCATTTTCTGAATGCGGTGTGACTCTGGCTGTTCCTCTAGAACTCAGAAATCCTGCAGTTGCTTGTGAGCAGCAGCAGCTCTGTCTCTTCCTCCTCTTCCTCACAGATTGCAAACACCCCAACATACGACACAGTGACACCTCAAAGGGAAATGTTTATGTATATTTACCCAAATTGTGTCTCTCTTGTCTTTACATTTATTTTGTATGTAATCTCACTGTGTGTAAACATGATGATGAAGATGATGGTGATGGTGATGATGATGATGATGGTGATGGTGATGATGGTGATGATGATGATGATGATGGTGATGATGATGGTTGTGATGATGGTTGTGATGATGTTGGTGGTGGTGGTGATGATGGTGGTGATGATGATGATGATGATGATGGTGATGATGATGGTGGTGATGGTGATGATGATGATGGTGATGGTGATGATGATGATGATGATGATGAAGATGATGATGGTGATGATAATGATGATGGTGATGATAATGATGATGGTGATGATGATTGTGATGATGGTGGTGGTGATGATGATGGTGATGGTGATGGTGATGATGATGATGGTGATGGTGATGATGATGGTGATGACGATGATTGTGATGATGATTGTGGTGATGATGATGATGGTGATGATGGTGATGATGATGATTGTAATGATGAAGATGATGATGGTGATGATGATGAAGATGATGATGGTGATGATGATGATGATGATGATGGTGATGATGATTGTGATGATGATGATGTTGGTGATTATTATGATGATGATGGTGAGGATAATGATGATGGTGGTTATGATGATGATGGTGATGATTGTAATGATGATGATGGTGATGATGGTGATGGTGATGATGATGATGAAGATGATGATGATGACGGTGATGATGATTGTGATGATGATGATGTTGGTGATTATTATGATGATGATGGTGAGGATGATGATGATGGTGATGATTGTGATGATGATGATGGTGATGATGGTGATGGTGATGATGATGATGAAGATGATGATGGTGATGATGATGATGATGATGATGATGATGATGGTGATGATGATTGTGATGATGATGATGTTGGTGATTATTATGATGATGATGGTGAGGATGATGATGATGTTGGTCATGATGGTGATGATTGTGATGATGGTGGTGATGATGATGGTGGTGATGATGGTGATGATGATGGTGATGATTGTGATGATGTTGGTGGTGATGATGATGGTAGTGATGGTGATGATGGTGATGATGATGATGATGATGATGATGGTGATGATGATGATGATGGTGATGATGATGATTGTGATGATGGTGGTAGTGATGATGATGGTGATGATTGTGATGATTGTGGTGATGATGGTGATGATGATGATTGTGATGATGATGGTGATGATTATGATGGTGATGATGGTGATGATGATGATGATGGTGATGATGATTTTGATGATGATCATGATGATGTTGGTGATGATTATGATGATGATGGTGGTGATGATGATGTTGATGATGATGATGATGATGATGATGATGATGATGATGTAACCTGGAATGTCATTGGACAAGGGCAGGGCAGTAAAATTACGTAAGGACAGCGGTGTCATGATTTCAGGCTTTCTTTGGTGATTTCCTGTTTTATTTTGTAGTCTTCCTCCTCTTGTCTCTTGTTTTTCTTCACTTCCTGTCTTTGTCTTTTTTCCCTCCAGTTTTGATTGTTATCCTAGTCCTCACCTGAATTTAGTCTTTGTGTTTCTTTGTTCCATTTGTGAGTTTGTCCTTGTTCACGTTTAGCTTTCTGTCTGCTCCCTCGTGTTTATCCTTTATTGTTTGGATAATTTTCAGTTTATAGGATTCTGATTTATTTGGATTTGTTGAATTATGTAGCCTGCTCCTTTTGACTTCACTGTTTTGGACATTTATCTTAAGGACTTGTAAGTTTAGTTATGAAACTGCTGCTGCTCTACCAGTCTGCATTTGGCTTCCATTTCTCATGTACTCCTTAACATTACTGGTAGATGGAATTACCGTCCAAGGTTAAAATATTTTAACTCTTTGCCGTCCTCCACGAGGGAACTGTATGTTACATAGCTCCTTCACACAATGAGAAAACATTCATCATCTGGACACTAATAAATTACATTAAAAAAAGAATGGTTATTAAATAATTGTATTCAATATGTTTTTATTTGCTTTGTCATCCTGCCATTCTGTCAAACTGTTGATTTTTCCCGTGTTCTGAGGAAGGGACTGTCCATCTATCGTCTACCTGAATCCATGAGTGCAGCATTAGATGGGCAGAGGGCTTGTGATAAACACTGAGGCATTACATCTGAATTATTTTCACTGTTTAGGTTTATGTTTGGAGTAGTTAAAGGGGGAAGAATGTCAGTAAATTAACACAGAAAGAGGATTTTCAACAAATTGTTCCACGGATGAATGAATACATTATTATAAACATGAACTCACACTGACAGAGCTACACAGACTAGGACAATACAGAGCATCAGACACAGAGTCAGATACAGAGTGGTACGACACAAACAGACTCAACAGTGTCTCACTTCACTGCAACTGAATGTGACAATAGAAACCAGAACCTACAGTAATCTGTGGGTCAACAGTTAATGAAATTATAAAAGATAATAGACATGAAACAATATACTGAAACAAAGTCTGATTTAAAACACTTTCTAAAATAATTTTATTTAAAACTTGATCAGCTGAACTAAGTCAACTGTAATCAAAACGTTTCATCAGTGCACACTTCCAGTAATTTGGGGAAGACACAGTGAAGAAGGAATGTATGAAAGGGGCGGGGCTTATGAAGGGTCAGAGGTGCAAATGACATCCTGCACCTAATTATATTGTAACTAATCATTCTAATCGTTTCTACTCTACATTCAGACTCTCAATATAAAGAGTATCAGAGAACCACGGTTACAACCTTCATCCCATTATTCCAGGTGTTCCAGGTGTTCAAGGTACAGAGAATGCTGAGTACTGATCTGATTGTGATGTCACTCAGGTGGTTCACCTGCAAACCAACTGAATGTTAAACACAGAAATATCATGAGACAGAAAGACTGCGCTGCAGACTGACTCTTCTAACTGCACCCGTTACCTGTCTGCCTGACTAACCCTATCCCAACTATCCAGTCTGTCTCTCCACCTGTCTGCCTGACTTACCCCATCCTGACTAACAAGTCTGTTTCTCCACCTGTCTGTCTCTAACCTGACTACCTGTCTGTGTCTACCTGTCTGTATGTCTACCTGTCTACCTGTGTGCAGATGGATGAGATAAAGCTGAAGGACAGAGCTGTCAGTGTATTGGATAAAGCCCTTGGGCTGCAGGCTGGACACGCCCACCGCCTCCAGCTGCAGACTCAGGCTGCCGAGCAGCAAATCGCAGCCCTGAGAGACGCACAGAGGGCGGGGCTAAATCACCCTGGTCAAGCCCCTAACTCCGCCCCTAACACGCCTCCTCACATTGTAAGCCCCGCCTCTTCCTGCTTGCACTGCATGAAATAAATTCACTTCATGTCACTGTTTAACCACATATTAACTTTTTGTGGTGAACTTTGACCTCTTTGACGTCAAACTTCAGGCTCCGCCTCCTTCAGACTCATCATGACATCATTACACGTGACCACCACTATCCAAACAATTACATTCTGGAGATTTCCCAAGAAGAACTGAACTAATATACTTGTTATCTTACGGCATAACAATGAGACTGACTGCACTCCTCTTTACAACACTAGAGTGCACTGAAAGCCCAGACCTGAATCCCATCACTTACTGTTTAAGTATCCCTACACCTTGCCCAGTACAAATAGTACCATTGCTAGGTACAAAAGAGCTGAACCCCATCACACATAGGACGTTGTAGTGACAATCATAATTACTGATTTTCTGGGTATCAGGGCTCCTGTTAGTTGGGGGGAGGGGGGGTATATCAGGCAGACAGTGAACAGAGTTGATGTGTTAGAAGCAGGAAAAATGGGCAGCATGAGGATCTGAGCCACATTGACAAGAACCACATTGTGATGGACGACTGGGTCAGAACATCTCCAAACCCACAGCTCTTGTGGGGTATTCTTGGTCTGCAGAGGTCAGTACCTATCAAAGTGGTCCAAGGAAGGAACCAGAGAACCAGAGACAGGGTCATCGGTGGAACACATGGCACCAGGATGACACTGAGCACCTACCTAAGCACTGTTGCAGACTATGTCCACTCTTTCATGGAAACGGCATTTCCTGATGGCCTCTTTCAGCAGGATAATGTGCCACAAAGCAGTTTGAGGAACACAACAACGAGTTCAAGGTGTTGACTTGGCCTCCAAATTCCCCAGATCTCACTTCAATCGAGCATCTGTGGAGCAAACGAGTCCGGTCCATGGAGGACCCACTTCACAACGTACAGAACTTAAAGGATCTGCTGCTAACATGTTGGTGCCAGATACCACAGCACACCTTCAGAGGTCCAGTGGAGTCCTTGATGGGTCAGGACTGCTTTGCACAGGGGGGAGGGAGAGGGAAAGACAAGCTCAGTGCATAATGGGAGGTCCCCCAGCAGTCTAGGCCTATAGGGATGGTTTAGGACTCACCTGAGCCACTAATCTATTAAACTAAACAAAACTGTGGCTTAATAGCAGAGGGGTGCAGTTTATTTGAGGTGTTTATCAGTAAAGCAGCATTCTACCCCATGAGGAAGAGTCTCTCCACAACCGGTTCCTCCTCCTCATCAGCAGGATGAAGAGCCTTAGCGGACGACCCGCTCTGCCTCTGAGCCACAGCCGCAAGAGACACTCAGGAGATTTCCGAGCAAACGAGAATGAAAAAGACATGTTTCATTTGTTTACATCGGCAGAAATTAGACTTAGAGTTAGAATTAGACTTCTCTAAGTCTAATTAGAGAACCTCTGTAACAATATGTTTGTTAATAACAATGAAAGGTTTCCTTTAGAATCAGCTGTATCCTCAAACATGAACAGCTGCAGTAACTAGTGTGGATGGATATAAACTGACATAGTCATCCAATAATAACTGTCCTACTAATGACAGTCTATAATCTACCTCAATGAACATCAAACCCTGCATAATGGTCCGCAGTAAACCTGTAGCCGACAATTAACAAGGTTATTAAAGGGTTATTAGCTACTGAGGCGCTTTCACTCTTCATTTGCAGAATAACAATTTATCTCTTCCTCCAAAGTCCAATGTCCGTTTCCATAGAAACCCAAAAGCACAGATTGCAGCGTGACGAGCAAACAAAGCACCACCACATTCAAAAGAAAAGTTTGCCCAATAACTTCCTGAGCCTTCAAAAGAGACACAGCACCACCCAGTGTACACGCAGTGAATTACAGTTGTATTTTGCCTATCACCAACATATGTGGCTCTCACAGATCTTCCTCTCAGGTAAATGTGAGCCAGCAGACGGCGGCGGCGTTACTTATATTTATAGTCAGAACCAAGTTACAAAGCTAGTAGCACGCTATACATGTTACCTACCAGTCCAGGTGACTCACCTGTCGGGTGATAAAGTTTAATGTGGTGACACAAATCTGCTCGCCATCTTTGATGTTCTCCCACTGTTTGTTTGTGTGTGTGTGTGTGTGTGTGTGTGTGTGTGTGTGTGTGTGTGTGTGTGTGTGTGCAGTCTCAGGAGGATCGGGACACTCGGAGGTTTCAGTTAAAAATCGCTGAGCTCAGCGCCGTTGTCAGGAAGCTGGAGGATCGAAACGCACTTCTGTCTGAAGAACGCAACGAACTGGTAACACACACACACACACACACACACTTTACACACAGTGTATACACTATACACACAGTATACACACTATACACACAGTATACACACAGTGTACACACTATACACACAGTGTACACAGCCTGCAATCCCAGTCCTTCATCTTATCCTCCCCCATCACCTCTCAGCCTCTGTCTCAGTTCTGCCCCGTGTCACCAGAGGAGCTGCCCAAAATCATGACAGGCATGAAAACCTCTACATGTGTCCTGGATCCCATCCCACCCCACCTCATCAAGGACTCTTTACCAGCCATCTCCACACTCATCACAGAAATCATCAACTCCTCCCTCAAGTCTGGCTCAGTCCCCCATTCACTCAAACTGGCTGCTGTCACCCCCATCCTCAAAAAACCTGGACTCAACCCTGACATCATGTCAAACTTTCGGCCCATCTCCAATCTTCCCTTTCTGTCCAAAATACTGGAACATATTGTCGCCACACAACTCAAAACACACCTCTGTTCAAATGAACTGTTCGAACCATTTCAATCCAGTTTCCGCTCCCAACACAGCACTGAAACAGCCCTCCTGAAAGTCACCAACGACATCCTACTCTCTGCTGACTCCGGCCACCTCACCATCCTCATCCTCCTGGACCTCACCGCAGCCTTTGACACCATCAACCACACCATTCTCCTCTCCCGCCTTGAGTCCTCTCTCAGCATCACTGGCACTGCACTCTCCTGGCTCAAATCTTACCTCACAGACCGACAACAATTCATCTATATCAACAACTGCACCTCCTCCACTGTTCCCCTGTCCCAAGGCGTCCCCCAGGGTTCGGTGCTTGGTCCTCTCCTCTTCATACTTTACGTGCTCCCCATTGGCAACATCATTCGCCACCATGGTCTCCACTTCCACTGTTATGCCGATGACGTCCAGCTTTATATCTCTACCAAATCCATCACCCCGGCCCTCCTCACTGTCTATGCTCCGACATAATTGGATCATAATTCTCAAACTCACTGTGATCAGATTATCATATCGATCCCAAACACAACAGTTTCACCATTGCAACCTGTCTCATCCCCAGTCAACCTGTCATTTGACAATACTCTCTTTGAACATCACATAACAATCAACTGCCTTGTTATCTCAGAACATTGCCCGTCTTCCATCACCTCCTTCTCATCCACGCCTTCATCACCTCCAGAATCGACTACTGCAACAGCATCCTCTATGGCACACTATCCAAAACTCTAAATAAGCTACAGTACATCCAAAACTCTGCTGCACGTATGCTCACCCACACCCGTTGTTGATGTGATCACGGGTGCTCCAGAACCTCCACTGGCTCCCAGTTCCACAGCGCATTCAGTTCAAAATCCTCCTCCTTACACACAAAGCCCTCCATATCCGGGCTCCTTCCTACCTCACTGACCTGCTCCATCGCCACAATCCATCCCGCAGCCTCCGCTCATCTGACGCAAACCTTCTGACTCTTCCACCCCGGACCAAGCACCGAACCTGGGGCGACAGAGCGTTCTCTGTAGCTGCCCCCTCCCTCTGGAACTCTCTCCCCAAACACATCCGTGACTGTACCGACCCTCCAACATTCAAATCACTGACAAAAACACACCTTTTTAAAATTGCTTTTTATGTTTAGCTTAGTCTGATGTGTTTTTAATGTTTTACTATTTGATGTTGTTTTGCTGCTTTTATGTTTTTATGTAAAGTGTCTTTGAGTATTTAGAAAAGCGCTTATAAATAAAATGTATTATTATTATTATTATAGACACACTATAGACACAGTATACATACTATATACACACTATACACACTATACACACACTATACACCCTATACACACAGTATCCACACTTTACACACTATACAGATGCAGAAAAACTAATCCATGCATTTGTTACTTCTAGGCTGGATTACTGCAACTCTTTGTTATCAGGTTGCCCCAATAAGTCCATTAAAACGCTCCAATTAATTCAAAACACTGCAGCACGAGTACTGACAGGAACTAGAAAAAGAGATTACATCTCTCCTGTACTAGCTTCTCTGCACTGGCTCCCTGTAAAATTTAGAACAGAATTTAAAATCCTCCTCCTCTCCTACAAATAGGGATGGGAATCACCGGTGCCCAGTGAATCAATTCCTTGGAACCGTTAGCGTGTTGCTTAACGATTCCGCTTATCGGTTCCACTCGTTACAAATGCATCATGACGTCACAGACGCGCTGCGTTGTTTTGGTTCAGAACGCAGCAAACATGGCGTCGAGGCAGAACCGCTCTAAAGTTTGGTTATATTTCACGTGAAAAGACGACAATACGGTCACTTGCAACACTTGTAAAGTTTCCATTTCGTCAAAGGGGGAACTACCTCCAATATGCAGAAACATTTGTCCACACAGCATCAATTCATTTGCAGGACTGTCGCGTGTTTGATACAGTACTACCTAGAGACACAAGTGAGTCAAGCCGCAGCGGAGCTAACGGGACCGAAGGTAACTTTAAATGACGTAATTTTTCTGCACAAAAATTATTATACTTATTGGCTAAAAATGTGTGTCAAATAAAGTAATTTCATTGGTTACATTTTCGTTGTGACCTATCAAAACATGGCTAATTTTAATATTCAAATGAGCCATGTGTTGATTCACCACAACACGCGCTCACCCAGTTGCTAAATTACCACTAGGCTGTCAATCAAGCTCTCAGTGACAGAGAACGTAAGGTTACCCTTTATCCATCCAGATAAAAACATTAAGAACAGTTTCTGTATGATGTTTATTAGACCTATGTAATCTGAATTGGAAGGGCACGTTGTCATGAGCTGTATCTTGTATATTTAATATTAGCTATGTGGTATGTGTATGCACCTTTATGTAATCTGGTGGAAAAACATTAAAATTTTAAAACCGGATCATACCAAACAAATATCTGCTTGCGTGTCCCCGTGTATGCAAAGTGTCCTCCTGTTTGATGTGAAGGAAATGGCCACCCTATTACAGTCTGTGTTTTTAGTTGTTATGGCACATAATGGCAGTTGGGCTTAAAAAGCCAAACATTCATTTTTTTGTCTGGACCAATTCATGTGAAAATTAACAATTTCTTAATCCTAAGGCACTCTTGATAATCTTTTGAGGCACACTCTAGCGTGCCATTGCATACTGGTTGAGAAACACTGCCCTAGGCTATGGGTCCCTGGACTTTACTTTGAGAAGTAGCTCACCTACTTTTAGGTTTGTTCTGAGGTTGCTACACATAATTTGTGTATACTCTGTGCTGTGTCTTCTGATCAGATATTACAGCGAGTTAATACAAACAAACAAATTTGTACTTATGCCCTCACCCAAGGAGAATCGATTAGAGAATCGATAAGGAATCCGATATATAAGCAATATCGATAATGGAATCGGAATCGTTAAATTCTTATCAATTCCCATCCCTACCTACAAAGCTCTTCATGGTCAGGCCCCTTCATATCTTAAGGAGCTCATAGTACCCTATTACCCCACTAGAACACTATGTTCTCTGAATGCTGGGCTACTTGTGGTTCCTATAGTCTCTAAAAGTAGAACAGGAGCCAGAGCCTTCAGTTACCAAGCTCCTCTCCTGTGGAACCAGCTTCCAGTTGTGGTTCTGGAGGCAGACACCCTCACCACATTCAAGAGTAGGCTTAAGACGTTCCTCTTTGATAAAGCTTATAGTTAGGGCTGGATCAGGTGAGTCCTGAACCATCCCTTAGTTATGCTGCTATAGGCCTAGACTATCAGGGAATTTCCCATGATGCACTGAGCTCCTCTCTTCCTTTCTGTTTTTGCACTCATTCATGTCCCATTAATGCATGTTTTTATTAACAGAAGCTCTTACAAGATGTTTATGGTGTATAGCAAGCATCTACAGTTTGTTACATTGAAAGTCATATTTTACAAAAGGAACATACACAAATGTATAACCTTACAGACACACCTTACAAGGATGATGATTTTTGATTTTTGAACATCAGAAGAGAAAACAAGGAAAAAGAAAGGGGCCCCAGAGTAAATCTGCAGAGGGCTCTCTGACCCCACCTCTTTTGGACATGTCTGAAACTGTATAATTTTTGGTGTGGCATATTTAAGTGGTTTTCTGACGTGTGCGACTGTGTGTTTGAACCTGTTCTGGAGATTGCATTATTTGGGGTTACTCCTTCGCTACTTAAACACAATGTTTCGGTACAGAGCACACTTATGTATGGTATGGTTATTGCAAAGAAACTGATTTTAAGACTCTGGAAGTCAGATACTGTGCCTCAGTTTAAGACTTGGTTGAGTGAGCTCACTGGTATTTTACATATAGAGAAAGTTCGATACGGTATGATGGACAATCTTAATACATTTTCAGATATATGGCAGCCACCCAACAACAAACTCATGGGGGGAGTGAAAATGTTTACAGTTTATGACGAAAAAGACACATTATATGTATCCTGTGTTTCCTGTATTTTGTGTACATTATATGTGTCCTGTGTTTACGACATGCAGCTGAAGCGTCTGAGGGAGGCAGAGAGTCAGTTTCTTCCTCTTCTGGACAAAAACAAACGTCTGAGCAGGAAGAATGAGGAGCTGGCGCTCGCGCTGCGTCGCCTCGACAACAAGCTGCGCTTTGTCACCCAGGAGAACCTGGAGATGGTAACTATGGTAACCCCTCACCCTGTACTCCTTTGCTCCAACAACACGGCTGTACAGTACTGGTCCTGTCCCAGTATAACGAGCAGTAAAGACTGGGACCAGAAATGAGTGTTAAAGATCATTTGATCAAATTATTCTCAGTAACACACAGTGCCCACGCTGTACATACTGTAAGTACAACCAGTTTAGTTACCATGGTAACCGCAGTGTTTGTTGTGGTCCACAGAGGAGACCAAGTTCTTTAAACGACCTGGACCGCAGCCACTCCACTAGTTACCATGGTTACAGCCAGGAGGAGAGAGAGATGGAGTTTCTACGGTTACAAGTTCTGGAGCAGCAACACATCATCGACGACCTGTCCAAGGTACTACTGCTACTAATACTAATATTAATACTAATACTACTGCTACTACTGCTACTACTATTACTACTACTACTGCTACTAATACTTATACTAATACTAATACTAAAAATACTACTACTACTACTACTACTACTAATACTAATACTACTGCTACTACTATTACTACTACTACTACTGCTACTGCTACTAATACTAATACTAAAAATACTACTGCTACTACTAATACTAATACTAAAACTAATACTACTACTGCTACTACTAATACTAAAACTACTACTACTACTACTGCTACTAATATTAATACCAATACTACTGCTACTACTATTCAGTTTCAATTCAATTCAATTTTATTTGTGTAGCGCCAATTCATAACAAGTTATCTCAGGACACTTTTCAAATAGAGTAGGTCTAGACCGAACTCTTTATAACATTATTTACAGAGACCCAACAGTACCACCATGAGTAAGACCTTGGAGACAGCGGCAAGGAACAACTTCCTTTAGGGCTGCTCGATTATGGAAAAAATCATAATCACGATTATTTGGGTCAAAATTGAAATCACGATTATTCAAACGATTATTTTTTTAAACTTCAGAAACATGCTGCATTTATTGGACATTTGTCAAAAACACTTTGCAAGGAAGTCCTCAGTTTCACTTTCCTTTCCCCATAAATATTTGTAAGTCTCCACGTTACCTGTTCAAACGAAAACAACGTGACAGGAGAAGACTGCAACTAGTGTCGCGACCACCGGCGCAAGTATAAATAGTTACGGCGCTCCTGTGACTTCACATTGTCGCGCGACAGGTCGGAAACGGCGAGTATACTGAGCGCATGATGTGCAGTGCTTGCTGCGGGGGAGGGACGGAAATACGCATGCGCGAAATACGCAGACTCTGGCTGTGTCCCAATTCAGGGGCTCGGCTTTTTTCTATACAACGTTGTACAACAGAAAATGGAAAAAAAAATCGCTTCCCTCCGATTTTATTAGTTTTGAGATTGTTTGGCCCCAAAATCGTAATCATTATCAAATTTCGATTAATTGAGCTGCCTTAACTCCCTTTTAAGAGGCAGAAACCTCGGACAGACCCCCCTCTACTCCTACTAGTACTACTGCTGCTGTTAATACTACTGCTACAATAACACACCATCGACGACCTGTCCAACATACTGACACTACTTCTATTGTACTAGAAAGTACTTTGTAGTACGGTGAATACTGCAGTAACGCATGTATTTCAAAAGAAACTGTGGTTTTTTTTCAGGCTTTGGAGACAGCTGGTTATGTAAAGAATGTTATAGTAAGTATTGAGTACTACTACTTCCCCTACTGTGAGTACTACTACAGCTGTAGTATGTTTACTATGTGATGAGGTGTTTAAAATGTGTTTTTTTGTAAAAATAATGTCAGAGAGTGGCTGATGAAAGACAGTGAACACAGTGATTGATCTGACTGTCTTTCTCTGTCTGTCTGTCTGTCTGTCTGTCCTCCAGGAGAGAGACATGTTACTGAGGTACAGACGTCAGGACTCAGTGAGGAGGAAACGAACCTTCAGAGCCTGCAGGGTGAGATATCAGACAACCCATGTGTTTCCTTTAAACCCAATTTATTGTCTTTTCACTTGTTCTGGTGAATCATCAGTTGACTGTTACTGATATTACTGCTACTACTACTACTACAAGTAGTATTATTATTACAGTTGGTACTCCCATTACTAATACTAACAGTTGAGAGCTCTGACAGTAAGTGAACCTTTGATTTGAGATTATTTACTGTGTGTGTGTGTGTGTGTGTGTGTGTGTGTGTGTGTGTGTGTGTAGGTCATTGAGACGTTTTATGGTTATGATGAAGAGGCGTCGGTGGACTCTGATGGATCGTCATTGTCCTTCCACACTGACAGAACTCCAGATACTGAACCAGAGGAGGTACACACTCTCTCCTCACACACTCACTCACACACACACACACACACACACACACACACACACACACACACACACACACACACACACACAGAGGTTTGGAAGTGGTCCATGGTCCTCAGTATCAGTGTCAAACAGTCCTCTTATCTGTTTGACACAAAACATAACCAGTGACGTCTTTTAACTTCGACCAGCACCAAACCTCTGTTTATTTACTGTGTTTAATTACACTATTTATTTAAACTATTTATTTACACTGTTTATTTAAACTATTTATTTACACTGTTTATTTAAACTAATTATTTACACTGTTTATTTACACTGTTTATTTAAACTATTTATTTACACTGTTTAATTTAAACTATTTATTTACACTATTTATTTACACAGTTTATTTACACTACTTATTAACACTGTTTATATATACAGTTTTTTACACTGTTTATTTAAACTGTTTATTTACAGTATGTATTTACACTGTTTATTTACACTGTTTATTTAAACTATTTATTTACACTATTTATTTACACTACTTATTAACACTGTTTATATATACAGTTTTTTACACTGTTTATTTAAACTATTTATTTACAGTATGTATTTACACTGCTTATTTACACTACTTATTTACACTGTTTGTTTATACTGTTTATACTACTTATTTACACTGGTTATACTGTTTATTTACACTACTTATTTACACTGTTTATTTGCAGTTTATTTAAACTATTTATTTACACTACTTATTTACACTGTTTATTTATACTGTTTATTTACACTACTTATTTACACAGTTTATTTACACTGTTTATTACATGTTTATTTGCACTGTTTATTTAAACTGTTTATTTACACTACTTATTTACACTGTTTATTACATGCTTATTTACACTGTTTTTTTACACTGTTTATTTATACTGTTTATTTACACTGTTTATTTGTAGTTTATTTACACTGTTTATAATTTTAATTTATACTTTTGATTTACACTGTTTATTTACAGACTATATACTGAACACTGTATTAATATATATACATATTCAATTCAATTCAATTCAATTTTATTTGTATAGCGCCAATTCATAACAGAAGTTATCTCAGGACACTTTTCAAATAGAGTAGGTCTAGACCGAACTCTTTATAACATATTAATATATGTATTAATGTATTAATATATATATACTATATACTGAACACTGTATTAATATATACAGAATATATATTGAACATTCTATTAATGTATATATACAGACTATATACTTAACACTGTATTAATATATACTCAGGGCTCCAGATTGTGACCAATTTGGTCGCACATGCGACCAAAATTTTTAAGAGTGCGACTAATAATTTTTCTAGGTCGCACTGACGCTGCCCGGGTGAAAACATAAATTTATTTTACAAGCGCATCATCTTTCTGTGTTGTCCTGTGACCGAACTCACACTCATGGTAGGATCATATCGTGTTCTAAACCAATAAGAGACAGAGCTCGGGCGGGTCTTTGCCTCTGATTGGCTGTGGTCCTGTTCACCGCACTAAGTTGTGTGTGTTAAAAATTGCGCGCGACCTGAGCGCGAGAGTAGCTGACTAACTGAAACGGAAAAATAAAATAAACGCGACAAAACGAGGGGAAATGAAGAGAGGCAGAAATATTGAAAGTTTTTTCATTAAGAAAACCAAGCCTACAACCAGCCCTACTACTATAATCCCATCCATCCCCACTACTGAGAGTCCATCCCGTCAAGACATGGAGCCCTCGGTCCCTGGTGAGATGCCAAGCCCCGGTCCTTCAGCATCAGACTTGGAACCAGAGGAGGAGACAACCGAGTCTGGGATAGAGCCCGGCTCCGAGACCCAAATTAAAAAGGTCAAAATGTAGTCCAATTTCCCTGACTGAGGTACAACAAAGGACGTAACGCAATGCACTGCGTGTACTATCAGGAGTGCGGTCAGAATATGGCCGGAAATAGTGCATTCGTGAGCGGGTCAACAACGTTTCATATCGAAACTGTAAAAAAACATAACATGTCTAAAAATACACGATATGCCGTGACAAGTGTGTAGAGAAAGTGGCCCCTCTCCCAGCTGCATTTCAGCGGCAGGTAGTAGTAATCATTATTATTATCATTAGTAATTATTTTACTTGAAATGTTTGAGTTTGAAATGTTCAATTTCAGTTCAGTGAAGCAATTTAAGCACAAGCACTTTTATTTGGAAATGTTTTAGTTTGTTTAGTGTTTTAGTTTGAAATGTTTAATTTCAGCTCAGTGAAGCACTTTAAACACTTTATTTTTCTTTTTATATATAATTGTGCTTCAAATAAAGACAAGCATTTCTCTACACCTTATTCTTGTTTAAAAATCATTCACATTATATGAAAGTTATGGAGAGCGATAAAAAGGTGACCTTATGGCGTTAAAGGCGACGCAATGGAAATTTTGGGTGCACCTACATTTTGTGCTGGTGCACCTAAAAAAAAAGTTAGGTGCACCAGTGCAACCAATGCAAAAAGTTCAGTCTGGAGCCCTGATACTGAACACTGTATTAATATATATATACTATATACTGAACACTATTAATATATACAAAATATATACTGAACATTGTTTTAATGTATATATACAGAATATATACTGAACATTGTATTAATATACACTGGGTATAAATACAGAGCACAAGTCATGATGAAAAACTCTTCCTGCACTTCTGAACACCCTTTTCATGTGAACATGCACAATCTAGTTGTTGACACCAACTCATCTAACATCTTAATCATTGTCATTTTACCGTTTAACACCAGTGTAGGCAATCAGATTTTGTCAACCTGGACTTTCCTTGATAACCGAGAGTTAATTCTGAGTAGGCTAAACTACCTTTGTGGCACAGCCAGGTCAGTCTTACCAGAGTGAACCCATACAGGTCAATAAATCCTGTAATGTTAGCAAAACTTGCTTGTTGCTAACTACTTATATATAGTCAAATCTTAAATTAGCTAATGTTATGAAAATGCTAACCAATTAGATAGGTAATCTACATTAATCATTAGCTGATGATTAACAGTCTCTGTGATGAGATGAATTGTTTCCTTTGCCGCCATCTGGACAGTCAGGGAGCTAGCACAGGTACCATTGTTGATGTAACACGTTGTGATTGGCTGTTTGCCAGACAGTGCACAGATGCTGTGTGTCCGATTGGTTTGTGTGTTTCAGGCGTGTGTGCGTGAGGAGGCGGAGATTCGTTACCGTCAGCTGACTCAGGAGTACCAGGCGCTACAGCGAGCGTACGCTCTGCTGGCAGAGACAAGCGGAGGAAACTATGACGCTGAGAAGGAAATCAAGGTGACCTGACCTCAAGCAAGGCAGCAACACAACACAGCTCTATTCCCTGTAATGAAGCAAGGCACCAACAGGTTGATGGTTCTACTCTGTGTTTCAGACCAGAGAGCAGCTGCTGACTGAAATCAGTCGATATGAAACTAGAGTTGCAGATCTGGAATCAGCGCTGAAACAACAAGGACTGGTAACTCACCCAGTTAACAAACAATGAATGAACAGTTAATAAAACGTTAATGAACAGTTAATGAACAATTAATTAACTGTTTAGGAACACTTCATAACCAGTTAACAGTTAAACAGTTAATGAACAGTTAATTTAGGAACACTTCATAACCAGTTAACAGTTAACAAACAGTTAATGAACAGATAATAAACAGTTAATGAACATATAATGAACAGTTAATGAACTGTTAATGAACTATTAATGAACAGTTAACAAACAATTTATTAACTGTTTAGGAACAGTTCATAACCAGTTAACAGTTAATGAACAGTTAATGGATAATTAATTAACAGTTAATGAACAGTTAACAATGAATGAACAGTTTATGAACAGTTAATGAACAACCAATGAACAGTTAATAAACAGTTAATGAACAATTAATGAACAGTTACTGAACACTTAATGAACAATTAATGAACAGTTAATGAACAGCTAACAATTAATGAACAGCTAACAATTAATGAACAGTTAACAATAAATGAACAGTTAATGAACAGTTAAGGCTTTCTTGCTGTTGCCAGTTGGGGATGCTATGATCAGAATCAGAATCGGGTTCATTGCTAAGTACGTTTTTACAAATACAATGAATTTGCCTCGGTGCATTGGTGCATAAAAATCACACAAAAATGAAGTACTGTTTGAAATATAAATAACTAAAGATAAATAGATAGATCATGACTAAATATGGACATGTAGATGTTTTCAGGGCAGGACTTACCAGGTATGTGAAGTTTGGGGCCAAATGGACAAAGTGCAGTCAAGATACAACTTCCTCTTTAAAGGCATACTATGCAGTTTTCCGGTTTTGTCAAACAGCTACCCCTAGAGTCGCTGCGGAGTACTTGTATTTAACGTTAACTGTCGTAAATACCACTCACCAGAGCCATCTCTATATACAGCTCTGCGTCTCTGCACTCACGGCCTGATCCCCTCCCCCCTGTATACCGATAGATAGATAGATAGATAGATAGATAGATAGATAGATAGATAGATAACTTTATTAATCCCACAATGGGGAAATTCACTTGTCACAGCAACATTTGAGTGAAATAAATACAGATATAAAAAACAGGAACATTTGCGTACAGCAGGTCCAAGGTCTTATTTTCTCTGGTGGTCGTTTAACAAAGTAGTAAGAAAGTAAAAAATAGCAAACAACACAGACTAAAAACACACTGAAAACACACATGTTCAGTAGGATGGAAGCTCGGACATCGAACAGGCAAAGATAGACTCCGAAGATGTCTACTGACCAGGTAACATCTGAATGAATGCCGTAAAGCAATTTGTGATTCCCGCGAGATTTGGCGGGGCACCACCTTTCAGACTTGCATTGTTGGTTCTGCCAGCGGCGTCCCTCTCCTGCTTTGCTATCGGGATGATTCGCTATACTACGAGTCATCGAAATGACTTTGAAGCTGTTATATTAAGGTAAAAACCTTGCATAGTGTGTCTTTAATGGTGAAAACTCAATTTTCAACACCACAACACAGACACCCCACCAGATCACACTGATCCAATTCTCTAGGAGGAGTTTTTGCTAAGTACAATTAGTGCAATTCGACAAAACTGACCTCTAAATTAAAAAATTGCCGACTTCCTGTTTGGTTTGGTGTATGGGTCCTTGGGGCTTTTTTTGTACATCTGGTGTGCAGCGATTTTCATACATATCGGTGCCTCTAGGGCTGCTCTGTAGTGGGTGCTGTTGAGCCATTTAGCCATGCCACAGTTGCTGCTTGTGCGCTAATAATGAACAATAATAATACAATAATGGCAGAGGATAGGAGGTTCTATTAATGGAAGAAGTCTGTAAATAAAACAAACAATATAATTGGTCCATAGACCAGATGAGAATATGATCTGCATTCTGATTGGTTCAAAGGGCGGAAGTGGCGGAAAGGGGTGTGTCTTCATGCTGATCAAAGGGGCAGAGAACCAATGAGAGCGAGAAAGAGGTAGACCAAACAGTAGAATGTAGAATAAACTGACCAACTGTTCCACACAGAGCCAATCAGAACCTCGAACCAACCACATTGAACCGCTCACCCAAACAGATCAAAGACTCCACACTGTTCATGTAGAGGGGAGGAGCTTATCAGTGATATCACCTGCTCAGGTGATCATATTAAATAAAAACACTGTTGGCTCTCTGTGGTGCATGACTGATATAGAATATAGGACATAGTACATAGAACATAGAACATTGAACATAGAGCAGGTCCCAGTTGTATATAATGTTTTGTTACAGACTGCTGACACTGCTGTCTATCTATCTGTCTGTCAGGATGTGAAGTGGGTGGAGGAGAAGCAGGCGTTGTATCAGAGGAATCAGGAGCTGGTGGAGAAGGTAAATTCATATTGATTGATCAATCAGGGAGGTTATCAATATCTCTGATGTCCATCCACACTAAACCTTCATATAGGCACAAAGAGATTCCTTATTTCCTTCAGTATAACAGTAATCAGTGACAGTTCGTACAACTGTGACTCTATCATCCTCCGGTTGGGCTTTATGGTTGTCTCCATGTTGGTGTTTAGCAGCCAGCGGAGGTCACGTAAAGCGAGTTGAGCTGCTCTCATTGGCTGCTCTTGGTTTGGAAACAATGGCAGCTCTCCTGCTCACACAGGATCTGGTATTCCAGATAAACAGTAAAATGTGTTTGTGAACAGATTTGAGGAGAGAAATAGTCAACAACAGAATCTGGATCCATATCTGATCAGCACTGTTTGACAGTTTGATCTGAGTTTGGTGCGTTGAGCTGGACAGGCTCACTGAGAACGAGCTGTCAATCACAAGGTAGCCCCGCTCTAAAGCATACCCTGCTTTATGGTCTATCTTACTCTAAATGGGACCATCAGTTACTAAATGAACATCATGCTGTAGGGAAGAAGACTGAAACTAGAGACTGAGACCAGAAACTCATCAGGAAACTGTTTACTGAGCTCATTAATCAACTTCTCCATAAGACTCAATACTATCAGAGTGGAGCTGCCCTCTGCTGGTTGTTAGAGAGAATGCAGGTTTAACACACTTCACAGACCCGAAAGCTCTGTCATTTATACAGTATATACCGTCAATGTATTATCCAAGGTACACTGCTAACGGGAGCTGCTAACAGATAATTCAGCACACTTTTAATTGAGACTCTGACTCTGGCAGTTTTAAACTGTGTACCATTTATGTCAGAAGTCGGAGTTGAACACATTCCACTACAAGTTAGAAAACAAAGCTCTAGTTAGGTTAGCCATTGTTAGCAATACCAGTTGATAACAACGCATTACACATTAATGCTGTATTTTGCTCATTCAAATGTCGCAGCATTTCCATAGACAGAAGTTGGACCGTACTGAAATTGTATGAATGATTTAAAGCTCCACTGTGTATCATTACTGTAAAATAATATACATAGGTATGTTTTCATATACATACATATTGTGTAATCACTTGAAAATAAGACTTGTTGTGTTTTCATTACCTTAGAATGAGACATTTTTAGTTCAGTAGCCCAGAACAGACAAACCGATCACTTACTTTAGACTTGGGCAGCTACCATAGTTCCTGGTCAAGGAGGTTGATGTGATTGAGTTGTAATCTGCAACTATACCAATAGATGCCACTAAATCCTGCACTCTGGACCTCAAATGAGACAGTGCTTATAATCTGACTTCAGGATTTGTTCTAGTTGAAATTTCTGAATGGGAATTCGGAAGAATAGAACATAACATTTCCTCTTTACATGTATATCCTACAATGCATTATGGAAACTGTAGTTCCAAAGTTAGAACTTGGTTGTCCCTGTGTTGAACAGTAACTATTTTTGACATTACTCAGTATACTAATAATATAAAGGCAGTATTTTATACTATTATTTTTGTGACTGGCTGTATATTATTGATCAGATAAAGCAGATGGAAGGTGAAGATCTGCGGCTTAGAAATGACATCCAGGACGTCAAAGATCAGAACGAGCTGCTGGAGTTTCGGATCTTAGAGCTCGAGGTAAGGACAGACAAACAGCAACAACAACAAGAACAACAATAACAACACAAGTTGAACAGTCACTGACGCACTGTCTCTCCGTTTTTATGGAAACCATGTTTGCTGTTCAGGAGAGGGAGCGACGCTCACCTGCCATCAACTTCCAACAACTTTATTTTCCGGAAGGCCTCAGTCCTCTGCAGATCTACTGCGAGGCAGAGGGCGTTACTGTGAGTAACAGTACACCTGAGTACACACCTGAGTATGCTTGAGTACACCAGAGTACAGCTGAGTACAGCTGCGTAATAAGTTGACCTTGATGATGTTTGTTGTTGATTGTGTTCCTCAGGAGATTGTGATCAGTGAGTTGATGAAGAAGTTGGACATTCTGGGAGATAACGCCGTAAGTGTATGTTGAATTTATTTTGTTTGTGTTTTATATTAACCTGATCTCATCAGCAGAACCAGCTGACTGAATTCACTGCAGCAGATTCACTGTCTGCTCCATCTGTAGGACAAGTCACTTTTATACCATGTGAATACTGGATTCTGATTGGCTGCAGAGTTTCCATTGCTTCCTGGTGTAGAACACCTATCAGCTACCTAGCTACAGCGAAACTGTCTCTTTAAATGAATCTGTGTAGTCGGAGGGAACTTGAAATACCTCCTGTTACCAACTCCTGTCTACAGTTCGTAATATTTACATTTAGATGATGTTATTTACATGGTTTTGACGTGTTGTTGACATGTTGTTTACACAATGTTTATATGTTGTCGACGTGTTGTCAACATGTTGTTGACTTGTTAACATGTTGACATGTTGTTGAGCATTGGGTCGTCCATAATCAGAAGGTTGTGGGTTTGATTCCTTGCTCCTCCTGCTGCATGTTGAAGTGTCCTTGAGAAAGATACTGAACCCCAAACTGCTCCTGATGTTGTGCATCTGTGTGTCAGTGTAAATGGATGGATTAGTTTCAGTTTGATGGTCTTTGCCATCGCTGTCGCATTGTGTGTAAGGGTGAATGACGTGTAGTGTAAAAGTGCTCTGAGTGGTTGAAAGACTAGAAAGGAATTACACAAATATGGTCCATTTACCATTTGATGTGTTGTTAACTTGTTGATGTGTTATCATGTTGTTGACGTGCTGTTCATGTTGATTCCTGCAGAATCTGTCCAATGAGGAGCAGGTGGTGGTGATCCATGCCAGGACGGTGCTCACTCTGGCAGAGAAGGTAACAGTTGTACCTGAACACACAGTTACTGACGTCATTACAATAATGTGATTGATTTGAATGTGTTCAGATTAAATAAAGTTCATTTTGTGTCCCTCACTCATTTACCTGTCTATCTCTACCTGTCTGTCTGCTCAGTGGTTGGAGTCTATCGAAGTGACAAAGTCCGCTCTGCAGCAGAAGATGTTGGACATTGAGAGCGAGAAGGTAAAAACAAAAGGAAAAGCAGGTATTTCTGTTCCAGGTGTTTCTGTTCCATATGTATCTGTTCCGGGTGTTTCTGTTCCCAATGTTTCTGTTCAGGATGTTTCTGTTCCCAATGTTTCTGTTCAGGATGTTTCTTTTCCAGATGTTTCTGTTCAGGATGTTCCTGTTCCGGGTGTTTCTGTTCCAGATGTTTCTGTTCCAGGTGTTTCTGTTCCAGATGTATCTGTTTCGGGTGTTTCTGGGTGTTTCTGTTCCAGATGTTTCTGTTCCAGGTGTTTCTGTTCCCGGTGTTTCTGTTCCAGGTTTTTCTGTTCAGATGTTCCTCCTGGTGGCTGCAGCTCCACCTGTTGTTAAAATTTGATCTGTACACCTTTCATTTTAAAATTATCGGAGATGTTTGCAGGTGAAAGGATGCAGGGCCGCGATGTGCTCCAGTTTTTGTGAGGAGAACTTACTTCTGTTACTTGTAGCATGTTGTTGATGTATTGTTGACTCTTTGTGAGGACGTACGGCTGTTAGTTGTAGCATTAGCTGGTTTGATTTCCAGTCAGCTTAACCTTCAGGTAGCACAGTTACCTCCGACCTCTGCGTGTTGTTTTCTAGGATATGTTCAGTAAACAGAAAGGTTACCTGGATGAAGAGTTGGACTACAGGAAGCAGTCGATGGACCAGGCTCATAAGGTCAGTGCAAGCAACAAAACCAACAAAAACAGCCAGCTGTAAGACAAAATGTGGTGTGCTTCTTTTAAGGTGTTGAAGCACAAACTCACTAAAATAACTCAGGAGTATAGCTGATATTTCTCTTCAATGCCTTTCATTGGTGCTCGGACCTGGTCCAAAGACATACTAACCCTACTAACTAACACTGTTTTCCATCTGTTAGTTTATAAATAAAAACAATGTTGCATTCATGAGCCTATGAGAGCCCCATAAGGGCCACAAATATTTCTGAGCAACAACTGTTTGTAAAATAGGAAGCTGCCATCACAACAGTGGGATGTGGTTGTTTACTCCCTTTTTGATCTGGTTACTTAAATAATCATGGTGCAGTTGACCTGGAATAGACCAATGGATTTTAAATGATCTTGTTAAGATCATTCTGGGGGCATTTTCACCATTATTGGACTGTGGCAGTGAAGACGTAGACAAGAAAATGGGAGAGAACAGAACTTATTTTTTGTTGTTGCTGCAGAGGATCCTGGAGCTGGAGGCCATGTTGTTTGAGGCTCTGCAGCAAGAGGAGGAGTCCAGGATGGAGGGATTAAAGATGGAGGAAGGTCGTCTCTCTGAAACACTAACGGAGGAAGAGAGGGAGGGGCTTAGGAGAGCCATGGACCAGTGGAAACGAACCCTGATGTTTGAGCTGAGAGAGAGAGACGCCCAGATCCTCCGAGAGAGGATGGAACTACTGCAACTCACACAACAGGTAAATACACAAATGACAGGGTGCCCGGATAGCTCAGTGGGTAGAGCTGGCGACCCATGTACCGAGGCTGAGTCCTTGCTGCAGCAGCCAAGGGTTCGAATCTGACCTGCGGCCCTCTGCGTGTCATCCCCTCTCTCTCTGCCCACCTTTCCTGTCTGTCTTCAGCTGTCACTATAATAAAGGCAATAAGCCCAAAAAAATATACTTTATAAAAAAACAAAAAAACAAACAACAGGTACACATAGAAAAGGTAAACATACAAACAACAGGTAAACATAAAAACAACAGTCAAACATACTAACAACAGGTAAACATACTGATGGCAGGTAAACAACAGGTTTTCAGTTCAATTCAGTTTCATTTGTATAGCACCAATCATAACAGAAGTTATTTCAGGACACTTTTCAAATAGAGCAGGTCTAGACTGTACTCCTTATAACATTATTTACCTGAGCAAGCACTTGGCGACAGCAGCAAGGAAATCTTGTACAGACCTCGACTCTAGGTGAGCCTGTAATACGTAGCAGGATTTGGGGTCAGCATGGTAACACCATGGTAACTGATGTAAACAGCTTATTTGCTCTGGTTCAACTCTATAAAATCACTAAAGCTCTATTTGTTGTACTGTAAGATATGAAAGTGAGTCTACTGACCACTTTTAATTATGTGTTTAGATTTATTTTTTATTCATCCGTCTGTTTCCGACTGCTCAGAAGAAATTAGGCGTTGTTGTTTGATGGATGTGTGTTTTTGTGTTTGACAGAGGAACAAGGAGCTGGAGGAATGTATAGAAGCACAGAAACGACAGATTAAAGAGCTGGAGGAGAAGGTAATACTTCTAGTACTATTACTACTACTACTACTACTACGACGACTACTACTTCTACTAAACGCGTAGAAACAATACAGTCTGGTTTTGGATGGAAAAATTAGGAGATATTAATGTACAGTCAGTCCAGCGTTCACGTCACCATGGAAACACACTGTAAAAGCTAACAATCTGACTCCACACTGTTTTCTTCTTTTTCTGTTAGTTTCTTTTTCTGTTTCTATTCTTCTCTTTGGCCTTCATCCTCTGGTCCTAAAAGCAGCTGGTGAGTCTCACAGCAACATGCTTTACTGTGGTGCAGGGTTGTTCGGATTTACAGTTGGGCAACTCCTTTTACTGCTAGGCATCATGGGTAACTGCAGGGTAAAAAGTCTATGCAAGATCCACAGGGTTTATCTCAGGTATAGAGGGTATACCCCAAGTCCACAGGGTTGACTTCGGGTTCACAGAGTTTATAAAAGTTATACAGGGTTTACCACAGGTACACAAGGTTTACCTCAGGTACACAGGGTTGACTTCAGGTTCACAGGGTTTACTTCAGGTACACAGGGTTTACTTCAGGTACACAGGGTTTACCAGAGGTACACAGGGTTTACTTAAGGTACACAGGGTTTACTCCAGGTACACAGGGTTTACTTAGGGTACACAGGGTTTACCACAGGTACACAGGGTTCACCACAGGTACACAGGGTTTACCACAGGTACACAGGGTTTACTTCAGTTACACAGGGTTTACTCCAGGTACACAGGGTTTACCACAGGTACACAGGGTTTACCCTAGGTACACAGGGTTTACTTCAGGTACACAGGGTTTACTTCAGGTACACAGGGTTTACCACAGGTACACAGGGTTTACTTAAGGTACACAGGGTTTACTCCAGGTACACAGGGTTTTCTTAGGGTACACAGGGTTTACCACAGGTACACAGGGTTCACCACAGGTACACAGGGTTTACCACAGGTACACAGGGTTTACTTCAGTTACACAGGGTTTACTCCAGGTACACAGGGTTTACCACAGGTACACAGGGTTTACCCTAGGTACACAGGGTTTACTTCAGGTACACATGGTTGACTTCAGGTTCACAGAGTTTATGCAAGTTATACAGGGTTCACCACAGGTACACAGGGTTTACTACAGGTACACAGGGTTTACCACAGGTACACAGGGTTTACTTCAGTTACACAGGGTTTACTACAGATACACAGGTTTACTTAGGGTACACAGGGTTTACCACAGGTACACAGGGTTCCCCACAGGTACACAGGGTTTACTTCAGATACACAGGGTTCACTACAGGTACACAGGGTTCACCACAGGTACACAGGGTTTACTTCAGGTACACAGGGTTTACTCCAGGTACACAGGGTTTACTCCAGGTACACAGGGTTTACCACAGGTACACAGGGTTTACTACAGGTACACAGGGTTTACCACAGGTACACAGGGTTTACTTCAGTTACACAGGGTTTACTGCAGATACACAGGTTTACTTCAGGTACACAGGGTTTACTTCAGGTACACAGGGTTTACTTCAGTTACATAGGGTTTACCACAGGTACATAGGGTTCACCACAGGTACACAGGGTTTACCACAGGTACACAGGGTTTACTTCAGTTACACAGGGTTTACTCCAGGTACACAGGGTTTACCATAGGTACACAAGGTTTACCCTAGGTACACAGGGTTTACTTCAGGTACACAGGGTTGACTTCAGGTTCACAGAGTTTATGCAACTTATACAGGGTTCACCACAGGTACACAGGGTTTACTACAGGTACACAGGGTTTACTTCAGTTACACAGGGTTTACTACAGATACACAGGGTTTACCACAGGTACACAAGGTTTACTTAAGTTACACAGGGTTTACCACAGGTACACAGGGTTTACCCTAGGTACACAGGGTTTACTTCAGGTACACAGGGTTGACTTCAGGTTCACAGAGTTTACGCAAGTTATACAGGGTTCACCACAGGTACACAGGGTTTACTACAGGTACACAGGGTTAACCATAGGTACACAGGGTTTACTTCAGTTACACAGGGTTTACTATAGATACACAGGTTTACTTCAGGTACACAGGGTTTACTTCAGTTACATAGGGTTTACCACAGGTACATAGGGTTCACCACAGGTACACAGGGTTTACTTCTGTTACACAGGGTTTACTACAGATACACAGGTTTACTTCAGGTACACAGGGTTCACCACAGGTACACAGGTTTACTTCAGGTACACAGGGTTTACTACAGGTACACAGGGTTCACCACAGGTACACAGGGTTGACTTCAGGTTCACAGAGTTTATGCAAGTTATACAGGGTTCACCACAGGTACACAGGGTTTACTACAGGTACACAGGGTTTACCACAGGTACACAGGGTTTACTTCAGTTACACAGGTTTTACTACAGATACACAGGTTTACTTCAGGTACACAGGGTTTACTTAAGTTACATAGGGTTTACTTAGGGTACACAGGGTTTACCACAGGTACACAGGGTTCCCCACAGGTACACAGGGTTTACTTCAGATACACAGGGTTCACTACAGGTACACAGAGTTTATGCAACTTATACAGGGTTCCCCACAGGTACACAGGGTTTACTTCAGATACACAGGGTTGACTTCAGGTTCACAGAGTTTATGCAACTTATACAGGGTTCCCCACAGGTACACAGGGTTTACTTCAGATACACAGGGTTGACTTCAGGTTCACAGAGTTTATGCAAGTTATACAGGGTTCACCACAGGTACACAGGGTTTACTACAGGTACACAGGGTTTACCACAGGTACACAGGGTTTACTTCAGTTACACAGGGTTTACTACAGATACACAGGTTTACTTCAGGTACACAGGGTTTACTTAAGTTACATAGGGTTTACTTAGGGTACACAGGGTTTACCACAGGTACACAGGGTTCCCCACAGGTACACAGGGTTTACTTCAGATACACAGGGTTCACTACAGGTACACAGAGTTTATGCAACTTATACAGGGTTCCCCACAGGTACACAGGGTTTACTTCAGATACACAGGGTTGACTTCAGGTTCACAGAGTTTATGCAACTTATACAGGGTTCACCACAGGTACACAGAGTTTACTACAGGTACACAGGGTTTACTTCAGTTGCACAGGGTTTACTTCAGGTACACAGGGTTTACTCCAGGTACACAGGGTTTACTCCAGGTACACAGGGTTTACCACAGGTACAGAGGGTTTACCACAGGTACACAGGGTTTACCACAAGTACACAGGTTTTATGAATCAATATAAAGCTGATATTGTTGATATCTGATAGTGTTGTCTCTGTTTGTCAGGTTAAAGGTTTTTACATTCTGGTCTTTGTTTTAGTGTCTGCAGGCCTCCAGAGTCCCGCAACTGAACCCTCAGTGGTGTCAGTATGGATCAGACCAATGACAGGAGGATTCAGAAGGATTCAGGATTTGGAACCAGCAGTTTATTGACTGAGGCACGTTGGCTTCACTGCCCCACTGACCTGCCTCAGGCTGCAGTCAGCCAATCAGAGCAGAGCTCTGCTGTCAGCTGACTTTGGAACTACACCGTCACACCTCATACATGAAGACAAGGATGGTTTTCACAGCAACAGATTAATGTTGTGTTTCAGACAAGTGAAATCCACAACTGGCAACATGCTAACTAGCTTCCTGTTAGCTACTGTTAGCTACATCTGATATGCAGCTGACTGACTCACATTCTGGCCTCAGGAGGCCCTCTGGACCAAAGTGGTGCTGGACTAATACAGTTTTACCTCAGCTTGCTGGATTCCTATCAGTGTTAACTCAGCTAGCTGGTTTTAGACATTTCTAGCTAAGTTGGCTGAATTCATACAGTTGACTCAGCTAGTTGACTTCAGTGTTAAGGTAGTTGGTTGGTCAGTTAATTAACCTCTTTGTGGGTTAATGAAGATGAGTCAGTTGAATCACTGTAGAAACACAATAGAAACATTAGAAACTGTTGTTAGATGAAGTGTTCTTGTCTGTCCTGATATAAATTCAGTTGAATTTAACTTTGTTCTGATTGGCTGTTCCACCTGCAGATTGTAGAGCCTCTCAGCTCCACTCATGGATCTGAGGTTACGGTGTGTAACCTTCATATAGTTTCAGCCCACTAGGATCATCCTGGGACCAAAAACTGATGAAGGAAGCCGTTCTTCACAACATCAGGAGGTCTGCTGGAGGTCAAAACAAAACCATGTCCTGATCTGAAGAAACAAAGCATGAAGTTTGAGTCTTGAACCAGGTTTAGGAACTGGTTTCTGCACAGAGTTTAGATGTGATCCAGTCTCTAGATTATAATGTAGTGAGATTTCACAGTAAAGTACAACATCAGTTCTTTATAGACCCCACTGAGTAATAGAAGATAATTTCACAACACAAATAAATCTATACATATATATTATATTATTAATTATTATTATTATATGAATTTATTTTTGCTTTTACTCTGCTACCAGAGATAATCAGGACATTTGATACTGAAACGACTATCTGATCAAACTGAAAGTTAATAAAGAATAAAAGTATATAAGAAATAAAAGGATTTTCTTTTCCCTTTACAGGTAAAACTTTCCATCTTCAATTTAATTTAGTCATTTCAAGATCAAGCTTAAAGAACCTAATCCATTTAAAATGTGAATGATCTACTGAAGCAGAATCAACACAATGAATCCGTTCTTGTTTTAAAAACTGGATCCTGCTGTTGTACTTTTATTATTCCAGATGATATTTTTCTATCTCTGCTGTGAGTCTGAACTCAGTAAACATCTTAAGAGTCGGCAGTTTGATGTGATTACAGATTAAAAATGGTGGAAACGAGACTGAAGACAACTGTGTTTGTCGTTTTTTGCTGATTCAAGCATCGTTTTTATTATATGAAGGTTATTTCTCAGATTGTGAATCATTTTATGTTTTAGTGTGAGTCAGTGTGTGTGAGCAGAGAGTGAACGGGTTGTAGCATAGCGACTTGCTCTGCTGCCTGTGGATTGATTTCTATATGTTTCTATATAGGGATGAGGGTCCAAGGATGTGATGTTTATGCTCTTGAGAGTCAACAACAGAGTCCAAAGTCAAAGCTAACATTACTGCAAAGATTATGGAACATAATGTCTAAGTGTGCTTTTAGCATATTGGTGCCAGATAATGTTATTCAGCGTGGTGTTCAGTGTTTGTCACTGTTGGCTGCCAATATACAGTGTATATATTGTGTATACATAATACTACGGTAGCCGACAAGGGCAAACGCGCTGCAAACGGCAAAACGCTGCAAACACGGGAATGATGCAAATCCAAAAACACACAAAACCCACAAAACAACTCCAAGAGAGAAACGCTGCAAATTCACTCGACGAAACGGAAGTGCGCCAGGCCACTAGGGGGACCCGACCTAAGGGATGGACCAGTCCTGTGGGACCAGGCATGTTTGCAGCGTTTTGCCGTTTGCGGTACGTTTGCCCTTGTCGGCCACCGTATAACACTGTGTACGGTGTATACTAGAGGTGGGCGATATATATCGTTTGCGATAATATCGTCATTATTGTTTTGACGATGTGCAAATTTCCATTATCGAGTATTTAAATTACTTCGACAAAAACATTGAAACACACGCGGAAACTCCTCACATCCATTAATACACGGTGCAGCAATGCTCTCTACAGCATGGCAGGATTCAGTCAAACGACTAGTGGGCCTACTTGATCCCATGACGTGATCACGTGACCTCTCGCTAGCATCCTCCTTGCAACAATTTAGCAGCGCGTCGCGATGGTAGAGAGAAAATGCAAGCACCTCCAGTCCCTGAAGCTACCGGTACTTCAGATGATTTAGTGCCGAGACGTGGGTCTTATGGGCTTCAGCGTTCAGAGCGCTAAGCGCCTTCAGTGGTAAAAAGATGTCAGTGGAGACATTTCTTTTTTTTGCGCAGCGCTCAGAGCGTTTCAAGTTGAAATCTGTTCAACTTTTAACACCGCTGGGCGCTCGGTAAATGAGTTTTTGAGCTCTCTCAGCGCTGTAAACGCGTTTGGTGGACAAGTCCAGCTCAGACAATTCTAATCACATTTTAAAGGATATCGACTGATTATCGTTATCGCCAAAATCCCCAAAAATATTGAGATATTATTTTTTGCCCATATCGCCCACCCCTAGTGTGTACACTGTGTACGGTGTATAGACTGTATAAATACTGTGTATATATACTGACAGATACACAGTGAGAGTTAGACAGGAAGTGACTTTTCAGTTTAAAATGAGAGCTTCATATTAACATGGAGATACAGATTTTGTTATGGTCCACTGAGTGTGTGTGTGTGTGTGTGTGTGTGTGTAGATAAAGTGAATGTGACAGGAAAAGAAATCCAGTTCAGACTGCAGAGCATCAGCAGTAATGATCACTGACCTGTGTGTGTGTGTGTGTGTGTCTGTGTGTGTGTGTGTGTGAGAGAGAGTCAACTGTGATTGGAGCACAGAGCAAAAAGGGGTGGGGCTTATGAAGGTCTGACATCAGGTGTCTTCAGATGAAAACAATCCTGAAAGAGACTTTTTGTTCAGAAAGAATTCAAACCAACAACCTCTGTTTGTTGTTACTGAAACCTCATTCTCCCCCCTTCCTCTTTTCTCCATCCTCCCTCTAATTATTTCCTCTCAGTCTCAGTTTGAGGTCACAGTTCCTCCTCTCCTTCATGACCTCCTTTTTCATCTCCTCCTCCTTCTTCTGGTCTCCTCATTTATGGCCTGAGGTCTTCAGCCAACCCTCCTCCTCCTCCTCCTCCTCCTCCTCCTTGTCTTGTCTGGCCTCAGATCAGAAGTGTTCATGATGTCTGAGAGGAGGTGTTCTCAGGAGGATGACTGCTCCTCCCTGCTGTCCCGGCTAGGTTCGGACTCTCCTCGTCCTCGGATGAAGTATGGAGGGATGTTCTGCAGTGTCGAAGGAGCATTTGAGAACAAAACTTTGAACTTTGAGTCGTTCAGCCCGCAGACGCAGCGACGCCGAGCTGCTCGAACCCACAGTGACCACTACGATGGAGGAGACGTCTTGAGAGTAGGAGGACAGACTGTGGTGTTTCCCTCCGGACACACCCGGGAAAACTACAGCAAGAGAGAGGTTCAGCTTTGTATTTATTTCAATATGTATTTTTGTTTAATGATTTGTTAAAAGCTGCAAAAGAGAACTCATTCAGTTTTAATGACCATTGATTACACTGTAGCTGTCCCTTACCCATGTGCCTATGAGCAAAAATATACTACAACTACATTTCAATTGATACAGAAAATATAGTGTGGGACAAACAGAAAATGATTCACTGTTGAAATGTGGTTCAATTGCACGCAGTGGGCAGTAGACAGGAAATTGTTTAAACTAAACTAAATTGCTTTACTTTGTTAAAGGGACATTGTGTAGTGTTTTAAGTATTTTATTAGCTAAAATCAATGTCTTCATTCATAAATGTGTCCTCATTGGTGTAAAATTACCTCTGCCAATGATCTGACTTATCCTCATAAGCGAAGAATTTCTTATCTGTATATACAATGGATATAAAAAGTCATGTCAATGTTAAAATGCCAGATTTTTGTGATGTAAAAAAATGAGACAATAATAAATCATGTCCAAACTTTTTCCCCCTTTAATCTGATCTATAATGTGAACAATTCAATTGAAAAACAAACGGAAATCTTTTAGGGGGAAAAATAAAAAATAAAAAACTTACAATAACCTGGTTGCATAAGTGTGCACACCCTTAAACTAATACTTTGTTGAAGCACCTTTTGATTTTATTACAGCACTCAGTCTTTTTGGGTAGGAGTCAATTAGCATGGCACATCTTGACTTGGAAATATTTGCCCACTCTTCTTTACAAAAGCGCTCCAAATCTGTCAGATTGCAAGGGCACCGACTGTGTACAGCCCTCTTCAGATCATCCCACAGATGTTCAATGGGATTCAGGTCTGGGGTCTGGCTGGGCCATTCCAAAACGTTGATATTCTTCTGGTGAAGCCATGCTTTTGTTGATTTGGATTTATGCTTTGGGTCGTTGGGTCGTCAGCTTTCTAACTAAAGCCTGAAGGTTTTGTGCCAAAATTGACTGATATTTGGAACTGTTCATAATTCCTTCCACCTTGATTAAGGTTCCAGCTGAAGAAAAACAGCCCCAAAGCATGATGCTGCCACCACCATGCTTCACTGTGGGTATGGTGTTCTATGGATGATGTGCAGTGTTGTTTCTGCGCCAAACATACCTTTTGAAATTATGGCCAGAAAGTTCAACCTTAGTTTCATCAGACCATAACACATTTTCCCACATGCTTTTGGGAGACTTCATGTATTTTTTTTGCAAAATTTAGCCGGGCTTGGATGTTTTTCTTTGAAAGAAAAGGCTTCCGTCTTGCCACCCTACCCCATAACCCAAACGTATGAAGAATACGGGAGATTGTAATCACATGTAGTACACAGCCAGTACTTGCCCGAAATTCCTGCAGCTCCTTTAATGTTGCTCTAGGCCTCTTGGAAGCCTCCCTGACCATTTTTCTCTTTCAATTCAATTCAATTCAATTCAATTTTATTTGTATAGCGCCAATTCATAACAGAAGTTATCTCAGGACACTTTTCAAATAGAGCAGGTCTAGACCGAACTCTTTAACATTAATTACAGAGACCCAACAGTACCACCATGAGCAAGCACTTGGCGACAAGGGCAAGGAAAAACTGCCTGTTAAAAGGCAGAAACCTAGGACAGATCCTCCGGCTCTAGGTGGGTGGTCGTCTGTCTCGACCAGTTGGGGTGAGAGAGAGAGAGAGAGAGAGAGAGAGAGAGCGACAGACAGACAGACAGACAGGTGCACAGCAACAACAGTATTGGCAATGGCAGTCAAGCAGGACCATGGCAGGAGGCTCCACCAGGATCCATGAGAACCTGCGAGACGAGAAAGCACAAGAACTCCGGGGAAGAAGTGGAGTTAGTAACATGCATTAAAGGGACATGAATGAGTGCAGAAAGAGAGAGGAAGAGAGGAGCTCAGTGCACCATGGGAAATCCCCCAATAGTCTAGGCCTATAGCAGCATAACTAAGGGATGGTTCAGGACTCCCCTGATCCAGCCCTAACTATAAGCTTTATCAAAGAGGAATGTCTTAAGCCTACTCTTGAATGTGGTGAGGGTGTCTGCCTCCCGAACCACAACTGGAAGCTGGTTCCACAGGAGAGGAGCTTGGTAACTGAAGGCTCTGGCTCCTGTTCTACTTTTAGAGACTATAGGAACCACAAGTAGCCCAGCATTCAGAGAACGTAGTGTTCTAGTGGGGTAATAGGGTACTATGAGCTCTTTAAGATATGAAGGGGCCTGACCATGAAGAGCTTTATAGGTGAGGAGGAGTATTTTAAATTCAATTCTACATTTTATAGGGAGCCAATGCAGAGTAGCTAGTACAGGAGAGATGTGATCTCTTTTTCTAGTTCCTGTCAGTACTCGTGCTGCAGCGTTCTGAATTAATTGGAGCGTTTTAATGGACTTATTGGGGCAACCTGATAATAAAGAGTTGCAGTAATCCAGCCTTGAAGTAACAAATGCATGGATTAGTTTTTCTGCATCTGTCTGTGATAGTATGTGTCTAATTTTTCTAATATTACGTAAATGAAAGAAGGCAGTCCTAGAGGTCTGCTTTATGTGGGAGTTAAATGACAAATCCTGATCAAAGATAACTCCAAGATTCCTGACAGTGGTGCTAGAGGCCAAGTTAATGCCATCTAGAGTGACTATATCTTTAGACAATGAGTCTCTAAGGTTTTTGGGGCCAAGAACAACTTTCGTCTTTTCATCAATTTTTGAGGGGCGTCCAGTTCTTGGTAAGGTCACTCTTGTGCCATATTCTCCACTTGATGATGACTTCACTGTGTTCCATGGTATATCTAATGCCTTGTAAATTCATTTGTACCCTTCTCCTGACTGATACCTTTTAACAATGAGATCCCTCTGATGTTTTGGAAGCTCTTTGTGGACCATGGCTTTTGCTCTGAGATGCAACTGAGAAAATGTCAGGAAAGTCCTACTGGAACAGCTGAGCTTTATTTGGGATTAATCAGAGTCATTTTAAATGATAGCAGGTGCGTACTACTATTTAACATGAGTTTGAATGTGATTGGTCAATTCTGAACACAGCCACATCTCCAGTTATAAGAGGGTGTGCACACTTATGCAACCAGGTTATTGTAAGTTTTCTATTTTTTAATTTTCCACCTAAAAGATTTCAGTTTGTTTTTCAATTGAATTGTTCACATTATAGGTCACATTAAAGGTGGAAAAAGTTTGGACATGATTTATCTTTGTCTCATTTTTTTACATCACAAAAGCCTGGCATTTTAACAGGGGTGTGTAGACTTTTTATATCCACTGTACATTGGACGGGCAAGTCCATGGAGGCTTCCATGTCGTTCCGCCATTCTGAAAAACTATAATCGCCGAGAGGGACATAAAGCATTAGCCTACCTGTCTCGCTAATCCACAACGTGTTCTCGTTCAGAGCCAGAGTCACGTGACTGAAACCAGCTATAACCGAGAAGGAGATCAGTGAGAGGCACATTTGAAAGTCTGCACTGCACTTTAGTTAATAATGGAGGATCATACTTATGCCGAGCCACAGGAGAAGGAATCCTCATCGCCAAAAAAGCGAAAAAGGGAATTAAAAAGGCAACATGACCGGCGAATTCAAAAAACGAGGGTAAACATCGGGGTAGCTTTTCCCAGGTGGAAAGAGCCAATGAAGGAGAAAGATATTCAAAGGGACGCTGAAGTTGCCTGCTTTCTCCTCCACAGGTAGGCTTCTTGGTACATAACAGCTACCGTAGTTGCAATACGCATTTGAAAACGCGAGGCACTAGAGAGCACTATTCGTTTGAATGCAAAATACAATTTCACCGCTAGATGGGAGAAATTCCTACATAATGTCCCTTTAACGGTCTTAAGTTGTATCTTATTAAATTATGAACATTTGTCTACAGCGGGATAGACAGCTCGACCATCAGCCATTATTTATTTTGAGAACTTAAATATAGAGAAAAATATAAACGTAAAGAAACACAGAGCACGAAAAAGATATTTTAGAGAACCCAAAATTTCTCAAATGTAGCTCTCTGTAGATCCCTGTAGACCCGTGTAGATCCCTGTAGATCTCTATAGATCTCTGTAGGTCTCTGTATATCCCTGTGTAAAATATAGTAAAATATAATAATAAAATAGTACAGTGTGTATCAGTACTTAACTACAGTAACTGTTAGTACAGTGTATATCAGTACTTTAACTACAGTAACTGTTAGTACAGTGTGTATCAGTACTTTAACTACAGTAACTGTTAGTACAGTGTGTATCAGTACTTTAACTACAGTAACTGTTAGTACAGTGTATCAGTACTTTAACTACAGTAACTGTTAGTACAGTGTATCAGTACTTTAACTACAGTAACTGTTAGTACAGTGTATCAGTATCATTAACTACAGTAACTGTTAGTACAGTGTGTATCAGTACTTTAACTACAGTAACTGTTAGTACAGTGTGATCAGTACTTTAACTACAGTAACTGTTAGTACAGTGTATCCGTACTTTAACTACAGTAACTGTTAGTAAAGTGTGTATCAGTACTTTAACTACAGTAACTGTTAGTACAGTGTATCAGTACTTTAACTACAGTAACTGTTAGTACAGTGTATCAGTACTTTAACTACAGTAACTGTTAGTACAGTGTATCAGTACTTTAACTACAGTAACTGTTAGTACAGTGTGTATCAGTACTTTAACTACAGTAACTGTTAGTACAGTGTATCAGTACTTTAACTACAGTAACTGTTAGTACAGTGTGTATCAGTACTTTAACTACAGTAACTGTTAGTACAGTGTATCAGTACTTTAACTACAGTAACTGTTAGTACAGTGTGTATCAGTACTTTAACTACAGTAACTGTTAGTACAGTGTATCAGTACTTTAACTACAGTAACTGCATACCTGCCAACTTTTCAAAAAACCTTGGAGTGAGATTTTGTCAGGGGGTGACCAAAATGATGCCGCGCACGCAGCCACACAAGTTTGTGGCTCAGATATCAGAGAATTGGAATTCATTTGATGTTGTACCCATGTTGTGCCCTGCATTCTGGTGGTTTGTGGGGAGGCCCAAATTCCGCTGATAGGGGCAGCCTACTGGAGATGGACAATATTGGTTACATTCTGAGAAGCAGACATAGCTGAAGGTCCACCCCAGGGAATTTTGGATAAAATAGATGTGATTTCCTGCATTCTAGTGGATTTTTGGGTGGTCTGCTAAAGATGTGCAATACCTGAGCTTATTCTGATTCATGTTCGTCATCATGACTTGTAGGGCCTTCTAGACTTGAGCTGAACATTCAACCACAAAACTATTGTTGTGTCTAAATGACTGCCTGTATCACAATAAAGCCTTATTCATAGACCAGTGTTTAAGATTGGACCTAGGTACCTGTAGGTTGATTGATATTTTGATTAGAATGGTATTAAACTGATATTTTGAGCATGCAGTATACCACGAGGTTAACAAGGTGCTCTCCTGCTGCTTGTTATGACAGCTTTCACCACACTAAACTCATGTTCACACGCACAAACAAATATTTATTTCAAGATCTAAAGTTTAAGAGAGTGAGTACTCAATTGGAACGACATTTCATTGTTACATACCTAGTCTCAGCTCAGATCAAGGACGAAATTTTGATTTCAGGGTGTGGGGGACACAAGTTATTTTTTTGGCCTTTTGATGGCTTTATTTATGGACACAGCTGTAGAGGGACAGTGATGGTGGGTGGAGACAGAGGAGATGGCCTGCAGCAAGGGGCAGCACGTCGGATTTGAACGCGGCTGCAGCAGCTCCTTATGCGGGTCGCCAGCTGTACCGACTGAGCTAACCGGTGGGCGCCCTCAGTAGACAATAGTAGTTCTTCTAGTTTTCTATTGCTACTTTTACGTTTACTGTTCCCTTTTTTGGTTTGACTGGCTGTAAAGAATGTAAATGTAAATATAGAATAAACTTTCTGGACACACACACATGGACACTGATTCAAACGTGAATGTAAATGAAACCTCTGATGTTACCTGGGCAACTCCAGCAGACCGGTGTGCAAGCAGGATGGAGTGACAGCGGGGACGGCCAATCACACAAGAAACGGCAGAGCCAATCGAGGAGCTTGTGGGCGGGTCTAAACTAAGGGAAACAGGCTTCAGCTTGAGCGGCCGTTTTCCTCTTGGTCCTAGTGCCTGACCCTCTCTGTTGACTATAGCGGAACATTGTTTTTGGACGGTCCAAACGGCCCAAGATCGGATTTTTTTTGCGTGAGAAATTGGATGTGTGGCGTGAGTGCGTGTGAAAACTGGCAAAACCGCGTATCACACGGCGAAAGCGTGAGAGTTGGCAGCTCTGGTTTAACTGTTAGTACAGGTCTTCCTCCACTTTTATTTCGAAGGTCAACACCGGAAGCTGTATGTGTATATTGTCGGCACAGTGACGTCAGAGCTGCGGGGAACAACAATAGCAGACAGTGTGTGTGTGTGCGTGTGTGTGTGTGTGTGTGTGTGTGAGCGGATCAATCAGCCGATCACAGATCGATAAGGATGTCGTTCCAGACGAAGAAGAGCAGTGCGAGACCAGCGGTAGGTCCAACCCTTACCGGGCTGAGCCGGGCTGAGCCGGGCTACCGGGGCAGAGAGGGATGCTGTGGGCCGGTGAGGCGGGATGCTGCAGCTCCGCCTGTCAATCACCGCCGTTAGATCCAGAGCGATGCTGAACTGGACCGAGCCGGACCGGTCTGTCTGTCGGTGTCTGCAGCTGCTGGAGACCCGCCCGGCTCGGACCGGTGCGCCTCGCTCGGCCTTAAAGAGCACGTGATAGTGAAGCTGAGAGACAAATGAAATCCATTAATAATGATGAATATTTTTATTCGTATTCATATTCTATCAAATAAAAAGCATTTTTGCATTAATGGAACAATTAATATCTTTTTAATTGATCACTTCCGGGCATATTGACCTGCAGATAGAGTAGATATCGATCAGCTGATACAAAGTAAACATTGATCAGCTGATACAGACAATGATGATTTCATGAAATAATGAAGTTATTATTATATAATATAAAAGGTTGATACAGAATGAGCTCAACTGTTCCAATAATATGAATGATTGATGTCATTTATCAAACTTTATTTATTGTGTAAAAAAAAGCTAAACAATATTAACGATATACAAATATAATACACAAAGACAAGGAAACCATTAGAGCAAACAGAGCAGAATGTAACATTGTTCGTATATAGAAAGCTCCACACAGACAATACCAGTCTCTCCCAGTCCCACCATTATGACTATTATTAAAAGAAATGTTATATGATTGCAGTTTATTTATAAAGCAGGTTTCATTACAGTTCATTAAATACAACACAAAACAATACAATTATATAAAGCATAATAAAATAAATAAATCATTAAAAATAAGTAAATCAAAACAGTATAAGCACAATAATAATAAGAGCATGGGATTTAAAAACAATTAGGTAAAAGCTTGGCAATAAAAGACCACATATTTCATCAGAATCATCTTTGACCTTAAATGTTTCCAGAAAAGATTTTTTATTATCTCATAGTAACTAAACTCCTGATTATTAAGGTCTGTACCTCCTGTTTTACCCAGAATCCTCTCTGTCTGTCTGTTTCTAGGGCGACCGTCTGATCATCAAAGGAGGAAAGGTCGTCAATGATGATCAGTCATTCTACGCTGACGTCTATGTGGAGGACGGGACCATCAAGTAAATTTATTGATATTCATGATTATTGCAGGTGCATTGTGGGTCAACCTGTTAGCTCTGACTTCATCACACTTCCTGTCGTTTGTCCTACTCAGACAGATTGGCGAGAACCTGATCGTCCCGTCCGGTGTGAAAACGGTGGACGCGTACGGTCAGCTGGTGATCCCCGGCGGTGTTGACGCCAACACCAACCTGCTGACTCCCCAGAAAGGCCTGAACCCGACCGACGACTTCTACCAGGGAACCAGAGCCGCACTGTCCGGAGGAACCACCACCATCAGTCTGATCAATAACCTATTAATACTGATCCACACCATCAGTCAGATCAATAACCTATTAAAACTGATCCACACCATCAGTCAGATCAATAACCTATTAATACTGATCCACACCATCAGTCAGATCAATAACATATTAATACTGATCCACACCATCAGTCAGATCAATAACCTATTAATACTGATCCACCACCATCAGTCAGATCAATAACCTATTAATACTGATCCACACCATCAGTCAGATCAATAACCTATTAATACTGATCCACCACCATCAGTCTGATCAATAACCTATTAATACTGATCCACACCATCAGTCAGATCAATAACCTATTAATACTGATCCACCACCATCAGTCAGATCAATAACCTATTAATACTGATCCACACCATCAGTCAGATCAATAACCTATTAATACTGATCCACCACCATCAGTCTGATCAATAACCTATTAATACTGATCCACACCATCAGTCAGATCAATAACCTATTAATACTGATCCACCACCATCAGTCAGATCAATAACCTATTAATACGATCCACACCATCAGTCAGATCAATAACCTATTAATACTGATCCACCACCATCAGTCAGATCAATAACCTATTAATACTGATCCACACCATCAGTCAGATCAATAACCTATTAATACTGATCCACACCATCAGTCAGATCAATAACCTATTAATACTGATCCACCACCATCAGTCAGATCAATAAACTATTAATACTGATCACCCACTCTCAGTCATATCAATAACCCATCAATACTGAGCAATCAGCTTCAGTCAGATCAATACTGATCAATCAGCTTCAGTCAGATCAATAACCTATTAAAACTGATCCACCACCATCAGTCAGATCAATAACCTATCAATACTGATCACCCACCATCAGTCAGATCAATAACCTATTAACACTGCTCCACCACCAACAGACAGATCAATAACCTATCAATACTGATCAATCAATTCAATTCAATTCAATTCAATTCAATTTTATTTGTATAGCGCCAATTCATAACAGAAGTTATCTCAGGACACTTTTCAAATAGAGCAGGTCTAGACCGAACTCTTTAACATTAATTACAGAGACCAACAGTACACCATGAGCAAGCACTTGGCGACAAGGGCAAGGAAAACTGCCTGTTAAAAGGCAGAAACCAGGACAGATCCTCCGGCTCTAGGTGGGTGGTCGTCTGTCTCGACCAGTTGGGGTGAGAGAGAGAGAGAGAGAGAGAGAGAGAGAGAAACGACAGACAGACAGACAGGCGCACAGCAACAACAGATTGGCAATGGCAGTCAAGCAGGACCATGGCAGGAGGCTCCACCAGGATCCATGAGAACCTGCAGACGAAAAGCACAAGAACTCCGGGGAAGAAGTGGAGTTAGTAACATGCATTAAAGGACATGAATGAGTGCAGAAAGAGAGAGGAAGAGAGTAGCTCAGTGCACCATGGGAAATCCCCGATAGTCTAGGCCTATAGCAGCATAACTAAGGGATGGTTCAGGACTCACCTGATCCAGCCCTAACTATAAGCTTTATCAAAGAGGAATGTCTTAAGCCTACTCTTGAAAGTGGTGAGGGTGTCTGCCTCCGAACCACAACTGGAAGCCGGTTCCACAGGAGAGGAGCTTGGTAATTGAAGGCTCTGGCTCCTGTTCTACTTTTAGAGACTATAGGAACCACAAGTAGCCCAGCATTCAGAGAACGTAGTGTTCTAGTGGGGTAATAGGGTACTATGAGCTCTTTAAGATATGAAGGGGCCTGACCATGAAGAGCTTTATAGGTGAGGAGGAGTATTTTAAATTCAATTCTACATTTTATAGGGAGCCAATGCAGAGTAGCTAGTACAGGAGAGATGTGATCTCTTTTTCTAGTTCCTGTCAGTACTCGTGCTGCAGCGTTCTGAATTAATTGGAGCGTTTTAATGGACTTATTAGGGCAACCTGATAATAAAGAGTTGCAGTAATCCAGCCTTGAAGTAACAAATGCATGGATTAGTTTTTCTGCATCTGTCTGTGATAGTATGTGTCTAATTTTTCTAATATTACGTAAATGAAAGAAGGCAGTCCTAGAGGTCTGCTTTATGTGGGAGTTAAATGACAAATCCTGATCAAAGAGAACTCCAAGATTCCTGACAGTGGTGCTAGAGGCCAAGTTAATGCCATCTAGAATGACTATATCTTTAGACAATGAGTCTCTAAGGTTTTTGGGGCCAAGAACAAGAATTTCGGTTTTTCTGAGTTTAACATCAGAAAATTGCAGGTCATCCAGGATTTTATGTCCTTAAGACATGTTTGTAATTTAGATAATTGATTAATTTCATTGGGTTTGATTGATAGATATAACTGCGTATCATCTGCATAACAGTGAAAGTTAATGGAGTGATTCCTAATAATGTTGCCTAAAGGGAGCATATATAAAGTAAATAGTATTGGTCCAAGTACAGAACCTTGTGGAACTCCATGACTAACTTTAGTATTTATGGAGGATTCATCGTTAACATGTACAAACTGAGTACGATCTGATAAGTATGACTTAAACCAGGTTAGGGCAGTTCCTTTAATGCCAATTTGATGCTCAAGTCTCTGTAAAAGAATATCATGGTCAATGGTGTCAAATGCAGCACTAAGATCTAATAATACAAGTACAGAGACAAGTCCATTGTCAGAAGCAGTCAGAAGGTCATTATTAACTTTAACCAGAGCTGTCTCTGTGCTATGATGAACTCTAAATCCTGACTGAAAATCCTCAAATAAACTATTGTTATGTAGAAAGTCACACAACTCTTTGGCGACTACTTTCTCCAGAATCTTAGAGAGAACGGGAGGTTAGAAATCGGTCTATAGTTGGCTAAAACCCCTGGGTCAAGAGTAGACTTTTTAAGAAGGGGTTTAATTACAGCTACTTTAAAGGACTGTGGTACATATCCTGATAATAAAGAAAGATTAATCATATCCAGTAAAGAAGTGCCAATTAAGGGAACAACTTCTTTAAGCAGCCTAGTTGGGATCGGGTCTAACAGACAGGTTGATGGCTTCATGAAGAAATGATTGAAGTTAACTGATGAAGATCGATAGCAGAAAAACAGTCTAAATATACATCTAAGTTTACATTGACAGAAGTCCCTGAACTTGGAGAGCCACTGATAACTGTTGATGGCAGTTGGTGATTAATTTTTTCTCTAATAGTAATAATTTTATTATAGAAGAAGCTCATGAAGTCATTGCTACTTAAGTTTATGGGGATATGTGGCTCGATAGAGCTGTGACTCTCTGTCAGCCTGGCTACAGTGCTGAAGAGGAACCTAGGGTTGTTCTTATTTTCTTCTATTAGTGCTGAGTAATAGGCTCCTCTGGCATTACGGAGGGCCTTTCTATAAATCTTAAGATCATCTTGCCAATTTGAGCGATATTCTGATAATTTGGAAGAGCGCCATTTCCTTTCAGATTTCCTAGCTATTTGCTTTAACTGGCGGGTTTGGTGGTTATACCAAGGTGCTAGTCTCCTATGTTTTAATAATTTCCTTTTTATAGGAGCGATAGAGTCTAATGTTGATCGTAGTGAGCCTGTAGCACTATCGACAAGATTATCAATTTCAGAGGGACTAAAGTTGTTATAGGACTCTGTTAAATTCAGACATGGCATTGAATTAAACACTGAAGGAATCTCCTCCTTAAATTTAGCTACAGCACTGTCAGATAAACATCTGCTGTAGGAAGTTTTGCCTAATGGCTTATAATCTAATAGTATGAATTCAAAAGTTACTAAATAATGGTCAGATAGGAAAGGATTATGTGGGAAGACTATTAAATGTTCAATATCAATGCCATATGATAAAACAAGGTCAAGAGTGTATTAAAACAATGAGTTGGTTTATTTACACTCTGACAGAAGCCAATTGAGTCTATTAATGATATAAATGCATTACTAAGGCTGTCATTGTCAACATCCACATGAATATTAAAATCACCTACAATAATTACTTTATCTGATTTAAGGACTAAGCTTGATAGAAACTCTGAAAATTCAGATATAAAATCAGAGTACGGTCCAGGAGCGCGGTACACTATAACAAATAGAACTGGCTGCAGTGTTTTCCAGTTTGGGTGAGAAAGACTAAGAACAAGGCTTTCAAATGAATTATAATTTAGTTTAGGTTTAGGGTCCATTAAAACGCTCGAATCATATATAGCTGCTACTCCACCTCCTCGGCCTGTGCCTCGAGGAATGTGAGTATTAATATGACTGGGGGTGGATTCATTTAGACTAACATATTCCTCGTGGGACAACCAGGTCTCAGTAAGACAAAGTAAATCAATATCATAATCTGATATTAATTCATTCACTAGAACAGCTTTAGAGGACAGAGACCTGATATTTAACAGCCCACATTTCAATCAGCTTCAGTCAGATCAATAACCTTTCAATACTGACCAATCAGCTCCAGTCAGATCAATAACCTATCAATTCTGATCAATCAGTATAAGAAGGTGTGCGTTGGAGACGTCTGATAAACAGTAGTTCTAACACCCTCATGTGTTCACCCAGAGACACATGAGGGTGAACATACATCAGAGAGTGAACACATGAGGATGAACATACCTCAGAGAGTGAACACATGAGGATGAACATACATCAGTGAGTGAACACTTGAGGATGAACATACATCAGTGAGTGAACACATGAGGATGAACATACATCAGAGAGTGAACTCAGGAGAGTGAACATACATCAGAGTGAACACATGAGGGTGAACATACATCAGAGAGTGAACACATGAGGATGAACATACCTCAGAGAGTGAACACATGAGGATGAACATACATCAGTGAGTGAACACATGAGGATGAACATACATCAGAGAGTGAACACATGAGGATGAACATACATCAGTGAGTGAACACATGAGGATGAACATACATCAGAGAGTGAACTCAGGAGAGTGAACATACATCAGAGTGAACACATGAAGGTGAACATACATCAGAGAGTGAACACATGAGGGTGAACATACATCAGAGAGTGAACACATGAGGATGAACATACATCAGTGAGTGAACACATGAGGATGAACATACATCAGAGAGTGAACTCAGGAGAGTGAACATACATCAGAGAGTGAACACATGAGGATGAACATACATCAGAGTGAACACATGAGGATGAACATACATCAGAGAGTGAACATACATCAGAGTGAACACATAAGAGTGAACATAGTGAACACATGAGGATGAACATACATCAGAGTGAACACATGAGGATGAACATACATCAGAGAGTGAACACGTGAGGGTGAACATATATCAGAGAGTTAACACAGGAGAGTGAACATACATCAGAGAGTGAACACATGAGGATGAACATACATCAGAGAGTGAACACATGAGAGTTAACATACATCAGAGTAAACACATGATGATGAACATACATCAGAGTGAACACATGAGAGTGAACATACATCATAGTGAACACATGAGGATGAACATACATCAGAGTGAACACATGAGAGTGAACATACATCATAGTGAACACATGAGGATGAACATACATCAGAGAGTGAACACATGAGGATGAACATACATCAGAGTGAACACATGAGAATGAACATACATCAGAGAGTGAACACATGAGGATGAACATACATCAGAGTGAACACATGAGAGTGAACATACATCATAGTGAACACATGAGGATGAACATACATCAGAGAGTGAACACAGGAGAGTGAACATACATCAGAGTGAACACATGAGAGTGAACATACAACATAGTGAACACATGAGGATGAACATACATCAGAGTGAACACATGAGAGTGAACATACATCATAGTGAACACATGAGGATGAACATACATCAGAGAGTGAACACATGAGGATGAACATACATCAGAGAGTGAACACATGAGGATGAACATACATCAGAGTGAACACATGAGAGTGAACATACATCATAGTGAACACATGAGGATGAACATACATCAGAGAGGGAACACAGGAGAGTGAACATACATCAGAGTGAACACATGAGAGTGAACATACAACATAGTGAACACATGAGGATGAACATACATCAGAGTGAACACATGAGAGTGAACATACATCATAGTGAACACATGAGGATGAACATACATCAGAGAGTGAACACATGAGGATGAACATACATCAGAGTGAACACATGAGGATGAACATACATCAGAGAGTGAACACATGAGGATGAACATACATCAGAGTGAACACATGAGAGTGAACATACATCATAGTGAACACATGAGGATGAACATACATCATAGTGAACACATGAGAGTGAACATACATCATAGTGAACACATGAGGATGAACATACATCAGAGAGTGAACACAGGAGAGTGAACATACATCAGAGTGAACACATGAGGATGAACATACAGCATTGTGTTGTCTGTACTGTACAGTAGAGCCCCCCCCCAGGAAGAGGTTACCATCACTTTGATGCAAAGGGTGTTTCGAGCTGATCCTCCGTTGTGTTTGTTAATCGGGTCGATCTGCTGCTCTAACAGTGACTCTTGTGTTGGCAGTGGACCATGTGCTGGTGGAGCCGGGGACTAGTTTACTGTCAGCCTTTGATCAGTGGAGGGAGACTGCGGAGCAGAGGGCGTGCTGCGACTTCTGTCTCCACCTGGACGTCACTCGCTGGCACGAAGGGCTGTACGAGGAGCTGGAGACACTCGTCAAAGACAAAGGTCAGAGGTCAAAGACAAAGGTCAGAGTTTTGAGAGAGAGGTCAGAGACAAAGGTCAGAGGTCAGAGCCATTAAAGGTGGAATCAGTGGAGATAAAACTCTGCAGTGTTTGTGTTCCAGGTGTGAACTCCTTCCTCTTCTTCATGACCTTCAAAGACAAATACCAGAGCTCCGACTCTCAGGTGAAATTATTATTGTTGTTGTTTACAGTTTGCATCCATCAATGTTTTCTCTTCATTTCACTAAATCCACTTCCTGTTTTACGGGTTCAGCTCTACGAGGCATTCGGGGTCCTTCGGGATCTTGGCGCTATCGCACAGGTTCATGCTGAGAATGGTGACATCATTGACGAGGTAATACAGCTTGTCCAATGAGACAGGAGCTTTTCAGGAACAGGAAGTGAATGTTACCTTTACATTTTTTAACTGTTTTTTGTTTCAGGAACAGAAGAAGCTTCTCTGTCTCGGCATCACCGGACCTGAAGGACACGTTTTATCTCACCCTGAGGAGGTACACACACCCGTAATTACACCTGTAACACACGTAAAAACATTATCATATAACCAATATCCAGTCATATCCAGTGTGATATAAATAATATATGTTTTGGTTTATTGGAATGAACATGTGTGTTAATCACAGACTGTGTGAATAAAACTCTCCATAGTTTCAGTGACGTCACATGAAGCCTGGTTACTGCCTGTCACTCAAAGTGGCCACGCCCTTAATTCTGCGTAACTTTAAATAACTTTAATCCTATAAATATGATATAACATAATTTAAAGGAGTGAGTTGTACAGATGTTATGAACGGGGAAATGATGTGTTTAATATGGAGACTGACTCACTGCTGGAGCCTCTAGTGGACGTTAGAGAAACTGCAGGTTTTACTTCAGTGTTGGATTTGGATTTACAGCCAATTCAATTCAATTCAATTCAATTCAATTCAGTTTTATTTGTATAGTGCCAATTCGTAACAAAAGTTATCTCAGGACACAGTACCACCATGAGCAAGCACTTGGCGACAAGGGCAAGGAAAAACTGTCTGTTAAAAGGCAGAAACCTAGGACAGATCCTCCGGCTCTAGGTGGGTGGTCGTCTGTCTCGACCAGTTGGGTGAGAGAGAGAGAGACAGAGAGAGAGAGAGAGAGAGAGAGAGAGAGAGACAGAGAGAGAGAGAGAGTCCTGAGATAACTTCTGTTATGAATTGGTCCTATACAAATAAAATTGAATTGAATTGAGTTGTTAAATTCAGACATGGCATTGAATTAAACACTGATGGAATCTCTTCCTTAAATTTAGCTACAGCACTGTAGGATTCATTTAGGCTAACATACTCTTCGTGGGACAACCAGGTCTCAGTAAGACAAAGTAAATCAATATCATAATCTGATATTAATTAATTTACTAAAACAGCTTTAGAGGACAGAGACCTGATATTTAACAGCCCACATTTCATTCTCTTACTTTGTGCTACTGAGGAGTTGGTTTTAATTTTTATTAGATTTTTATGTTGAACTCCTCTTGTTTTTATTTCTTTAAATAATTTAGGTGGTCGGGGGACAGACACAGTCTCTATGGGGGTTTTGGGTGGGTGACTGTTCTAATGGAAGAGCAGAGAAGTGTGTAAGACAGCAGCTCTGCTTCCTGGTCCTAATTCTGGGTTGTCAGGTTTTAGAAATAAACTTCGCCATATTGCTAGATAAGAGAGCCGCTCCATCCAAAGTGGGATGGATGCCGTCTCTCCTAATTCAATTCAATTCAATTCAATTTTATTTGTTTAGCACCAATTCATAACAGAAGTTATCTCAGGACACTTTTCAAATAGAGCAGGTCTAGACAGAACTCTTTAAAACATTATTTACAGAGACCCAACAGTACCACCATGAGCAAGCACTAGGTGACAAGGGCAAGGAAAAACTGCCTGTTAAAAGGCAGAAACCTAGGACAGATCCTCCGGCTCTAGGTGGGTGGTCGTCTGTCTCGACCAGTTGGGGTGAGAGAGAGAGAGAGAGAGAGAGAGAGAGAGAGAGAGAGGGAGAGAGAGAGACAGACAGACAGACAGGTGCACAGCAACAACAGTATTGGCAATGGCAATCTAGCAGGACCATGGCAGGAGGCTCCACCAGGATCGATAAGAACCTGCGAAACGAGAAAGCACAAGAACTCCGGGGAAGAAGTGAAGTTAGTAACATGCATTAATGGGACATGAATGAGTGCAGAAAGAGAGAGGAAGGGAGGAGCTCAGTGCACCATGGGAAATCCCCCGATAGTCTAGGCCTATAGCAGCATAACTAAGGGATGGTTCAGGACTCACCTGATCCAGCCCTAACTATAAGCTTTATCAAAGAGGAATGTCTTAAGCCTACTCTTGAACACAGGAGAGGAGCTTGGTAACTGAAGGCTCTGGCTCCTGTTCTACTTTTAGAGACTATAGGAACCACAAGTAGCCCAGCATTCAGAGAACGTAGTGTTCTAGAGGGGTAGTAGGGTACTATGAGCTCTTTAAGATATGAAGGGGCCTGACCATGAAGAGCTTTGTAGGTGAGGAGGAGGATTTTAAATTCTATTCTACATTTTACAGGGAGCCAGTGCAGAGAAGCTAGTACAGGAGAGATGTGATCTCTTTTTCTAGTTCCTGTCAGTACTCGGGTTAGGGTTACTAATCAGACCAGGTTTTCCCCAAAAAGGCCGCCAGTTATCAATGAAGCCCACATCGTTTGCTGGACACCACCTCGACAGCCAGCGGTGGAATGACGACATGCGGCTATACATGTCATCACTGGTCACATTTGGCAGGGGTCCAGAGAAAACTACGGAGTCTAACATTGTTTTAGCATAATTACACACCGACTCCACATTAATCTTAGTGACCTCCGACTGGCGTAAACGGGTGTCATTACCGCCGACGTGAATAACAATCTTACTATATTTACGTTTATCTTTAGCCAACAGTTTTAAATAGGATTCAATGTCGCCCGCTTTGGCCCCAGGGATACATTTAACTATGGCCGCTGGCTTCGCTAACTTCAAGTTTCTGACTATGGAGCTGCCAATAACCAGAGTTGGTTCCTCAGCGGGTGTATCGCTGAGTGGGGAAAATGTATTAGAAACATGAATGGGTTGGTAATGACCTGTGGGCTTCGGTGTTTTAGTCTTCCTTCGCTCAGTCACCCAGCCTCCCTGTCTTCCCGGCTGCTCGGGAACTACCGGGGGAACTACCGGGGGATCTACCGGGGGACGGCTAGCAGAAGCTACCTTCGATCGGCCCGCACCGGCTACTGGGGGCTGGCTAACTATAGCGGCTAGAAATACTTCTGTGGTGTGGTACCGTTCCTCTAATTCACTAAGCCTCGCCTCCAGCGCAGTAAATAAACTACACTTAATACAGGTACCATTATCATTAAAGGAGGCAGAGGAATAACTGAACATCTGACACACTGAGCAGGACAGAGCAGAGGGAGAAGCCATAGCTAACTGCTAATGCTAATGAAGCTAGCGTGTGTGAAAACTTTTGAAAATAGCGGAAAGTCACTAAAAGAAGGAGAAACTCCGAGTGTTTTAGGTAGAACTAGTCTACGATTAAACGTTAAGCGGGAAAATAACCGCTGTAACGAGTAAAACTAATTTAGATTTAGCATTCACTGACAGAGCTACAGCACCAAACAGTGTACACAGAGCAGGAAGGAAACCGGAAATGAGTCAGTACGCTTACCGTAGCATGTCAGCACATCAACAACAATATCATGCTGTATCACTTAGACATCAGGACCAATGAGGTTGCTGATTGTGTATTACTGATGTGTTTGTGTTACATTTCAGGTGGAAACGGAGGCAGTTTATCGGGCCATTACCATTGCCAAACAGGCCAACTGTCCGCTGTATGTTACCAAGGTGATGAGCAAATCTGCTGCTGATGTCATCGCCAAAGCCAGGAAGAAAGGTGACATCATCATCCTCATCTGTTCTTTAAAGTATATTTCTTGGCTTTTATTGCGTTTATTGTAGTGACAGCTGAAGATAGACAGGAAAGGGGGGCAGAGAGAGAGGGGATGACACGCAGCAAAGGGCCGCAGGTCGGATTCGAACCCAGGGCCGCTGCAGCAAGGACTCAGACTCGGTACATGGGTCACCAGCTCTACTTGGCGACAAGGTCAAGGAAAAACTGCCTGTTAAAAGGCAGAAACCTCAGACAGATCCTCCGGCTCTAGGTGGGTGGTCGTCTGTCTCGACCAGCTGGGGTGAGAGAGAGAGAGAGAGAGAGAGAGAGAGAGAGAGACAGAGACAGAGACAAAGGTGCACAGCAACAACAGTAGCAACAACTACACTAACAGTAGTGACTGATGATGATGATGATGATGATGATGATGATGATGACTACAACGGCAACAATGATGGGGGACAATGAGCCAGGGGTTGGCATGCTTAGGACCCGCCCTGACTGCTGCCCAACTGACAGTGCACCCAATCACAGCGCCGATCCCTGCAGGTGGTCCGTCCTAGTAACTCTTTTGGGGGGTGCCTGGACTCCCCCCCATACTCCCCTTTCTCATCTCCGAGGGATGTACGAACCCCTCCACTAGAGTATGGTGGAATTCTTGTTGTAGTTTAAACAAACCCGTTTCTGTCATCAGGTATTGTGGTGTATGGGGAGCCAATCACAGCCGGCCTGGCCACTGACGGCTCTCACTATTGGTCCAAAGACTGGGCCACAGCTGCTGCCTTTGTCATGAGCCCGCCTATCAACCCTGATCCTTCAACTCCCCTGTACCTGACCTCTCTGTTAGCATGGTTAGTATCATGTAGCATGGTTAGCATTAATGTAGTTTCTCCTTTCACTTCAACAATACAGGTGTCCCCGGTGAATCTGACAGGTGCTTGTATGTGTTTTTTTCCAGTGGAGATCTCCAGGTGACATCCAGCGCTCATGCAAGCTTCTCCACAGCTCAGAAAGCCGTCGGTAAAGATGATTTCACTCTGATCCCAGAGGGAACCAATGGGATCGAGGAGAGGATGTCAGTGGTGTGGGACAGAGCTGTGGTAATGTGTCTCCATACCATGAATCATACAAATGTGGATATCGAAAGGTACTTTCTCACCTCCACACAGCTGACCAATCACAGATTGCAGTTCCAGAGAGTTTCAGAATATGTCAAATGGTGACAGCCTCAGAAATTCTTCCAATGAGCTCCAAATGTGAGGGTTACATATTTTAAATGAGTGAACAAGTGCTCTGGTATGACATCTGAATACAGTGTCCAGGCATTGGTTTCAGGGTGGCTGTGGCTCAGAGGCAGAGTGGGTCATCAACTAATCGGACAGTTGTTGATTCGATCCCAAGCTCCTCCTGCTGCATGTCGAAGTGTCCCTGAGCAAGACACTGAACGATGTGCTGCGTCATCGTAGTGTGAATGTGAATGAATAAGTTAGTTTCTGTTTGATGGGCTCTGCTCACTGTGTGAATGTGTGAAAGGGAGAATGTGGCTGTAGTGTAAAAGCACTTTGAGTGGTCGGAATACTAGAAAGGAAACTATACAAATACAGTTCATTTACCAAGAACAGGATGAAGTTCACATGTGGTGACTGCTTGTGAGTCTTTCTCACATATATCTTCACTGTGTCTCTCTGCAGTCTACGGGGAAGATGGATGAGAACGAGTTCGTCGCTGTAACAAGCACCAATGCTGCTAAACTCTTCAACATTTACCCACGTAAAGGTATCACATCCAACTACTAAAGATAAAGTTAAATTTGAACATCCATCTCTGGAACGTCCATGCCACAGTGATCCAAATAACCAGTACCAGTTATATCTGCAGTGCAGTAGACTGATGTTAGCGGTAGACTGATGTTAGCGGTAGACTAATGTTAGCGGTAGACTGATTCAATTCAATTCAATTCAATTTTATTTGTATAGCGCCAATTCATAACAGAAGTTATCTCAGGACACTTTTCAAATAGAGCAGGTCTAGACCGAACTCTTTATAACATTATTTACAGAGACCCAACAGTACCACCATGAGCAAGCACTTGGCGACAAGGGCTGTGGAACCAGCTTCCAGTTGTGGTTCTGGGAGGCAGACACCCTCTCCACATTCAAGAGTAGGCTTAAGACATTCCTCTTTGATAAAGCTTATAGTTAGAGCTGGATCAGGTGAGTCCTGAACCATCCCTTAGTTATGCCGCTATAGGCCTAGACTATCAGGGATTTCCCATGGTGCACTGAGCTCCTCTCTTCCTCTCTCTTTCTGCACTCATTCATGTTCCATTAATGCATGTTACTAACTTCACTTCTTCCCCGGAGTTCTTGTGCTTTCTCGTCTCGCACGTTCTTATCGATCCTGGTGGAGCCTCCTGCCATGGTCCTGCTAGATTGCCATTGCCAATACTGTTGTTGCTGTGCACCTGTCTGTCTGTCTGTCTGTCTGTCTGTCTGTCTGTCTGTCTGTCTGTCTGTCTCTCCCTCTCTCTCTCTCTCTCTCTCTCACCCCAACTGGTTGAGACAGACGACCACCCAAGTAGAGCCGAAGGATCTGTCCTAGGTTTCTGCCTAGGCAGTTTTTCTGATGACTCAGACTGATGTCAGTGGTAGACTGATGTTTCTGTCCTCTGTGTGTTTAGGACGGATCGCTGTAGGATCTGATGCTGATGTTGTCATCTGGAACCCAAAGGAGACACAAACTGTTTCTGCAAAGACTCACAACCTGGTAATAACACATCGATCCTCATCATCCATAATCAAATTCATCATCATTCATCATAAACTGATCTTCCTCCTCACCATGCTGCCTGTCTGTGCACAGACGCTGGAGGTGAACATCTTGGAGGGTTTGGAGTTTCGAGGCGTGCCATCAGTGGTGATCAGTGGTGGTCGAGTTGTTCTGGAGGACGGAAAACTCAACGTGACTGAAGGTTCAGGGCGCTTTGTCCCCAGGAAGGCTTTTCCCGACATGGTCTACAAGAGGATCAGAGCCCGCAGCAAGGTAACTAACCAACTGGTTAATCAGGAAACTATCTGCGCTCTGTTGACCAATCCCTGCGCTCTGTTCACCAATCCATGTGCTTGGTTTACCACTCTGTGTGCTATATCAATATATAGCGGCTAGGGGCCCCACAGGGGTCATATGACCCCTGTGGGGCCCCTAAATCTCAGAACAAGGACCAGCGTTGGCAGCTGGTAACCAGTGAGTTGTTTATAGGCCAACAGGTAACAACTAACAGGTTCAGTGTCGAGTTGGTGAATCAGTTAACTCAGCGGTCCGCAACCTTTTTTGCGCCACAGACCGGTTTCATGTTAGACAATATTTTCACGGACCTGCCTTCAATGTGTGGGCGATAAATAGGACGAAATAAAATGATACGGTTATTTTTCAAAATAAAACATATTTCAGACTCTGATCATCAATAAAATATTTATTTATTTTTCTGTGCGGCCCGGTACCAAATGACCCAGTGGTTGGGGACCGCTGAGTTAACTGATCGATTAGTCCATTTGGAGGTTGTTTAGTTTTTCTCTCCTCGTCTCAGATGGCCGAGGCCCGAGGCGTCCCCCGTGGAAACTATGATGGTCCGGTTCATGATGTCATCAGTATGACTAAATCTATCCCACCCACTCCGACCACCAGGGGGCCACCATGTCCGAAAACCCAGACCTGCCTCCGAAACCTCCACCAATCAGGATTCACCCTGGCAGGTACACACACACCCGTATCTGCACTATTCTGATCAATAATCTGATCAGCTACAGCTGAGTTGCATTCTGGGTAAGCACTCTGTAATTTGGACCACGTACAGCAGCTGAGTTATTAACGTCACTCTTCTTCTGCTCTCCAGGAGCTCAGGTTGATGACCACATACCGCGCCGCTCCACTCAGAGGATTGTGGCACCGCCTGGTGGACGCTCCAACATCACATCCTTATCTTAAACAGTACTACAACAGTACTACAACAGTAGTACTTCATCTACTACTGAACCCTATTGCAACCTTACAAACCCTATAACAGTAGTACTTCAGGTAGTACCAAACCCTACAAGTGCTAAACCCTAAAAAACCCACCTGCTAGTACTGAAGTCAACAACAGTTTTACTTCAACTAATACGAAATGTTACAACAATGGCAGTACAACCCCACAACAAATATTTTTTCCTACACCTACTGTTTAACCCTGATGCAGTAGTACTTCAACTAGTACTAAACCCTACCACAAACCCGAAAATATTACTATACCCGGCAACAATGGTACTTCAATTCTAGAATACTACAAAACCTACAAACACCTAACAAGTAGTATTACATCTTAGAACAGATTTACTCCAACTAATACTGAATTTTAAAACAACACTACAAGTACTTTATCCTACAACTACTACTAAGTCCTATTACAGTAGTACTTCAACTAGTACTAAACCCTAAAACTAGAACTACATTTTTGAATAATAATATTAAAACTAGTGCTATACCCAACAAAAACCCTACAACTAGTAAAAAAATAAGTACATTATCCTATAACTACTCGTTACCGCTGTGGTCGACACCCTAACCCTGTACGCTTAACTTTGATCTAGTCTTAATCCTATTACAGTAGTACTTCAACTAGACCTAAAAAACCCTACAACTAGTACTAAACCTTGCAACAATGGTACTACAACCCTACAAATACTACTAAATCTTATACCTACTGTGCTCCGCTAAAGTAGTACTAAATGTTACAACAGTGGTATTTTAACAAGTACTAAATGTTGTTGGTCTGGTTCTTGGAATCATGTGAAGTACTCTAATTCTTACACGTGTACTCATCAACATTTCATTTCATTTGTCCTAAAACTTCTGATAAAGGCAGCAGCAGCAGTAGTAGTAGTAGTAGTAGTAGTATTATAATATAAAAGTGTATCATACTTCCTGTTTCCTTTTATTAACAGTACAGTCGTGTTCATCTGAAGACAAACTGTTTACCACCAGTACACTTTTCAAACTGGGTTAACTGGTTTTCTTTGTTAGAGCTTGTAACCTGTTGTGGCTGGTTGTTTCCAGATATTTCCAGATGTTGTGTTTTTTGAAAGCTGTCCTCATCAAGCTACTTCTTCCATTATTTCCATAAACTCATTCTGCTCATTGTAAATGAAACTCATATTGTCCTGAATTCACTGTAGGCATTAATAATATCAATAATACTTCTTGACTAATTTAAGGTCATTGATAATGTTGTGTCAGTCTCAGTCTGAACCACTATGAGACCTTTATATGAATATAAACCTTCAGCAGTCTGTGGTAGAGTAATAAGTGTTTCTATTGGACTGCAGGGTTCGTCCTGTCAGTGTCTTTTACTTATTAATCAAATAATAAATGAATGCAAACCAGAATTCAACTTTCACACTAACACAATTAGACTTTTTGTGAACTTGAACTGATAAATGGTGCTAATAATTCCAGCGGTAGCCTGCAAGTAGCAATCCCTTCAATACCACGCCCTCTACAGATGTAAACAAAGTACACCCAGAATATCAGAAAATGGTATCATAAGATCCTGATACTGGATTCTAATGTAAACTACTCAGTGATTCTCCTGCTGGCCCCGCCCCCCAAGAAACACTTCAGCCCCACCAAATATAAAACACGAGGAGGACGCGATCTGTCAGCAGATGTAGCTTCATGTTCATTACTGAACATTTTATATAACACATATAACATTATGCAATCCCTGTGCTTTGTTTACCACTGCCACATGTGTACGACGGAGGTCTGAGGTCTGGGGGTCTTTGTGATCGTTCCCATTGAGATGCATCACTACGTTGGTGGTCGCTTCAAAAGTGTTTTGGCAAAAGTCATCGGGGGAAACGGCTGCGCGGCGCCAGGCATACCACAACATAGAACGACAACAGCAGCGATGTGTGTCCTCTGGGAAAAGTGGCGGTATCACAAATATTGATCCATCCCTGGTCTGACAACATCTATCGTGACCTCTGACCTCTGACCCTGCCTGTAAAGAAGGCTTTTTCAGACCCCTCCCCGTCCTGCTCTGTGACCTCTGATGACCCCTGAAGGGATTTTTAACAGTGTTCTCAATTTTTAAAGGCTTCACTTGAAACAATGACGGTTTTGTATTTTTTACAGTTTTTGTATCCTGGCCGTGTTAGCATCAGTCCAACACGGTCCAGCCACAGCGCAGCCCACGGCAGCCATGTTGGTGCGACGCTGTCGCTATGGAAACAGGATATACATTCACAAAGATGTTTGTGAACAAACAGTAGTTTAAAATTTAGAGAGCCTGATGATCAGATTGATACCACTCATGTCTGTACGGTAAATGTGAAGCCATAGGCATCAGATGGTTAGCTTAGCACACTGCTAGACCGTACAGATTCAGATCCAACATGGCGGCACTGTTCCTGTAGCAGTTGTTGTTTTTCTGTCCTCTCAGATGCTCTGGAGCCAACATGGAGAACAAACTCTTTGTGTTCGCAGTGATCGTGTGCAGACATGGCAGTGTGTATATGAGGAGGCGTTACCGTGGCGATGGTGCATCTGTTGTTCTTGTGGTTGTTGTTCCTGTAGTGAATGTAAAACCAGTTGTAATGAAAGCTGCATGAATAAAGTTTGAAGAGAAAGCCAGTGTCATTTTATTTCTATTCATCAATATCTAAAGATGGTATGAGAAATCATTCAATAATAAGAATTGATTCATTCTTTATTATTATTATTTATTTATTTAACAGTATACTGAGGACAATTCTGATTCTGAACAGATCAATCCATTTATTTACTGACAACCCCCCCACCCCCCTCCCTGACCCTTAAATTCATATGTTAATGAGATCATCGTCGTTTGAAAAACACGTGCTGAAACAGCTGCGGTGATGACGTCAGCACCAATAGGAGGAGCAGCCGAGGTCACGTGGACAAATGAAGGCAGCAGCTGATGAGTTTCCGCTTCACTTCAACCAGGTGAGTTGGTTTCATAGCTGTTTACCTGTTTACCTGTTTGATTCACTCACTGAGCTGTATCAATATCTGTGATCATTGATAATTGATAATTGATCAGTGTAAACTGCTGACTGCAGCTGAACATCGTCAATCTGCTGTAAAACTAATATCCGCGAAACCAGTTTAAAGGTTCGGATCAGAGTCCGTCAGGATCCGGTAATGTGAGGAGGAGGAGGGGGGGGTTGACTGTCGGCTTCATCATGAACTCAGGACGATGTTTAAAGTTTCCTTATCAAATAGCGTAGCTGATTTTTATTTTATGTCATCAGTGCAACGTTCAGTGCACGTGTCACTCTAAACAGTCACGTGATTAATCAGATGTAGAATCAGGTGATCAATAAATACAGATCAATTGACTTATTTGTATAGCGCCAATTCATAACAAAAGTTATCTCAGGACACTTTTTAAATAGAGCAGGTCTAGACCGAAAAGAAGAACTCCACTGCTGTATAAATACACATCAATACACACACATACACATATATATATATATATATATAATAAATATTCTCATATAAAGTTTATATGAGGATGAAGTCTGTTCACTGTTATTATAAACAGAGTTTATAATAAAACTATAATATATATATATATATATATTCTATAACATAACATTTTTTTATATATAGTCTATAACATATTTTATGTATACATATATATTCTATAATGTATTATAATTGACAGTATGTTTCAGTTCAATGTGCCGATGACAGGATTATAATGTTGTTCAACCAGATCAATAATGTTATTAATATAATAATCCAACATCATATCATCAGGGGGACGTTATTTTAAAATGTAATCTGATTACCTGATTACAATATCAAAGTAACGTGTATACTTTCTGTTACTTTTGGATTACTGTAAAGACAAAAATAAAAAGTGTGTTTCAGCTGGATGAGAACAGGAAGCCTCAATGACACTACCACAATAAGAGTGTGTTTCAGCTGGATGAGAACAGGAAGCCTCAATGACACTACCACAATAAGAGTGTGTTTCAGCTGGATGAGAACAGGAAGCCTCAATGACACTACCACAATAAGAGTGTGTTGCAGGTGGAGGAGGGGGTGAGGTGGACGGTGATGGGGGAGTCTCGGCTCATCGTGGAGGAGCTGCTGGCTCTGTGTCTGCAGAGGATCACAATGGAGGAGAACGCTGTCCACACCGAGCAGGGTGAGACCGGATAGTTTTTAAATGTTTTTCTTTTTTATAATAAAAATCAAAGAGAACTTGTTCCAGTGAGAATGAAATCGCACTGTTTGGAGGGTCAATGTGAGACGTCGCACACGTCGGCATCTTCACAGCTAGAAATGAGGAAATGAGTTTGACTTATGACACGTGCAGAAACCAAACACGATTGGTTGAATTTGAGTTAATTGTTGCGATCGCAGCTTCCTGGAGGGACTGAGGAGAGTCCAGAGTTTCTGACTGTATGTTTTTAATTCAGTTAAAAGGAATTAAAGATTAAACTGTAGTTAAACAGGAAGCTGGCGGAGGACAGACAGGAAGTGGATGAGGGTGGGTCTCAGTGTGAGGATGTGTTTGTGCTGCTCTCTCAGATGTGGTTGAGGTGGTGAAGAACTTTGAGTCGGTCAGGAAGCGGTGGCTGCACGCTGAGCTGGAGCTCAAGAAGTACAAAGAGCTGCTGGTGAAGTCCGACGTAGCCAAAGCTGCTCTGGAGGTCAAACTGAAACACGCCCGCAACCAGCTGGACGTGGAGATGAAGAAACGCTACAAGATCGAAGGCGACTATCAGTACCTGGTGAGTTCACCAGAGAGTCTGTAAACCAGATTCTGTTCAACCTGAACTCTTCATGTTCATCATCATCAGTCACTACTATTAGTGTAGTTGTTGCTACTGCTGTTGCTGTGCACCTGTCTGTCTGTCTGTCTGTCTCTCAATTCAATTCAATTCAGTTCAAATGGCTTTATTGGCATGACGTAACACTGCACATATTGCTAAAGCAAGCGTTTGGAATTAAAATAATAATAACAATAAAGGAAAACAATATTTACAATAAATGAATTATAATCTATACTGTTGGTAATACTGTAACTATGATTGACTCAATTACAATCACAGTCACAATCAATCAATCTCAGTCAATAAGTAATTAATTACAATCAATCAATCAATCAGTTTGTGTCAACTACAAATGTCATTAAAACAGTAGTAAAGTAACTACAGTTAAAACAAGTAGTCTGTTGTCAATATAACAGTAATAACAAATTATTAAATATAATATATATATATAATATTGAAATATTAAAATAAAATAGATAGATAAAACTGTAAGTGTGTGTGTGTCTGTGTGTGTGTGTGTGTGTGTGTGTGTGTGTGTGTATATATATATATTAAAAAACAACAATAAAACAATCAATTATTTTATACATTTATCTGAGTTTCCACTGGTTGTCCTCAGTTCGTGGCATGAGGAGACATATTTTGCTGCAATAATTTGACTTTTGGGCATTTCTCCCAGTAAATAGGGGAGTTTCTGTGTGTCTGATAATAATTTGAATTCGGGGTATATTTGGGAAATGTTTGTGAATTGTTTTTCTCTTAAAGTTTTGAATTTAGGGCATGAGGTTAGAAAGTGCAGCTCTGTCTCTACCTGTCCTCTGTCACACTGGGAGCAGAGTCTCTCCTCTTCTGGTAGCCAGTTCTGTCTGTGGTGACCCGTTTCTATGGCCAGGCTGTGTTCACTCAGTCTGTACATTGTCAACATTTTTCTTAATTTAGGACATTTTATTGTGATCAGGTAATTTGCCAGTGTGAATTCTCTTTTTAGGGTCAGATAACATTGTAATTTACTTTGTGATTTGGTCGTTTCTTTCCAGTGTTCAATATATTTTCTTTTTGCTTGTTGATAATTTGGTTTGGTCTGATTGAGTTGGTGTTGCTGTCCTGAGGCTGTTGGGGACATGTTACTGCAGAGAGCCTCAGGACCAGCTGGCTGAGGGGACTCTTCTCTGGTTTCAGCTCCTGGTATGTTAGGGCTTTGTGATGGTATGTCTGGGGGTTAACTGATTTTAAGTGATTGTAAAATTGAATTGATCTTTTCTGTATTTTTAGTAGGAGGGGGTATTGGCCGAGTTCTGCTCTGCACAGATTATTTGGTGTTTTTCTCTGCACCTACAGGATGCTCTTACAGAACGGTGTGGAAAGATTCTATGATTGTTTTGTCCCATTTTTCGAATACATTATTAAGTTTTGGTCCCCAAATTTCGCTGCCATATAGAATTATTGGTTCTAATTCAAATTGGAAAATTTTAAGCCAGATTTCAATTGGAATATAGATTTTAATGTTTGTCTTTATTGCATAGAAAGCTCTCCTTGCTTTGTCCCTCAGATCTTTCACAGCCATGTTGAGGTTTCCTGTGTATGTAATGTTGAGGCCAAGGTAAGTGTAATTTTTTGTATGTTGTAATTTAGTGGTGTCTAAATAAAAATTGTGTGTAACCAGATTTTTATATTGTTGTCTTATTGTTTCTAAAAGATCATTATCTTAGTCTTTGCTGTGTTTACTGTCAGGGCCTAGGTCTGACAAAATCTCTGCAGGAGATTAAGGTGCTGCTGCAAACCTTCTTTAGTAGCTGAAAGCAACACTAAGTCAAAAGTCCCTCGTGCCAGATGGAATCAAAGGCTTTTTTGAAGTCAACGAAACATGCATATACCTTTCTTTTCTTCATTTTTAATTCTTGATCAATTAAAGTCTGGAGGGTAAATATATGGTCCGTTGTGCGGCAATTTGGCAAGAAGCCAATTTGGCAATTATGCAGAATATTGTCATCAAGAAAGTTGACAAGTCGTTTATTAATGATGTTGCAGATATATTGCTATATATTTTGCAATATTTTTCCCAGGTTACTGGAGACACATATTCCTCTGTAGTTATTTGGATCATATTTATTTTCGGATTTATGAATTGGGGTTATTAAACCTTTGTTCCAGATGTCTGGAAAAGCTCCAGTTGACAGAATAGTATTGAATAGTTTTAGTATAGCCAATCTGATTTTATGGTCTGAGAATTTGATCATTTCGTTGATTCCATCAATACCACAAGCCTTTTTTCCTTTCAGGGACTGGATGACTTCTGTTAATTCTTGTTCTGTTACTGGGTGATCTAGAGGGTTTTGGTTGTTTTTTTATCACCGCCTCCAGAGTTTTCCATTTCGTGAATATCTTGTACTGATCATCATTTTTTGTAATATTACTGTATAATTCACTAAAGTGAATAATCCAAATATTTCCATCTTGGATCGGCAATTCATCCTGCTGGGTTTTGTTTAGGTTGTTCCATTTCTCCCAGAAATGGTTGGATTCGAGGGATTCCTCAATTTCACAGAGCTGGTTCTTGCTGTGTTGTTCTTTCTTTGTTTTTAGGGTGTACTTGTATTGTTTCAGAGTTGCCTCATATTGACAGCGTATGTTGTGGTTATCTGGGTCTCTATGCTTTTCATTTGATAATTCCTTAAAGTTTTCCTTAGGTTTTTGCATTCAGTGTCAAACCATTGTTCATTTGTTGAGATTTTGGTTTGGAGGCTTTCAAATTAGACAATCGAGACAATAGAAATGATGAAAAATGGAATTGATTTTGTCCACAGCAGAATTTACACCATCTCTCTCTCACCCCAACTGGTCGAGGCAGACAACCACCCACCTAGAGCCAAAGGGTCTGTCCTAGGGTTCTGCCTCTTAACAGGCAGTTTTTCCTTGCCCCCGTCGCCAAGGTCTTGCTCATGGTGGTACTGTTGGGTCTCTGTAAATAATGTTATAAAGAGTTTGGTCTAGACTTGCTCTATTTGAAAAGTGTCCTGAGATAACTTCTGTTATGAATTGGCGCTATACAAAAAAAATTGAATTTAATTGAGGACTGTTGTTCTGATCTGTGACGGTTCCTAGCAGAGACAGATGCAGCTCATGTGTGACATCCTGGTCCACGACAGTAAATCCAGCGCCTGTCTGAACGACGAACAGAAATCTCTGCTGGCGACGTTTGAACACAAAGGAGCAAATGTGACTCTGCACAGGAGCAACAAACGGTAAGAGACCATCAATAAAGCCTCGGTCACACTGCAAGACTCAATGTCAGACAACCTGATCAGCCTTTAGCAGTTAGCTAGTGTTTCTGTAGAGGAGATAAAATGTTAACAATGATCCATATCAGCAGTTTGAATCCAACTAAAAGCTCCCTGCACCAAACCCCCTTTAAGAAATATCACATTTTAACAATTCCTAACGTGTTCGTAACAACACGTAACTCTAGAAACACGAGCTAAAGGCCGTCATATGTCCACAGTCTGACTGTCAATACAGGATCAATATCATCCATAAAGATACAGTGTATTCTGATCAATATGATTGATTATTGAATGTTCTTTCAGGCTGTGTGTGATTGACGAGTCATCGTTCCTGTCTCACTCTGATATCAGCTATGATCGGACAGATGATGACATGGTACGTTAATGAAAGTGACACAGCAGAATTACACTGTATTAAAGTCTGCTGGTTCTTACATTAGACATATATTTTAACATATAAACTCTTTCACAGGTTTTCTTTCTCAATGTAAAAACAGAGAATATATGTTAATATGTAAAGTTTCTGTTGTCTCATTCATTCAACATGAATCTCAACATTAAAACCTTGATAATAATCATTAAAGTTTGTTGTTCCAGGATCTGGACACGACTGTGATTAAACCTCTGAGATCACGAGCCAGAGAGAAGAGGGTAAGAGACCGAATCAAGATGGCTGCCTAGGGCTGTTGGTGCACATTGTTTTGGTGGTGATACCTGGACCTCTTTCACCAAAGACCAGCTCATGAACACCAGGGACGAGTTGCATCAGGTGGTCTTTACTGGTCCTAATTGCTGAGTCAGTCTTTGTTAAGACCAGTCTGTAGAATGGACCAACCAAACTTAATCCAGGTCTGACCTACACCGGTCTAAGCGATGTGTGTCCAGGATAGCAGTGTGCGTTGCTAGCTTACATTGCTAACAGTCTGTGTAGCAGCGTGCTAGAGGACCAGAGAAAAGGAAAAGGCAGTTTCATGGAGGTAATAAAACAAACAGCAGTCGACTTGACCCAGACAAACTCTTTCAGCCACTCCCCTCCAGTATGAAGCTGCGGTCCATCAGGACCAGAACCTCACGGTGTTGGGGACCAATGTACCAAAGTGAAGACTTCCTCGTTGTAAAACCTGATTCTGATGTTCTGTTGGTTCTCTGCAGCGCTCGTCGATGGGCCCGGGTGTCTGCGGTCCGGTTGGGAAGCGAGGGAGAGGCGGGAACGTGTCTGCGGAGTTGTTGGAGAGAAAAACTGTGGAAAAGGTGAACAGCTGGGTGAAAAGACTGTGAATATTCAGTGTGTATCTGTGGGACCCACACAGGACATTAATGTTTCTGTTGTGAACAAATCTGAAGTTGGGTTTGTTTCTGACTCAGGAGGTGGAGACGATAGTGAAAGCATCGGTGTCGACTCCAGAGACCGGAGCTCAGATCCACATGGTGGTGGGAATCACACAGGAGACTCCCGAAAACCCGCCCCGGACCGTCACCCAGGAGTGCTCTATTTCAGTCGGAGGAGGAGGAGGTAAGTTTAAAACATTATTTATCTCTATGTATTATTTCCATAAATATATCTCCATTTTGGAATCTGTGTCTCAGAAAGCCAGTCGTGCACGAATCAGAAGGTTGGCGGTTCGATTCCCGGCTCCTCTCGCAGCATTTTGAAGTGTCCTTGAGAAAAATACTGAACCCTAAACTGCTCCTGGTGCCGAACCCCTGTGTGAATGGATGAATGTGGAGCAGAAGAGCGGTCAGAAGACTACAAGTACAGTCCATCTACCAATCAGACAATATGTTCTACAAGCTTTGCAGTAATGTTAGCTTTGACTTTGGACTCTGTGTTGTGGGTGTGGATCATTTGTAGACTTTAGCGGACTCCATTTATAAGCTAACGTTAGCTAGTGTTGCACACTGTTGACAATGTAGGGAAGCGGAGAGAGAAGCATAAAGGTTACATCCTCTGGATTTTCACAGAAGATACACAGAACAAGAAACAAGCCCTCACACACACTTCTGTTAAAATGTGTGTGAGAGAGAGAGAGAGAGAGAGAGAGAGAGAGAGAGAGAGAGAGAGACTACTCTACTCTTGAATGTGGTGAGGGTGTCTGCCTCCCGAACCACAACTGGAAGCTGGTTCCACAGGAGAGGAGCTTGGTAACTGAAGGCTCTGGCTCCTGTTCTACTTTTAGAGACTATAGGAACCACAAGTAGCCCAGCATTCAGAGAACGTAGTGTTCTAGTGGGGTAATAGGGTACTATGAGCTCTTTAAGATATGAAGGGGCCTGACCATGAAGAGCTTTATAGGTGAGGAGGAGGATTTTAAATTCTATTCTACATTTTACAGGGAGCCAATGCAGAGAAGCTAGTACAGGAGAGATGTGATCTCTTTTTCTAGTTCCTGTCAGTACTCGTGCTGCAGCGTTCTGAATTAATTGGAGCGTTTTAATGGACTTATTGGGGCAACCTGATAATAAAGAGTTGCAGTAATCCAGCCTTGAAGTAACAAATGCATGGATTAGTTTTTCTGCATCTGTCTGTGATAGTATGTGTCTGATATTTGTAATATTACGTAAATGAAAGAAGGCAGTCCTAGAGGTCTGCTTTATGTGGGAGTTAAATGACAAATCCTGATCAAAGATAACTCCAAGATTCCTGACAGTGGTGCTAGAGGCCAAGTTAATGCCATCTAGAGTAACTTTATCTTTAGACAGTAATTCTCTGTTGTTTTTTTACATCAGTTTAACATCAGAAAATTGCAGCTCGTCCTTAAGACATGTTTGTAACTTAGATAACTGATTCATTTCATTGGGCTTAATCCACAGGTATACTGTAGATTTTATATATATGTGTATCACCTGCATGACAGTGAAAGTTAATGTAGTGATTCCTAATAATATATAAAGTGAATAGAATTGGTCTAAGCACAGAACCTGGTGGAACTCCATGACTAACTGTAGTATTTACTGAAGATTCATTGTTAACATGTATAAACTGAGAACGATCTGATAAATATGACTTAAACCAGCTTAGTGCGGTTCCTTTAATGCCAATTTGATGCTCAAGTCTCTGTAAAAGAATATTATGGTCAATGGTGTCAAATGCAGCACTAAGATCTAATAATACAAGTACAGAGACAAGTCCATTGTCGGAAGCAATCAAAAGGTCATTATTAACTTTAACCAGAGCTGTCTCTGTGCTGTGATGAACTCTAAATCCTGACTGAAAATCCTCAAATAAACTATTGTTATGTAGAAAGTCACACAACTCTTTGGCGACTACTTTCTCCAGAATCTTAGAGAGGAAGGGGAGGTTAGAGATCGGTCTATAGTTGGCTAAAACCCCTGGGTCAAGAGTGGACTTTTTAAGAAGGGGTTTAATTACAGCTACTTTAAAGGACTGTGGTACATATCCTGATAATAAAGAAAGATTAATCATATCCAGTAAAGAAGTGCCAATTAAGGGTACGACTTCTTTAAGCAGCCTAGTTGGGATCGGGTCTAATAGACAGGTTGATGGCTTCGATGAAGAAATTACTGAAGTTAGTTAATGAAGATCGATAGCAGAAAAACAGTCTAAATATATATCTGATTTTACATTAGTTAAAGTTCCTAAACTTGGAGAAACAGTGATACCTGTTGAGGACATTCGGTTATTAATTTTGTTTCATAGATGAAGTATTTAAAACAGTAAAATATAGCCTCATTTATGCATTTATTTAGTCTCCAGTTGTGATTTATCAGACGTAAATCAGACGTGCTAATCTTGTTTGGCTCTTTTAGATTTTTGAATCTGAGCTGCAGTCTGTCAGTTTCATTTGCTCTTTATTTAAGTCCTAATAATGCTACTAGATGTCATCTGTTATCGTTATATCATTATGTGCAGTGTGACTGAACTGGGACATCACAATCCTTTTGAATTCAGCTTAGTCACTTCACACTCAGTCTGTGGCATTGTGTTTGTGTTCCTCAGATCAAACCTCAGTGTGGTATCCTGGTGATGAGATAGTGGCGGAGCCAGAAACTGAAGCAAAGCTGGAGGAGAGTACTGCAGTCAGAGCTTTGCTCAGAGCTGAGAAAACCATCAAACATGCTTTTCTTTCTAAAACGGTACGAAGCCACAGAGATGCACTGCTTTATGCATCAACCCTTCACAATCAGACAGCTGGCATACAGAAACCAAGATAAGAATGAAAACGAGTGGACATTGGGACTGTGTGAGGTCACGTAGTTAGAAGCTGAACTGAGTAGCATCTCCTACGTTGCAGATTAATCTCATTAGACGATAATTTCTTTTTTAAAGTCCATCCAACGTTCATGAGGGATAATGAAGTGAAGACAAACAGAAAAAAGAAATACAGCCTTTAATTCTGTACACGTTTCATTTTCAACTTCAATCTTAAAGGTTATTTATACGCCATTCACTGCCTTGCATTAGAGCAGCAGCATCTCACAGCCGCTCCCTCCCTCCAGGTCATCCGGCCTGAGACTTGCTCGCCGTGTGGTAAGAGGATCCGTTTCGGGAAGATGGCGGTGAAGTGCAGAAACTGTCGCGCAGTCGCTCATCCAGAGTGCAAACAGAAATTTACTGACGGCTGCTCCACCGCCGCCACCGCAGGAAGTTCAGCTCTACAGGTACGTCAGAGCTGTTTGTCCTTTAACCTGTCACCCGTCTGTTCGTGTGTCAGATATTGTTTCCTGTTCAGAACACGTTGGAGGGTTTTGCTCCAGCGATCCATCCCAGAGTGCCGCTGCTGGTCGTGGAGTGTGTGACAGAGATCGAGAGGAGGGGCCTGCAGGAGGTGAGTCCTACTGAGACTCTGGTCCCACTACAAGGTGTACTCTGCAGGCTCCTGTAGCTAGGTGAGCCTTCCATTCTGCAGATGGATGAAATTAGCAGTTGCTAGCAGCTAACATCAGCCAGAGGATGAATAGTTATTTCCCACAGACATTATAGAGAAGATCTTTGATCTGTGAAGGAGAGGCGTCAACTACGACTACAACAAACATCCACTAACGGCGGTGGAAGCTAAAGCTGTAACCTGCTGCCTAAATCAGACCACTTTCAACTTCAGTAACCATCTAGATTCCTCTTTCATAAGCACCAATTCATAACAGAAGTTATCTCAGGACACTTTTAAAATAGAGCAGGTCTAGACCGTACTCCTTATAACATTATTTATTTCTCCATGAAAACAGCAGCTGAGGCTTATGGGTATTGTAGTATTGAGACGCATGAAACCAGATTTCTTAGTAACAGAGCTGAACATAGTCTCCAATCCTGAGTTTCACAGCTCTGTGGAGGTCTGACCTGGACCAAGTCCAACCTGGACCCTTCTTCCTGTATTTACTTTCTGAACCAATGAGAGGATGTTTCACCTGGACTGATGCATGGTGGTTGATGTCTGTCTGTGTCTGCAGAGAGGACTGTACAGGGTTCCTGGGGGGGAGCGTCTGGTGAAGGAGCTCAGAGACCGGTTCCTTCAGGGGAAAACTCCGCTCATGCTCAGTAAGGTCTACGACATCCACGTGGTCTGTGGTCTGCTCAAGGACTTCCTCAGGAAACTGAAGGAACCGCTCATCACCTTCAGACTGCACCGGACCTTCATGGAGGCTTCAGGTACCGCTGGGACTGACGGACAAACTATTACAACCAATAAAACAATAACTGGAGGATCAATAACCCAATATCAATATAGCAGATTATCAATAACCCAATATAGTACAATATAAATTAACACTTATTAATATTGTTCATTGATCAATAATCAGTATAATGTGTTTCAGAGCTGGCTGATGAAGACAACAGTATGGCCATCTTGTATCAGGCTGTAGCAGAGCTACCAAAGGCCAACAGAGACACGCTGGCTTTCCTCATGCTCCACCTGCACAGGTACGAGTCCTCTCTTTATAAGGATAACACTGATCAATATCAATCAATAGTCCTGATGCTCCTGCTGTTTTTGTTCTACTGAACGATCGTCACTCTGGTTCGCACTGAAAGAGTCTCTGTGTGATGGGTTTGAGTCTCTCTGTGGTGGATTTGAGTGTATTGGTGGAGTGAAATGGTTCTAGTATCAAGTTGTTATTGACAGCGTCAGTTGAATGATTGTATTTATTTAATTTTGAGGGTTACGAAGAGTCCTCAGTGTCAGATGGACCAAAATAATCTGGCTCGGGTCTTTGGACCAACTATAGTTGGACATGGGATGTCTGAGCCGTCTCCAACAACCATCATGAGAGACACAAATACTCAGCCGAAGGTCTGTCTAAATATCAACAGTGAGTGGACAGTGTTGTCTTTGTATGAGTGAATATGTTTTAACATCTGAACCCTGATCAGTGTTAATGTGGACTCGTGTCCGTCAGTGGTTCATTCAGTATGTTGTTGCAGGTTATTTGCCGCCTGTTGTCCCTCCCTGAAGCCTACTGGAGACGTGTCCTCGGTCTTCAGACGGATCCAGTCTCGTCCTCCACTGCGACCTACAGCCAGGACGGTGGACATGGTGGGTTTAGAGGACTGGTCAATTCAATTCAATTCAATTCAATTTTATTTGTATAGCGCCAATTCATAACAGAAGTTATCTCAGGACACTTTTCAAATAGAGCAGGTCTAGACCGAACTCTTTAACATTAATTACAGAGACCCAACAGTACCACCATGAGCAAGCACTTGGCGACAAGGGCAAGGAAAAACTGCCTGTTAAAAGGCAGAAACCTAGGACAGATCCTCCGGCAGAAAGAGAGAGGAAGAGAGTAGCTCAGTGCACCATGGGAAATCCCCCGATAGTCTAGGCCTATAGCAGCATAACTAAGGGATGGTTCAGGACTCACCTGATCCAGCCCTAACTATAAGCTTTATCAAAGAGGAATGTCTTAAGCCTACTCTTGAATGTGGTGAGGGTGTCTGCCTCCCGAACCACAACTGGAAGCTGGTTCCACAGGAGAGGAGCTTGGTAACTGAAGGCTCTGGCTCCTGTTCTACTTTTAGAGACTATAGGAACCACAAGTAGCCCAGCATTCAGAGAACATAGTGTTCTAGAGGGGTAATAGGGTACTATGAGCTCTTTAAGATATGAAGGGGCCTGACCATGAAGAGCTTTATAGGTGAGGAGGAGGAGGTCCTCAGCATCAGGTTCACATCACTTCCTATTCTGGAGACAGGTTCTGGTTTACTGGTTTACTGGTTTGTGTCCCCAGAACGAGGACTGAGTTGTACTGGCTGGGGTGGGACCATTACAGTTGCTGTGTTTTCTGCCTCCAGATCGGTTGTTTAAGCCGCTGACGTCTCCAGAGTTGAACAACTTCTATAAAACTCCCAGCAGAGGGTCTCTGAGAGGCCGGATCAGGAACCTGGGCAACGCTATCACTAGCACGTAAGACTACAACAGACCAGGTCCGACCTTCAGTCCATTTCCAACAACTCCTGTTCAAATTATCAGAGACCAGCTAAGTCTGACCCACAGCTAGTAGTCTGAAATCAGTTTATTAAAAATAATAACAGACAAATGATTGTTCCATTCTAATGATTGATTAGTTTGATTTGATAACAACCTTCCTGAGTTTCTATCAGAGGAAACGAAACGTGAAGATGGAATCAAACTAATAAAATCAGCTCCCTTTTTAAAAAAAACCTTGAACATCATAAATAACGAGTGGCGAGCGTTCACAAAGATTCAGACTGAAGACTTTAAACAATCTGTCACCCTGTGCCTGATGGGTAATTGAGTCCTGATCAATGTCAGCTTGTGACTGGACTTCATGTTTCTAATGTCTCTTCTCTCCTGTTTGTTTGTTTGTTTTCTCTCTTCAGTGGTCGTGTTGAACCAGGACGGAGGTTCTTCACGTCACCCAGCTGATCCACAAATGCACTACACACACTACACAGTGTGTACTACACAAATCCACATACTTTACTTATTTATACCAACAGGAAATGATGTAACCTGTTGGGGTAAAGAGTGAATACGTTGCTCCTCTGTTTACTCTGTGCATTGCATTGTGGGAGACGTCCGTGTTTCCATCAGATGTTTGTTTACTGAAGAATATGAATATAAGTGATATTAAGGATTGTGAATAAAATGATGTGACTGTTTTAAACAGATTCAGTACAACCTGTGAATAAAGAGAACTTCAATGATGTTACCTGTTGCTAATTCTTGCTGTACATTCTGAGCATGTGGTGGAAACTGGTCAGAATGGTTAAACTGAGAAAAGAAACAATCAGAAAATAGCTTCCTTATGTTGTCAGCTCTCATAACAAATAAAATGTGAATATTAAAAACTCACTGCTCTATTGAACTTTGATCCAGTGATGGTTCACTCATTGTACAGATTGATGTGAATGTACACTTTATTTTATTCTGTTCTACTCTGTCATTTCTATTTATTTTAGTTTTTTGTGTTGTAAAAAAGGGGGGAAATCATGAAATGTATTTAATATTTGTTTGTTAAATAGTTAGATTGTCCCATTTATTAATGTAAATACAAATTACTTTAAATGTATATTATAATACTAACATTAGTTTGTGTTAGTTCGGTACCTTTGATATATTTCTATTTTTCCAATTTTAAAAATAAAAACTATTACAAAATAATTTGAGGCTGAATTCAAGCGTTTGTTAATCAAGCTTTTATTTTGAAATAAAACGGTTACATTAAACGGAAATGTTTATTTACCGGAACTTGACGCGACATGAAGCCACATTGATCAATAATACTGATTTATAATGATGAGATATGCAGTCCAAGTACTATAGTAACTACCTGTGTGTATTAATGAATACATTAAATCATTATTGATCAATTGTAGTTCTAGTAGTAGAAGAAAAAGCGTCGCGTTAAAAACTCCGTGAATGTTTTCTGTCGGCCATTTTGGATCTGAACAGCAGAGAGGTCAAAGGTCATACGAACCCGGAACAACAACAAAGCACACAAAGGTTCCGGATGTTAGAGTCGATGAAACGTTCCTGTCGAGGTTTATTAAATTAAATAAGGACAACAACAACAACAACAACAACAACAACAACAATATATTTAACATCTTTTACCCGCCGACATGTTCTCCGGGTTCCCGCCCAGGAACAGTCTCCTGGTGGCGGCTCTCAGCCTGGTTCTGACCCGGCTCTCCTGCGGCTCTCAGCCGGTCCCCGACGTCCCGCCGATCGCCGCTTACTTCGGAACCAAGACCCGCTATGAGGAGGTGAACCCGCACCTGCTGCGGGACGTCCTGTCCGTGAACAGGTCCGTGTTAAAACCTCCACCCAACGAGCGCTGCACCCCGGTCCACATCACTGCCGTCATCCGGCACGGCAGCCGGTTCCCCACCGTCCAGAACATCCGCAGGATCCAGAGACTGAGCCAGCTGGTCCGGACCGGCAGAGACACCGAGACCACCGACACCACCGACACCACCGAGAGCTGGCTGACGGACATCCGGAGCCGCTGGGAGAACTGGTACACAGAGGACATGGACGGTGAGGAACCATCAGCATTAAACAGATATTAATAAACAATAACAACTATTAATAATCAATAACAACTATTAATAATCAATAACAACTATTAATAATCAATAACAAATATTAATAAATAAAAATATTAATAATCAATAACAACTATTAATAAACAATAACAAATATTAATAAACAATAACAACTATTAATAATCAATAACAACTATTAATAATCAATAACAACTATTAATAATCAATAACAACTATTAATAAATTATAATAAATAATAATAAACAATAACAACTATTAATAAACAATAACAACTATTAATAATCAATAACAAATATTAATAATCAATAACAACTATTAATAAATTATAATAAATATTATAAACAATAACAACTATTAATAAACAATAACAACTATTAATAATCAATAACAACTATTAATAATCAATAACAAATATTAATAATCAATAACAACTATTAATAATCAATAACAACTATTAATAAACAATAATAAATATTAATAATCAATAACAACTATTAATAAACAATAACAACTATTAATAAACAATAACAAATATTAATAATCAATAACAACTATTAATAATCAATAACAACTATTAATAAACAATAACAAATATTAATAATCAATAACAACTATTAATAAACAATAACAACTATTAATAAACAATAACAAATATTATAATCAATAACAAATATTAATAATCAATAACAACTATTAATAAATTATAATAAATATTATAAACAATAACAACTATTAATAAATTATAATAAATATTAATAATCAATAACAACTATTAATAATCAATAACAAATATTATAATCAATAACAAATATTAATAATCAATAACAACTATTAATAATCAATAACAACTATTAATAAACAATAACAAATATTAATAATCAATAACAACTATTAATAATCAATAACAACTATTAATAATCAATAACAACTATTAATAAACAATAACAAATATTAATAAATAATAATAAATAATAATAAACAATAACAACTATTAATAAATTATAACAAATATTAATAATCAATAACAACTATTAATAAATTATAATAAATATTAATAATCAATAACAACTATTAATAAACAATAACAACTATTAATAAATTATAATAAATAATAATAAACAATAACAACTATTAATAATCAATAACAAATATTAATAAACAATAACAAATATTAATAATCAATAACAAATATTAATAAACAATAACAACTATTAATAATCAATAACAACTATAAATAAACAATAATAAATATTAATAAACAATAACAACTATTAATAAACAATAACAACTATTAGTAAATTATAATAAATAATAATAAACAATAACTATTAATAAATATAATAAATATAATAAACAATAATAACTATTAATAAACAATAACAACTATTAATAAACAATAACAAATATTAATAATCGATAATAACTATTAATAAACTATAATAAATATTAATAAACAATAACAACTATTAATAATCAATAATAACTATTAATTAACTATAATAAATATTAATAAACAGTAATAAATATTAATAAACAGTAATAAATATTAATAAACTATAATAATTATTAATAATAAACTATAATAAATATTATAAACAATAATAACTATTAATAAACAATAACTATTAATAAACTTTAATAAATATTATAAACAATAATAACTATTAATAAACAATAACTATTAATAAGCTATAATAATATTAATAAACAATAATAACTATTAATAAACTATAATAAATATTAATAAACAGTAATAAATATTAGTAAACTATAATAATACTAATACACAATAACAAATATTATAAACAATAATAACTTAATAAACTTTAATAAAAATATTAATAAACTAGTAATAAATATTAATAAACAGTAATAAATATTAGTAAACTATAATAATACTAATACACAATAACAAATATTATAAACAATAATAACTTAATAAACTCTAATAAATATTAATAAATATTAATAAACAATAACAACTATTAATAAACAATAACAAATATTAATAAACAATAACAACTATTAATAACAATAACAACTATTAATAATCAATAACAACTATTAATAACAATAACAACTATTAATAAATTATAATAAATAATAATAAACAATAACAACTATTAATAAACAATAACAACTATTAATAATCAATAACAAATATTAATAATCAATAACAACTATTAATAAATTATAATACATATTATAAACAATAATAACTATTAATAAACAATAACAACTATTAATAAACAATAACAAATATTAATAATCAATAACAACTATTAATAAATTATAATAAATATTATAAACAATAACAACTATTAATAAATTATAATAAATATTATAAACAATAACAACTATTAATAAATTATAATAAATATTATAAACAATAACAACTATTAATAAATTATAATAAATATTAATAATCAATAACAACTATTAATAAATTATAATAAATATTAATAAACAATAACAACTATTAATAAACAATAACAACTATTAATAAATTATAATAAATATTATAAACAATAACAACTATTAATAAATTATAATAAATATTAATAAACAATAACAACTATTAATAATCAATAACAACTATTAGTAAATTATAATAAATAATAATAAACAATAACTATTAATAAATATAATAAATATTATAAACAATAATAACTATTAATAAACAATAACAACTATTAATAAACAATAACAAATATTAATAATCAATAATAACTATTAATAAACTATAATAAATATTAATAAACAATAACAACTATTAATAATCAATAATAACTATTAATAAACTATAATAAATATTAATAAACAGTAATAAATATTAATAAACAGTAATAAATATTAATAAACTATAATAATTATTAATAAATATTAATAAACTATAATAAATATTATAAACAATAATAACTATTAATAAACAATAACTATTAATAAACTTTAATAAATATTATAAACAATAATAACTATTAATAAACAATAACTATTAATAAGCTATAATAATATTAATAAACAATAATAACTATTAATAAACTATAATAAATATTAATAAACAGTAATAAATATTAGTAAACTATAATAATACTAATACACAATAACAAATATTATAAACAATAATAACTTAATAAACTTTAATAAATATTAATAAACAATAATAAATATTAATAAACAGTAATAAATATTAGTAAACTATAATAATACTAATACACAATAACAAATATTATAAACAATAATAACTTAATAAACTTTAATAAATATTAATAAACAATAATAAATATTAATAAACAGTAATAAATATTAGTAAACTATAATAATACTAATACACAATAACAAATATTATAAACAATAATAACTTAATAAACTCTAATAAATATTAATAAATATTAATAAACAATAATAAACTATAATAATAATAAATTAATAAATTAAAGCTCCTCTATGTAACGTTCATTAAACTGTAGTTAACAGCGCCACCAGTGGCCGCTGTAAAATAACTGAACTCATATTTAGAATAACGTTTCTATCTGAAATAGATTATATCTGGACCGTTAGCTCCATGCTAATAACCAACACCACGAAGCGACCGACGCCAGAGCCACACCGTAACGTTATGCTGCCGGACATTTCTGATATTAAACTCCTCCTCTTCCTCAGGTCAGCTGGTGATGAAGGGCAGGGAGGACCTGAGGAATCTGGCGCGGCGTCTGTCGGCGCTGTTCCCGGCGCTGCTGTCGGAGGAGAACACGAGGAGGATCCGTCTGAGGAGCAGCTCGAAGCACCGCTGTGTGAGCAGCGTGGAGGCGTTCCAGGAGGGTCTGCAGTGGGGGCGCTCAGGTCCGTCTCAGCGGCACACGCAGCGCTATTGATTATTGATTGGTGATTGTAACCCGTGTCTCCGCTGCAGAGGTGCAGTACAGCCACCAGGTGGACGACGAGCTGATGCGTTTCTTCGAGCGTTGCCGTGGTTACGTGGAGGGCGTGGAGAAGAACCGCACGGCGCTGCTGGAGGTGGAGAGGTTCAAACACGGGGAGGAGATGGAGGCAGTGAGGAAGAGGATCGCTGACAGACTGGGTCTTCATCATCAGAGCCTCACACCAGGTAACAGCTGATCAATAACTGCTGATCACCTGATCAATGAACACTGTCACTGCACCAGGTTTGATTATTTCCTGAGAATATTGATCAGAGATGAGTTTTCCTGATATTCTGATACATTCTCTGTATTTTAATTATTTTTAACAATCAGAAAGAGATTCAACGTTAACGAGCTAACGAAGCTAACGGAGCTAACGGAGCTAACAGAGAGCTAACGGAGCTAACAGAGAGCTAACGGAGCTAACGGAGCTAACTGAGAGCTAACTGAGAGCTAACGGAGCTAACAGAGCTAACTGAGAGCTAACGGAGCTAACGGAGCTAACAGAGAGCTAACGGAGCTAACGGAGCTAACTGAGAGCTAACAGAGAGCTAACGGAGCTAACAGAGAGCTAACGGAGCTAACAGAGCTAACTGAGAGCTAACTGAGAGCTAACAGAGCTAACTGAGAGCTAACAGAGCTAACTGAGAGCTAACGGAGCTAACAGAGCTAACTGAGAGCTAACAGAGTCACTAGAAGCACATTCACGCCGGTTGTAAGTTCACGCTAAGTTTCTGTGTGCTACCTGGCTGTAGCTAAGAAGATAAGCTAAGCTAGCAGCTCAGAGGGACGAACTGTCGGTTGGTGACGTCAGCTGACTCCAGATCAGCCAATAGAGAAGCAGCAGCCAGTTTCCACCAGCAGAGGGCGCTGTGCGGTTCTACAGTAACAGATTGTGTCCTGAACTGAAGATTGTCCCTGTGTGGCTCCTGTAGATCTGGTGGAAGCAGCGTTCTTCTTGTGTTCTTACGAACTGTCCATCAAATCTCTGCACTCGCCGTGGTGTTTCCTGTTCGACGAGGACGCCGCTAAGGTACAAATACACACAAATACACGGCATCATAGATCCGATCCCGTATCGGTATCGGGACCGATCCAACCTGCGCAGATATCCGATATATCAATGATCCATATCTGCGTTAACGTTGTCTGCTGACTGACTCCATTCCTGCCGGCCAGGCTGCTAGCTGGCTGCAAACTGTGGGATGGACTTCCTGAACGGAGGCGCGGATCAATGACACACAGAGTAATGACACAGAGTAATGAGACACAGAGTAATGAGACACAGAGTAATGAGACAGAGTAATGACACAGAGTAATGACACAGAGTAATGACACACAGAGTAATGAGACACAGAGTAATGAGACAGAGTAATGACACACAGAGTAATGACACAGAGTAATGAGACACAGAGTAATGACACACAGAGTTATGACACAGAGTAATGAGACACAGAGTAATGACACAGAGTAATGAGACACAGAGTAATGAGACACAGAGTAATGAGACAGAGTAATGAGACACAGAGTAATGAGACACAGAGTAATGAGACAGAGTAATGAGACACAGAGTAATGAGACACAGAGTAATGAGACACAGAGTAATGACACAGAGTAATGAGACAGAGTAATGACACACAGAGTAATGAGACACAGAGTAATGAGACACAGAGTAATGACACACAGAGTAATGAGACACAGAGTAATGAGACACAGAGTAATGAGACAGAGTAATGACACACAGAGTAATGACACAGAGTAATGAGACAGAGTAATGAGACACAGAGTAATGAGACACAGAGTAATGACACACAGAGTAATGACACAGAGTAATGAGACACAGAGTAATGACACACAGAGTAATGACACAGAGTAATGAGACACAGAGTAATGAGACACAGAGTAATGACACAGAGTAATGAGACACAGAGTAATGACACACAGAGTAATGACACAGAGTAATGAGACACAGAGTAATGACACACAGAGTTATGACACAGAGTAATGAGACACAGAGTAATGAGACACAGAGTAATGAGACAGAGTAATGACACACAGAGTAATGAGACAGAGTAATGACACACAGAGTAATGACACAGAGTAATGAGACACAGAGTAATGAGACAGAGTAATGACACACAGAGTAATGACACAGAGTAATGACTCCACATTGGTGCAGTAAAAATGTTTGATATTAAGTATGTTTTTTATTCATCATGAGCGCATGAAACAATTTAACATAACATATTTTATTTTAAATGTAGGTGCGAATTATAGCTTACTGTTCTTAATACCTTTATTTTGAAAACCGGAAGTGAATACGCTGTAAATTTAAGTGCGGCTGATCAGAGTAACGGCTGGCTATTATTATTATATAATATAATAATATAATATATAATATAATATAATATATAATATTATATTATATTATTATATTATATTATATTATATATTATATTATATATTATATATTATATTATATATTATATTATATATTATATTACATTATTATATTATATATTATATTATATATTATATATTATATTATATATTATATTATATTATTATATTATATATTATATTATATTATTATATTATATTATATATTATATATTATATATTATATTATATTATTATATTATATTATTATTATATTATATTATATATTATATTATATTATTATATTATATTATATATTATATTATATATTATTATTATATTATATTATATATTATATTATATATTAAATTATATATTATATTATATTATATTATATATTATATATTATATTATATATTATATATTATATTATATATTATATTATATATTATATTATATTATATTATATTATATTATATTATATTATATATTATATTATATTATATATTATTATATTATATATTATATTATATTATATTATATATTATATATTATATTATATTATATATTATATTATATTATATATTATATTATATATTATATATTATATTATATATTATATTATATATTATTATATTATATTATATATTATTATATTATATATAGGTACTGCAGTATCAGTCGGACCTGAAGCAGTACTGGAAACGCTCTCATGGTCACATGATCAGCGGTCTGTCCAGCTGTCCTCTCTTCCATCACGTCTTCAGGACGTTGGACAAAGCAGGACGCCCCCGCAGGTCAGTGACATCACAGTCAGTAATCATTGATCACTAATTATTGATAACTAATTATTGATCACTGATTATTAATCGTGTTTACTGATTATGAACCACTGATTATTGATTATCGATTGGTGCGGTCCGTCAGGTCCACGGAGGCGCCCCCAGAGCCCGCCTCCATCCTGGTGGGTCATGCGGAGACGCTGCTCCCCCTGCTGTCCCTGCTGGGACTCTTCAAGGACCAGACTCCGCCCACTGCCAGCAACTACCACACACAGCACGGTAGGAAGCCCCGCCTCCACCCTGACGTCCAATCAGAGCTCACCTCCGGGTTTCATTAAGTGTTTCCTGTCTGACAGGGAGGAGTTTCCGGAGCAGCTTCATTGTCCCGTACGCCGCCAACCTGATCTTTGTCCTGTACGACTGCCAGCGGGGGCCGCGGCTGCAGCCGCTCCTCAACGAGGCCCCGGTTCGATTCCCGGGGCTGGACGAGGACGCGCCGCTCTACCGTGACGTCCGCGCCACGTACCGCCACCTGCTGGACGGCTGCGACTTCCACAAGGAGTGTGAGGGAAGACCTGGACGCGGACCGAACACAGAACTCTGAGAGGACCAGAATCCTCGTCCTACCTCAGAGCCCCGCCCCCCGACGGCCTGCGTCCAATCACAGCTTAGCAACAGTAAATGTCTGCTGTGGGCTTCGAACTCACGGCGTTCTCTACACTGAGCAAACGGCAGTGATCAATAGGACTGATTGATCTATCTGGACAAACGTTGGTCACACTGGTGGTTTCTGGGAAACTTCCTGTCAGCTGATTGGTCCAACTGTGACGTTATTGATCCAGAAATATCGGCTCCAGTCCACAAGAACAGCGAGTGAGTAATCAATAATCAGCAGTAACTGTGATCAATAATAACAGGATGAACAGATCTGACCTGATTACTGATCAGTCTATTATTGATCGTATGACATAAATATCTACTACAGGAAATTAAATAATAATATCTGTTTACACTATAATTAACAATCATGATATCATTCAAGGTCTAACAACAACAACAACAAACCTGGAAACAGGACGGTGGCGCTCTGGGGTTACACAGGGACAATAACAGGGGCGGCTGTGTTTTATTCTTAAGAAACAAACTGTACAATATGTTTATTGATCCATTCATACGTCTACAATCAAATTATTGTTCCATTCATACATCTAAATTACGCTATTGATCCATTCATACGTCTACAATCACGTTATTGATCCATTCATACATCTAAATTACGCTATTGATCCATTCATACGTCTACAATCACGTTATTGATCCATTCAGATGTCTACAATCACGTTATTTATCCATTCATACTTCTACAATCACGTTATTGATCCATTCATACGTCTACAATCACGTTATTGATCCATTCAGATGTCTACAATCACGTTATTTATCCATTCATACTTCTACAATCACGTTATTTATCCATTCTGAGGATTTCCAGTCAAACATTAACGATCTTTGGAGGAGTCTTGTTCATTCGTTGGTTTCTGACTTTATAAACATCTGAACGTTTGTGCTCGGCGGCGCCTCCTTCTGGTGAAAGTTCCTACGGCAACTTTAACATCCGGAGGGTCAATGGTATGAATTATTCCTAAGGAAGAGCAGGTGATGGTGAGGGTGTATTGATCAGATAAAACTGAAAACAAAAACCAATACAGTTCATGACTCATTGATTTATTGATTTGTTGCAGTGCCACCATCAGGACGAGCAGCAAGAAGAAGGAGAATATTGATTAATTAGACATTAAAGAATAAATAGGTGCCAATAAATTATTGAATGAATCATTAAAATGTTTAATTGTATTACATTTGTGTTTAACTGATTTTGTTTTTTAAGTTGGTGAGAAACACTTTATTATTTCTTCCTCAGATTGAAACTGACACTTTTCTTTGGTTTGACTTTGGTGACCTTTGACCCTTTAATGGTGACCTTTGCCCTTTAATCTGCTGTAAACCAGAGTCAGTTTTTATTGGTTCATTTTGACAGATTAAAGATGATTTATTTCTTTATTTATTCTGGTTTATTATCAGCTGTTTGATTCATTTTATACACATTTGTTTGTTGTTGTTTTTATTGATTTTGTTATTGATTTGGACTTTTTGATTTGAGAGGTTTTGTTGTTTCAGGGTTCATTATTATTTTATTGTTGATTTTAAAAAAGTGACTCAGCTTTCTTCACTTTATGTTATTTATGTTGTTTTTGTTTGTTGTTCACATTGTTTACGTTTTCAGTTGGTGCTTCTTTCTTTCACTTCCTTTTTTTGCAGAACGACGGATGCCAAATGTTTGTAATTGAAGAGCTTTAATAAACTTTTTCACAACTGTTTCCTGTCCTATTACTAAAATATCTCATATATAATGATTAATATATTACTTTAATATTGATATAATCTAATATTAATATATTGATACACTATAAAACTGAACTTTACACAGACAATTATCCAATCAGGATCGATATGTTCACTTACAGGAACTGACATCATAATAATAAATTGATCCATTGCAGACGTATCAATATTGTAGTATTTGTTATCTGATATGAATACTGTTTTTTCTGCTATATAATATAGAAATACATTTAGTTTTTACCAATATTTTTATTTTCTCAGCGTTCATTTCTGGAACTGGTTCACAATATTTATGTTCAACTACTGAATACGAATATTCTTTAGTAACGTTATTAGTTTAAGAAACATAAACATCTATTTTCATTTAAACTGGCCCACACATCTTATAATAATATATATACACTACAATGCATGCTTATATATATATATATATATATATATATATATATATATATATTGTGTGCGGTATATGTGTACTAATTGTAACTTTTTGTTATTTCTTATTTCAATGTGAAGAAAGACCAACAACAGAAAATAAAATATTTCTAAAAGTTTATTTTATACTTTCACAGGAAGTGGTCGCAGCACACACATTCAATTAAATTTTATTTGTATAGCAGAAGTTATCTCAAATAGACCCCGACTCCAAGTGGGTGGGAGAGAGAGAGAGAGAGACAGACACAGAGAGAGAGAGAGACAGACAGACAGACAGACAGACAGACAGACAGGTGCACAGCAACAACAGTAGCAACAACTACACTAATAGTCACTGATGATGATGAACATGAAGAAGATGACGATGACAAGAACGATGGGGGACAATGAGCAGTGGCAACAGCAACAATAGTAACTGTAGTAATAATAATATTAATAATAATAATAATAATGATAATATCAGTAATATTAGCAATGGCAATCTAGCAGGACCATGGCAGGAGGCTCCACCAGGATCCATGAGAACCTGCGAGACGAGAAAGCACAAGAACTCCGGGGAAGAAGTGAAGTTAGTAACATGCATTAATGGAACATGAATGAGTGCAGAAAGAGAGAGGAAGAGAGGAGCTCAGTGCACCATGGGAAATCCCCCGATAGTCTAGGCCTATAGCAGCATAATATCCTGATAATAAAGAAAGATTAATCATAAAATCAGCTGTAAGAATTATAATTAAAAATGTTAATAACTGTTTGTGATTGGAATAAAGAGAAAAAATAAATTGTAAACTTGACAAACGTCTGAGAATCAGTTTGACACGTTTATTACATCATCCAGCAGTTATTACATCATTACTCAACAGCCAATAACGTCACTGTAAAAAAAGATAAAATATCCCGTATTCAGATCAGAAAATTATAAACTATTTGGCAGATTTATGAAAAAACAAAAACTGTTTCTGATTATTGAATATTTGCAGTTTTTGTCTTTGAGTTTTAACTGTTTGACATTTTATAAACCAAACAATTAATGGAGGAAATAATCCTTATTGGAAGCTTTACTGTCCATCACAGAATAAAAACTAAATAATAATAATAATAATAAAGAACACTTGATGAAAAGTCACTGTGCAACAGTTTCTTTCTGCTTCAGATGAACATAGTGAAACTTTTATTTTACAGTTTTACAGTGTAAACATAAAAAGAACAAATCAGTTGTTTCCGTTTAATTTTACATTAATTTCTGTGGATTAATTATTGGTCTGGTTTTAATTTGAGGAATTATTGGACAGCTAGAAAATGTCAAATCTGTCTATAAATCCAGTATAAATAATAATAACAAAACATATAATAAATAAAGTTCAATAAACTGTAATTAACTAATAATCAGACTTTAATGAAAGAATTCTTTCTAGGAAATTATTAGTAAATTACCAACGTTAATTAACTTTTCAGGACTGTCGTTTCCTAATAATTTCAAAGTAAATCAGTTCCCAAACTGACAAAATGTAGTAGAAACTTTAACAAAAATAAATATAGAATATTGTTAATGAAAGAATTAAAATGGATAAAGCTTTTACGACCCATGTTAATTATTTACCAATAATATTATTATATTTATATTTGACAACATTGAATCAGTTTCATTACAGGAAAAGAAGAATTTATTGATTTAAAAGGCAGAAAACTTCCAATAAAATGATCAGGAAATCACTGAGTTGTACACCATATTTATATTTCAGCAGTCAGCTGATTCACTGGGCTTCTTCACAGCAGTCTGAGGGAGGATTTTCACAATAAAAGTTCAGTTAAAGACAAAAAAATCCAGAAATTTAAATCAATCAACTTTTTGAGCAGCTCTGGATGGAGGGATCGCCATAGCAACAGCTGCTGAGGCCCATAAGTACTGTGTCACTTTTTATTTAAACTGCTGATTAGTTATTTGGAAAAAGAATCTGATATTTATTTGTAGTGATTAATGTTTTATTATGATTGATTTGACCTCTGACCTCTGAAAATAAAATACTGAAGAATGTCAGTGTCTAATATACAGACTTTTACTTTGAAACCCAACTAAACTTCCTGTACAGTGGAGTTTAAAAACAGACGTGTGTTTAAAGTCTTCATGTGGAGGGATTTAAGGCGGTCAGACTCCAGAGAGGTCAGAGGTCACTGGCGGTCTGTGTAACAGTGAATTGTGTCCTTTGGCGGTCACGGTCAGACGGACGTCAGCAGCACGATCAGCTGATCCAAATAAAAACAAAAAGAAGCAGTGGCACAGGATGGAGAGAGACAGCAGGTCAGTACGTACACTCGGAACGGCTCAGGTATCGAACCCGCGGCTGCGGGCTGGGCTGACGTCATCGTGTGATCAATGTGTGTGTGTTCAGTCCAGAGCGGCCTGCAGCAGGGCACCGTGTCCGCCCGCCGTCTTGGATTTCTTCATCTTACTGATCGCCTTTTGAAGGTCCATCTGATGGATCGGACGGATGAAGTCCTCTGATGGACTGACAGACAAACACACACACAGTATTTATAGTTATTGACCAATAAGTTGACTAGTTGTCAGTGCTGTAGATACAGGGCAGAGGTCTGTGAACACCATTGGGAGAATCCAACACTCAACGTCAAATTATGTGTCGTCATGGTAACGCCGTTACCTGTCGTTCTGAGTGTGGACGAAGTCTCGCACACAGAGCAGCGCGGCGTCGCGACACATCTCTCTGAGGTCACTTCCTGAGAAACCGTCTGTTTCCTTGGCGACGTCGACGAGATCGACCGACAGGTCCACCTGCAGAGAGACACACGTGATCAATAGACTGATTGATCAGTGTGATCTGCTGATCTTACTGAGGAGGGTGTTTGAGGGGAACTCACGCTCTCGTTCTCCAGGATCAGTTTGAGGATCTGCTCCCTCTGCTTCAGACTCTACAGGAACAACACGGAACATTAACGTTGTTTTGTTGTTGTTGTTGTTGTTGTTGTAAGTGCTGCTGTGTACGTACCGGCTGGTTGATGTGGAATCTGGTTGGCATTCTCCTCAGAATAGCAGAGTCCAGATCTTGAGGACGATTAGTGGCTCCCATTATGATCACCTGACAGACAGACAGACAACATTAATATATAAAGTTCATCATCGTAATAATAATAATAATAATAATAACATATACAGTGTGTGTACAGTGTGTAGTACAGTGTGTGTGTGTACAGTGTGTAGTACAGTGTGTGTGTACAGTGTGTGGGTACAGTGTGTAGTACAGTGTGTGTGTACAGTGTGTAGTACAGTGTGTGTGTACAGTGTGTGGGTACAGTGTGTAGTACAGTGTGTAGTACAGTGTGTGTGTACAGTGTGTGTACAGTGTGTAGTACAGTGTGTAGTACAGTGTGTAGTACAGTGTGTAGTACAGTGTGTGTGTACAGTGTGTAGTACAGTGTGTGTGTACAGTGTGTAGTACAGTGTGTGTGTACAGTGTGTGTGTACAGTGTGTAGTACAGTGTGTGTGTACACTGTGTAGTACAGTGTGTAGTACAGTGTGTGTGTACAGTGTGTAGTACAGTGTGTAGTACAGTGTGTGTGTACAGTGTGTGTGTACAGTGTGTGTGTACAGTGTGTAGTACAGTGTAGTACAGTGTGTGTGTACAGTGTGTGTGTACAGTGTGTAGTACAGTGTGTGGTACAGTGTGTGTGTACAGTGTGAGTACAGTGTGTAGTACAGTGTGTAGTACAGTGTGTGTGTACAGTGTGTAGTACAGTGTGTGTGTACAGTGTGTAGTACAGTGTGTGTGTACAGTGTGTGTGTAGTACAGTGTGTAGTACAGTGTGTGTGTACAGTGTGTAGTACAGTGTGTGTGTACAGTGTGTGTGTACAGTGTGTAGTACAGTGTGTGTGTACAGTGTGTAGTACAGTGTGTGTGTAGTGTGTAGTACAGTGTGTGTGTACAGTGTGTGTGTACAGTGTGTAGTACAGTGTGTGTGTACAGTGTGTGTGTAGAGTGTGTGTGTACAGTGTGTAGTACAGTGTGTGTGTACAGTGTGTGTGTAGTACAGTGTGTAGTACAGTGTGTGTGTACAGTGTGTGTGTACAGTGTGTAGTACAGTGTGTGTGTACAGTGTGTGTGTACAGTGTGTAGTACAGTGTGTGTGTACAGTGTGTGTGTAGTACAGTGTGTAGTACAGTGTGTGTGTACAGTGTGTAGTACAGTGTGTGTAGTACAGTGTGTAGTACAGTGTGTAGTACAGTGTGTGTGTACAGTGTGAGTACAGTGTGTAGTACAGTGTGTGAGTACAGTGTGTGTGTACAGTGTGTGTACAGTGTGTGTACAGTGTGTGTACAGTGTGTGTACAGTGTGAGTACAGTGTGTAGTACAGTGTGTGTACAGTGTGTAGTACAGTGTGTGTGTACAGTGTGTGTGTACAGTGTGTAGTACAGTGTGTGTGTACAGTGTGTGTGTACAGTGTGTGTACAGTGTGTAGTACAGTGTGTGTGTACAGTGTGTAGTACAGTGTGTAGTACAGTGTGTGTACAGTGTGAGTACAGTGTGTAGTACAGTGTGTGTGTACAGTGTGTAGTACAGTGTGTGTAGTACAGTGTGTAGTACAGTGTGTGTGTACAGTGTGTAGTACAGTGTGTGTACAGTGTGTGTACAGTGTGTAGTACAGTGTGTAGTACAGTGTGTAGTACAGTGTGTGTGTACAGTGTGTAGTGTGTAGTACAGTGTGTAGTACAGTGTGTGTGTACAGTGTGTAGTACAGTGTGTAGTACAGTGTGTGTACAGTGTGTAGTACAGTGTGTAGTACAGTGTGTGTACAGTGTGTAGTACAGTGTGTGTGTACAGTGTGTAGTACAGTGTGTAGTACAGTGTGTGTGTACAGTGTGTATGGTGCCAGGGCTTGTAATTACTGCCATGTTGTGGGTAGAGGTGGGCGATCGTCATTGTTGTTTTGACGATGTGCTAATTTCCATTATCGAGTATTTAAATTACTTCACCAAAAACATTGAAACGCACGTGGAAACTCCTCACATCCATTAATACACGGAGCAGCAGCGCTCTCTACAGCATGGCAGGATTCAGTCACATGACTAGTGGGCCATGATCACGTGACCTCTCGCTAGCATCCTCCTTGCAACAGTTTAGCAGCGCGTTGTGATGGTAGAGAGAAAATGCAAACACCTCCGGTCCCTGAAGCTCCCGGTACTTCAGATGATTCAGTGCCGAGACGTGGGTCGACCTCTCTGGCGGTAAAAAGATCTCAGCGGAGACGTTTAACGGTCAGAGTGCTTCAAGTTGAAATCTGTTCAACCTTTAACACCGCTGGGCGCTCGGACAATGAGTTTTTGAGCTCTCAGCGCTAAAAGCGCGTTTGGTGGACACAAGCCCGAACTCAGACAATTCCAATCACATTTAAAGGATATCGACTGATTATCGTTATCGCCAAAATCCCAAAAAATAAGGAGATATTATTTTTTGCCCATATCGCCCACCCCTAGTTGTGGGTCATTCGAAAGGACAGTATCCGCTGTTGAAGTCGCGGGGTAACTTTAAGCATCACTCATCCTTGCATGCTCCAACTACATTGTGCTCTACTGTTTCAGACCAGAGGCCTGTAAGTGTGGGGTCGAGCAGGTCCATTGGATGTGGTTTTGAGCCATTTATTACTGATGCTTGTGTGTCCTTGGTTGGTGGTGAAGAGCTTGTACCCATTAAAGTGTTGCGTGACACGGGTGCTAAACACTCATTTATTGTTGAATCTGCACTACCCTTTTCACCCGTGACAGAAACGGGGGATTTTGTTCTGATGCACGGTATGGAGTTAGACTTGATTCCCGTGCCACGCCATAATATGGTGCTGGAGTGTGACCGGGTACAGGGCATTGTACCAGTTGGTATTGCCAATAGACGATGTTGCTATGATTTTGGGTAACGACTTGGCTGGTTGCACGGTGTGGGCTGACGTGCCGCCGCCTCCAGTGGTTATTTCTAAACCGATTGTGTCTAAGCAGCAGGATGATGGTGGGAGATATCCAGAGGTTTTTCCAGTCTGTGCTGTTACACGCGCCCAGAGTTGTAAAGGTAATGGGTTAGACCCGATTGTTTCGGTGTGTACTGACGGTATGTTTCCTGCAGAGCCTGTAGTCTCTTTGCCTGTTCTTCCTTCTGTTTCAAGGGAGGAATGGGTTAAAAGCCAAAGGGCTGATTCTTCCCTGTCTTCTTTGTGGGATGAGGTTGTGTAGATGGAAAAAAGTCATGTTATGTTGTGCTCCATCTGTTACTGCTCTGTTCCTATCGTCCCTCTTAAACTGATTTTCAGGTGCCTGGTTGCAGAGGTGGGACCTAGGATCAGAGTGGGTATCGAAAAACGTAAGGTGGATGTTTTTTTTGTCATTTGATATCCGGTGATCCCTTTGGGACCCCGTCATAAGGGGGGGGTGTCACTGAGTGTTTGGTGTTTGTGCCAGGTCAGATTGTGGTGTTGACTGGGGGTTAATTGGTGCCAACTGGGAACATCTGGGCCCGGTGCTCCCAGGCTATATAATCAAGGCCCTGTTGCCCGTTCTAGCTCTCTGCTGCTTCTGGTTCGTATTGTTTGAGTTGTACTAACTTGTTGCTCTCTTTTTGCAGGCACGCTGCCAGTGGTGTGAGGACTGCAGCGTGGCCTCATCTTATATTTTCTTTTGCACACTTTACAACATACATACACATTATCCCTGATGCACACCTTACACTACTGACTACACTGTTATTCACACTATTTTTAAAGTACTTAGTTGGTCATTTCATAATTTGACTTTTGTTCAATAAATTGCTTTTTGTTATTCCTTAAAGTGGTGTATCTCTCATATTTGTCATGCCTTAAGAGCCAGGGTGTGACAGTATACAGTGTGTGTTACAGTGTGTAGTACAGTGTGTGTTACACTGAGTGGGCAGCTGTGACGCAGAGGCAGAGCGGGTCGTCCCCTAATCGGAAGGTTGTTGGTTTGATCCCCGGTTCCTGGTGACACATGTCAAAGTATCCTTGAGCAAGATACTGAACCCCGAACTGCTCCCGATGCCGTGCATCAGTGTGTGAATGCATTAGTTTCTGTTCGATGGGCTTCGCCATCACTGAGTGAATGTGTGTGAAAGGGTGAATGTGGCACGTAGTGTAAAAGCGCTTTGAGTGGTCGGAAGAATAGAAAGGAAACTATACAAGTACAGGTCCATTTACCATTTACAGTGTGTAGTACAGTGTGTACAGTGTGTAGTGCAGTGTGTATACAGTGTGTAGTGCAGTGTGTATACAGTGTGTACAGTGTGTAGTACAGTGTGTAGTACAGTGTGTAGTACAGTGTGTAGTACAGTATGTAGTACACAGTGTGTAGTACACAGTGTGTAGTGCAGTGTGTAGTACAGTGTGTAGTACAGTGTGTAGTCAGTGTGTACAGTGTGTAGTACAGTGTGTACAGTGTGTAGTACAGTGTGTAGTACAGTGTGTACACAGTGTGTAGTACAGTGTGTAGTACAGTGTGTAGTACAGTGTGTACAGTGTGTACACAGTGTGTACACAGTGTGTAGTAGTACAGTGTGTACACAGTGTGTAGTACAGTGTGTACAGTTGTACAGTGTGTAGTGCAGTGTGTAGTGCAGTGTGTACAGTGTGTAGTACAGTGTGTACAGTGTGTAGTACAGTGTGTAGTACAGTGTGTACAGTGTGTAGTACAGTGTGTACAGTGTGTAGTACAGTGTGTAGTACAGTGTGTAGTAGTGTGTAGTGCAGTGTGTATACAGTGTGTAGTACAGTGTGTACACAGTGTGTAGTACAGTGTGTACAGTGTGTACACAGTGTGTACACAGTGTGTACAGTGTGTAGTACAGTGTGTAACAGTGTACACAGTGTGTAACAGTGTGTACACAGTGTGTAGTACAGTGTGTACAGTGTGTAGTACAGTGTGTAGTGTACAGTGTGTACAGTGTGTAGTACAGTGTGTAGTACAGTGTGTACAGTGTGTAGTACAGTGTGTAGTACAGTGTGTAGTACAGTGTGTACAGTGTGTACACAGTGTGTAGTACAGTGTGTACAGTGTGTACAGTGTGTAGTACAGTGTAGTACAGTGTGTAGTACAGTGTGTAGTACAGTGTGTAGTAAGTGTGTAGTACAGTGTGTAGTGTGTGTAGTACAGTGTGTAGTACAGTGTGTAGTACAGTGTGTAGTGCAGTGTGTGTACAAGTAAGTACAGTGTGTAGTACAGTGTGTACAGTGTGTAGTGTGTACAGTGTGTACAGTGTGTACAGTGTGTAGCAGTGTGTACAGTGTGTACACAGT